TTTTATTTCTTTGAAGATTAAAGAAATATCGAATGTTCTAATTTTTTAAATTCTGATTGTATCGTATTGTTGAAAAATGAATAGAAACATGTATAAAATGCTAAAAAAATCAATTTCTAAAAAAAATTCCTCAAAATTATCAATTTTCCATATTGCTAGACTGAGCCTAGCACACTTTGTTACAATGTCGCTCCGTGAAAATATTTTATCCGTAAAAATTTATATTTTCTGGAAGATTCATGTAAATTTGCTATTTTTTCCAAGTTTATTATTATATTTAGTTTCCTGTAAAGAGTTGGAATTCTTAGTAAATTATATTGAAACTTAAGAAATTGAAAAATTTGGAAAAATTCTCTGATAATTTTACTCTTTTCGATTCCTTTAATAATAAGGCTATATATAGAACGAAAAATTTTTAAATGGCAAACAAGAACGACGATGAAAAGAAATACTGATATCTCAAGTACTGATATCATCAATCTTCGGTGAATGTTTACGAGGACTCGCGATAGCCTTGACGTGTCGACAAATTGTAGATACGTATAAGAATATAAAATATTATCAATTGCGTGATCTCATCCGATCGGTGAGTCGATCAGTTCGATAGTGGACGGTGTAGAGAAATGACATGTCATTGATCCACACAAAGTACGAAAGTACATACACAGTAATCTCTCCGTGCGTATTATCTGAACATTCCATTAGCGTAGTACTGTTGCCCACGATCAGGCGTGTAACGTTCATTACGTTGACATCGTCGTGACGGCGGTCGCGTTGATGCTAACGACGAAAGTTTGCTCGAGCAAGGTTAACGCCGATCGTTGCCGGCGAAATCGCTGTAAGTTTCGCGATCGGAAAGCTCGATAAATTCGCGCGGCGAATTTCTGACCGAGTTCCTCTCGCGAATCTCCCGGCTATCCATAGCGAAATTGATAATTCGACCCTATTGTGACGGCGTTTAATCCTATTAGAACTCAGCCACTCGACCATAATACCCTTCGAGGTCACGTAAACGGTAGCGATCGGCTCTCTCGCCCTCGAATTTGATCGATCGCTGCCGACAGGATCGTGGGAGAAGGTATACGTATCTCCGAAAATTCGGATTACCTTTGGAAAATGTGTAAATGTTGCTTCGTGATACCTGATCGCGATAATTTTTTATTCACGTTTATTCACCTTTCATCCATGGAGCTTCATGATTTTAGCTATTCAAAGTTACATCGTGTTCGCGTATGATAAACTCGACGAATATTGTGTATGCGATATATATTTTATTATGATAAAAAACGTGAAAATATTTTCTCCGTGAAAATTTATATTTTGTGGAAGATTCATGTAGATTGCTATTTTTTCAAAGTTTGTACAGAGTATCTAGTTCCTTGTAAGAAGTTGAAATCCTTACGGTATTGAAATTCTCTAATAATTTTGCTCTTTTAAATTCCTTTAATAATAAGGCTATATCGGACAAATTGTTTGAATTATAAATATATATTGTTTTTCTTCGCTGCAACTTTAACGAAAAGAAATAAAAATGTACAAATAAAAAATATTTACAAAGGCTATTCAAAATTCTTTTCAGTAATCAAATTGAACATTTGAAACATACAAGTGGCTCTTTATTTTTCGTTCGTACGAGTTAGAAATACTCAAAAACGCACACGCGATGAAAAAACTTATTTTAAAAAATCGCATTTAAAAATTCTACAATTTTATCTAAATTTTGAACAGAAATATCTGGAATAGTTTGAGAGATTTTTCATACAAAATTTAAGTAGACACCCTCTTGTAGAACATTTTCCTATCGCGAAAGCGAGCGATGGCACATCGCGAGGGTGCGCGAAGGAAAATAGGTTAACGCGGATCTACATACGCACATATGTGAATTATTGTAAATCTATATTTACATGGAGCATCGTCGTTATGCCATTTCGAAAAGTCTCTGACGTCGCGTCGGGAAAAGTGATCGCGGCCAATGCACGCGTCAATCAGTCTGCGAACGAGAAAATCGAGAGGAGTTAAACACAGACATAACGGGTTTTCGAAACAAACGCGATGACGGAAGTCGACAGCGGCAATTTTGTCCACGATCTTGACGCGTGTCTTGACACTTGGCGTCAAATAAATGACGCCTTCTCTTCCAGTTAGATATTTATGAATCGCGATCACTTGGAATAAAGTGAGATATTTACGCTCGAGATAACGCTAGAGAACGAGAGAGAGAAAGTAACGCATGTTATATTCCAAATGTCATATCTTTCCCACATTTAAATCCGAGGTTCGCCCTATAACGTATTAGGATGTAAACATGATGCGTTTCGAGTCCTATTAAAGTGTTTCTAACGCCTCGTATACGACGTCTCTACGAATAGACGAGATGATTCAGACGCCTTTAAAGCGTCTCGTCTAACGGAGCAAAAGAACAATGCGGCGCGATCGACGATGCGGATTCGTCGCGCGTACATATAAGACAATCGCACGGGTGCGTCTGCGACGCACGTGGTGCCCGAGCGACCGTCTATGAATAAACATGCCGAGAATCTGCATTATTCGGCACCGATCACCTGGATTTCGGACGCGAAATACCAATACGGTCGATAACCCGAGACTTAATTTGTCATTTATTTACCGTCGACGAAATATATGTTGCATTGTCCTTGAAACAATACAACACCTCCGTGCTAAGACTTAATGCATTTCCGTGGCATTTTAATCGACACATTTTAGTCGCACTTTTGCAATTTAATTCGGCGCGTTTAATTTTCAATCGCTCGTAATTTAAATCTTTTGATATCTTTAATAGAAAAGAAATCATTAGTTTAATAATGTCCGTGAATTAAAGAAAATTTATGATTTTTGAAACGGTCCGTGTTACGAGATATATATATAATTTCTTATTAGCTCCCAACAAGATCTTTGATGTCCAAGATCTTTGTTCGTGAAAGTGCCAAGTATTCTTACCGGTGGAACAATAAAGACTTTGATCTCCTTTGCTGCAAAATTCGCGAAACACCGCGTGTTTTAAAAGACTTAGACTTGTTACTATTGCTATTCGCCTCTATTAGACCGAGTGCTAATGGTAAAACAAAATTTAAACAGCGATATAACACTGATATTTTTCTGAATCTCTTGATTTTGTTGATTCCATTATTTGCAGTTTTTAATCATTTATTCCCCAATTATATTTTCGATATGTTTTTCTCATTACAATCAATGTTTTCTATGACGGGAAACAGACATGCTTTAGAGAAAATATTTCGATAATCGTTTCTAAAATACTCTCTCCCGGAAAACAGATGATTTTTCAGATGATCGATCATATATTTAATCGCTAATTGGCATGTTGCAATTATCTCGTTTTTATTTACGTCACAATGATAATCTCGATGATATATCGATGCTCCTTTAAACAATTTTTCATGATTATTAATAGACTGGAGCGAAGAATTAATACAAGTTCGAGATCGGTGTTTGAAACGAGACACGTTTCTCAGGAAAATTTGGCAAAGTCCTTTCCTTTACTTGGCGCGAATTCGCGACGACTTGTGAAAATAGTAGAGGAGAGAAAATGAGCGGGAGAGGAACGTGTATGTATATCGATAATTTATTCCTTCGGTCGCAGTAGCGATTTTTCCGAACGTGTCAGCGACACTTTTACCGCGCATATTTTATACGTCCGCCCGTGCGACGGTGTCCCAGTCGCTCTTAAACGCGCGCTACGTCTCTCCCCGTCAAGCACGACGAGGTAACGACAATAAAAATGTATGTCGCGTATGCCGCCAGAATCAATATACAAGATAGATACACGTGCATAAATAATCCTCCTCTCCTCTCGATCGCAAACACGGCTGACTCGAGGGGCTACTTCCGTAATCGCGAACAAACTGTACAAGGTGCGCTTATATAAGATATAACCATCGATCTAGATGCTATGGACGACTCTTCGCAAAGAGACCCGCACTTTCTTTCATTATTATTAATATTATTATTATTATTATTATTAAGATACATAACTCAAAATTTGACGAGAAATTTTCTCGCGTGCTTAGAAGAAAAACTTGGCGAAGGAGAGGCCGTTTGAATTATTCATAATCCAGAGATGAAGTCCAAGCGCGCCGAGGATTTTTTCTCAGCGCGGGTGGAAGGGGTTTTTAAATGGGATAGGTTTAATTTTTGGTCGTCCTCGCTGCGGGAGATGCACGGGAGGGATAGGACGGTCGATATCTGGCAGCAACGTTGCTGCCGTCCAACGAGAGGTCCACGCTTATCTATTATGTTCTTGCTACGGCCATTGCGAACAATAACCGTACCGCGAGGAGATTCGAATTTGTCGCCAAGTATGCCGCATTGTCGTAGCAGCGTGTAATCTCGGCATACTTTATTAACTGGAGCAGCTGTAATTTGTTCGAACTTTCCCTCTTACTCCGAAATTAGTTTAATCATTATTTATATTACTTTATGAAATTAATTATCTTGGTACATACGTATTGTTTACATTATTCACGAATTATAGCACGCTCGTAAATGCGTAAGATGAATTATTTTGATAATTAAGACTTTTTGATTGATAACGTTCGCCTCGTATATTGTTGAGGACTGAGCTTGCAATTGTGCGTCTCCTGTTAAATTCTCCTGTAATATTTATCTCTCACTTTCGACGAGCGCGTCCAACCCACTAACCGACTTTAAAGTTGATAGCGACGAGTGCTTCTTCAGCAGCTCTCGTAACTAAAAACTTTTGCCCGCGTCAGGATGAATACAACAATGCGAATATCAGGGCGCGTATCTGAGCGCGCGGAAAAAGAAACAAATTATCTTCCAAGGAGAATGTTTTAATTTTAAAAGTCGCGGAAATATCTCTTATCCGACAATTATTCTCGATTCGAAGACGGGGTAAATATGTAAGTCGCGTTATTTCGTAATAATTTAAGCCTACGATATACTCGTATCTTATCTTCCCGATTCATTTTCCCTCGCGTTCGTAAACAGGTCCGATTACTTACGTAATATCTGTGATTCAGTGACATCTCTTTACGTTTCTTCGCCACCTATTGTTCTTTCCCCTCGTCTTAGGACGTCTCGAAGATGCTCGCAAAGTCGATGCTCGCGATTTCCATGTCTCTTCTCTTCGCGCGGAGCTGGCCGGTCGATATTCGCATGGTGGGAAAAATCCTCGGAGCGATCTCTTCGCGGGAAGATGCAAAGACGCGTACTATTGTCGCCAAGTTTCTTGCTGCGCGGAACGCGCCTCACGTTTTGTTCGCACTGAGAAGCAAGGGGGAATAATTCGCGCGCGCAGTCGTTACTCGGCCGTCTCCTTCCTACATAGGCAGTGTTATCCTCCTCTTTTCCACGGGCGCTATCAGTCTTATATATTTATTGTCGGGGTTCCGCACTTATCTCCAGCGTCGTCATTATTGTCGCTTTTGCTCGCGCGCGCGCGATTGTTTCCTATGCGTCTGGGTCGTACGTTCTCCGGCTGTCTCGTTCCTTGTCTCGACTCACTCGCACCACCTACGTCGCGCAGATTTTATTTCCGAAGGACTGTCTTTGCGAGAGGGATTTGCGTCGGAGGGTATTACGTCTTAGACATATCGGAGCCGGCATGGAGTCTCGCGCCAAGAGAGCGATCGCGAACGTTTCTTCTTTCCGTCTCTAAAAATGAACACAGAGTGCTTCACTACGCTTACGTATTCTCCGATGATTGTTCCAAGCCGAGTTAAATTCTACGAGTCACTCGCTGAAAAATATTACGAGCGATAAACATTTTTAGATCCCCTCCCAGAGGGGAGGAAAAAATATTACACTTTGGGAAAAAATATCTCTCTTTCCCAAGTAAATTATGTTACTCGGAGAAAGAAAATACTCGATCGACTACTGAAGTGTGTCAAACGTAAAGTTTCCGATCAAAATACGAAAGTCGAGCTTTAAATTGCAATTTTTTATAATTAAATTTCACGCGTTGTATTAAACTTTACAGACTCGGTCTATTCGTTCTCAATTATCAATTTATCGTGTCGCATTAATTCTTCTTCTAAATATCAGATAAAATAAATTAAACTAATTAATTAAATTCTTCTTTTAAATATGAGAAAATAAAAAGTATACATTTTCTTTTAATACTTTAGGATTTTCGAATCTCATTAGGATCTCTTTGTTGATGCGCTTTCGCACAATCGCGATTCGACATTTTTACCATCATGCTCGCCTGTCTGCGTATCTTATCGCATCAGGCTGTTTAATAGTGCACAAGTATAAATAGTATGTGTTCAAAACGTCACCGTTATGGACCGGAGCTTTTAGCTCCGCCTGTAAAAACGTCGCAGTCCATTAGCGATGCCGACGATGCAACGTCACTTGGTGCGATGCAAAAATTCAACGCTCCTCCGCGCTCGCACAGTCGAGGAATGCATCGTCCGGCTGTTATTATCCGTGCTGTCCGTAACGGAACGGAAATAAAATCAGACGCGGGAAAGAGTGCGCGTCCAAAAATGTTGTAAAAAAAAATGTGACATTTGCGACGCGTGCGAAACGTTACGCGATCTCTCGAAATACTTCGCGATCGTATGTTTGATTAATTCAAAAACTTATTTACGGCTATTTTATACGAAAAAAAAAAAACAAAAAATTGTTATCATCGCATGCGCTTCATCTCAATTTTTTTACACATCGACGTTAATCTTGATGTCAATTATATCACCGCGGAAGCTGAGAGTGCATCCATTCGATAATTTCGCGTTTACGAGATATAATTTTTAAGAGAAATACTTTTTTCGCCGACGACGAAATATCAGAATGATCGGTAACGTCACAAATAGCGCGACTATTGTTCCTCCCGTTCTGAGACACCAAAGTGCGGCTATGCTGCCAATATCGCGCACCGACGACGTGATATCGGGTCACCAAGTCCAGCCCTGTCCCCGGCAGCAGTCGGCCGATAACTTACGCGACGCATCGGCGTGGCACGGCTATTAATACGCGGATTGAATTTACCCGTAATTACCGTTGGATTAACCGGCAATTTGATTCACGATCCTATTCCCAATCGCCGATTCAAAACGTTCGACGAGAAATTCGCTCCGTCTCTCTTGATCTTGTTAAGACGACGCGACACAGACGCGATGCACGTAGACTTTCGGATCACGGATATAGACGTTGATCGATCGTTCAAAGGATCGATTCCGTCCCGTTGAATTTGTCTCATCCGGAATGCTTAATTTAACCCTTTCAGATTTGACAACGGTTGATAGCGCGCATTCCAACTTTCGCTCTCTTCGTGGAAAAATGTTCGCGTATAATCGCGAGTAATAATTCCGCTCGTTAATCAACGTGATTACGTAATACAGAGCGCTCGTTACGCATAACGATTAAAGTTGGACACGTTGATAGCTATCCGGCGCAACGATCAGCTGTTGCGAGCGACTGCATGACATATTGGTTATGCATTGTTTATTCTCTCGCTGAATCGATCGCATTTTCAAACCGAGGGTACATTGTTCCGCGCGAATAAACGGAGATCGGTCAATTTTATCGCGAACGATTTATTTCCGATCTACCATGAGCGTAATCGGTGCAGCGTGTCTATCTAACGCGACTAGCGTCCGATCGATCGATCAGACATTAGTTACGTCGTACACGTGACGCCGACAGAAACGTTGTATTTTTCGCAACGCTCGCGGCCAAACCTCGTCGGTCGTTAATTTAAAAAACGTACATCACATGTCTCTCTTTCTCTCTCTTTCGCTTTTTCTCTCTGTATGATTCTAAATGTGTACACGATTTTTTTTCATCCGCGCGCGTAACCGCACGCACGAATTGTATTGTTTCTCGTACAGCTCGTACATCGTTATTCGAAAATTAAAATAAATTATTGTTATTGTTATTATTTTATTATAAAAAATATCATTCAACTTTGTTATAAAATTAAAATAAATTATTGTTTTATTATGAAAAATATCATTTAACTTTGTTATAAATTATTAGAAAGATTTATCGCGTTGCGCGTATCACAATTATCGTTCGACTCTGTTCAATTACATGTATTTATTCCCTCTTGACGATAAATATCGCGGCCGCGCCGCGCGGCAATTAGGGGGAAGAAAAATGAAAGACGTAAGACGTAAGGAGGAAAAAAAGAGAGCGAGAAACGCGAGACAGACGGGAGTAATATGTCCCGTCTCGTTTGCGGGATTTGCGACGCGGCCGAGTAGATATAAAAAAGGGGACTCGGAGAGAGGAGAGACAGGAATCCCTTACGCTCTTCTTTATGCTCGATGGCAGGTTCCTACGCACAAAGTGGCTTCCTCTCGCTCGCGCGGGAATAAATTATGAGACGCGGTTGGCTGGCTAGCTGGCTCCGAGGGCTTTCGATCCCCGTGGACTACTTGGACGATAAGAGGGATTCTCGCGATCGCGAGAAATGCGAATCGAGCCGATGGAAGGAGCCGTCCTTCAACTTTTCCGCGCGAATGAAAGCGGACGCCACGCTTTCTGCGTGACTTGGCAATCGATCAGAATTAAATGACAAGCCGGACGCGGATAAATTGCCGGCGAGCGACACTCGCCAGTCGTCGCGATTATTAAAAAGTACAAAAAATGCGAAAAAGTTTCACGGCTCTGCGAAAATGAAATACAAGTGCAAATTGTGAAAGTGCGAGAAAATTATCGTCACGTTCGATGATCCGTGAGAATCTGACACGACCGTTTTGCGTCTAAATTTTCTTCCGACGTATACCGTTCTGGCGTTCTCGTAATCACCTACTTATTATAATGCGCGTAGAGCGCGCGCATATTTTCGCTCGCGCGAATACTGTTGCATTCATATTCGCGGATCGTAACGGTACGGCATTTCGATGCGCGAGACGTCGCCTCGATTGTATTTGACGTCAATGTAATAGCCGTGAATGATATTCGTTAGCGTGTTTGTTTAATATCGGGAAACGTTACTACTCGACGTCGCGTTCAATTACACTCAATCGGAAACCCATTGCGACATGCAGCGAGTTTTTTTTTTTCGCGCCGGGAGCAAAGATCGGCTGCGTGCATCGTTATGTGTATTCGACCTCGTCGAATCCGCATCGGTGTGAATGGTCTTTAATTACGAGCTTATCGATGTCGCGCATTCATCGCGATCGCAAACGGAATTTAAAGCGAAATTTTCGCTTCTTCCTTTCTTGCTTTTTCCGAGTTTTACTCCGAAAAAAAAAAAAAAAAAATTAATAATATATAAATGTGTCGCCTGAAATTAAACGCCGCTATTTCTTTCATTCGCGATCAATATCCGTCGCTATGAAAAAGGATTCCTTCCGGAAAATTAGCTTGTCGTTTCAATGGGTATTGGTTGGAGTCACGTGTCGTTTCCCTCTCATCGCGAGAGAAATGAAAACGACGACTACCGGTACGGAAACTAAACTTTTTCCATAAGCTCGGCGAGGAAAGTGGAAAGTACTTTGGCAGAGGTATACGCCCCGCGCTATGCAAGCAGAGTCTGCAGCATCGTGAATCGGAAATTTATCATTCGCGACACACATACACACGCACGTGGAGTCTTTCGTTTACCCTTCATCCATCCACGCCACGATTTACGAACGCGGTGCACGTTCGCGTGTTCGAATTATCTCTCTCGCGTGTGGTCTGAAACGTGTCTCCAAATTTTAATAACGAATTTTCTTTAGGAAAGAAACACTACGACCATAGTTTTCTCACGTAAAAGTCCGCCTATCCATCAAAAAACTAATCGCGTATTCGACGAATCAAATTATAATTTCGTGAGATTGTAATTCATTTGACAGGTCACGTGTACAGTTGAGTCTTATTTGTCATTGAATTAATAAGTTAAATGAGAAATTTCACTCGTCTTGTGTTTGAGAAAAAAAGATTTGCATCCCTCGAGAGCATTTCTCTGTGCCACTTTGAATTCTTGATTAATGTTGATCGACAAATGAATGAGCGAGATGATATATGCGTGTGTTAATAGGACCGTTTTTACTCTTTGATTATTATGATTTATCTAGCTAGACGGAACTAATAAAATTGCGATCTTCGGAGAGAGAAAATCACTTAACATACGCGACGATGGCGCGCGGGACACAAAAGCAGATGTGTATTAAAACGCCCACGCGCAATCACGCGCATGTGTATCTACTCTGTAAATGTCTCCATTGTAAATGGATCCTGTCTTGCGCGCGAATTACCGTAACTCATCGCGCGCGAACGTGTCAGAGGCCGGATTAAGCTACGCATTAAATCAGTTGTCTCGCTGCAGCGACGATTAATTTAAATTATCGCGCGTGGGAATTAGGACGCATCGAGAAAGCCGATATCTAACGTTAAAAGTCTACGAAAAATAATTACGGGACAATTGTCAGAACGCAATGTATCGCCATCAATGCGAAGTCTATACGTAATTTCATATCCTATTCTGAAAATCCGATTTAATCGATGTTAGATTCGATCGATTCAATTTTATCTGTCGCATAATATATTATATAATCATTTTTATTTCGAATTATCTTAAACTGTAATATACGTTATTCTCTAAAATTGAACTTTTAATTTTATGGATTATTATGTAAATGAAGTGGATAAAGTTTGAAATAATATTCCAATTCCCCAGAAAGTTAAATACTCCGTTGCAGAAAGCTATTTCTGCGCTTATATCCAAGATTGTAATAAAGTTATTTTAAAGTTGCAAGATGTATACGTATTTCGCAAAATAAATGACGAATAATATAATAATTTAACCATCATCATGATCACGTTTTATTCTCGGCCAATGCTCGAGGAGCGGAAAATCAGCGGTCGCTATTGATAACAGAGATAGAGAAAGAGAGAGAGAGAGGGGTGCTGCTCTCTCTGCAGATTAAATTGTTCGATCGATCGCGGAACGTAAAATGAAAGGGGTCTATAGAGAAAGAAAGGTAGAGAGAAAAAGAAAGAGAGAGAGGGAACGAGGGCTTCTCTCTACAGCCCTTATAACGCTCCAAGTTTGTACGGACCAATAACCTTCCAGAACGCTATTAAATTGTATGATAAACCCCGAGCATCACCGGGGGCTTACGCGGCCGGGATATAAAACGGCGGGGAAAAGGTCGCGCCAATGCACAATAAGTAAACCCCTAACCCCCTGCGCCAGCGAATTTTTGCTGACGCGACGCGGCGCGTCGCATCCATGATGCAGCTGTTACCGGACCGATGTGCGACACTGCATGTGCAACATGTTCTTCCTTTCCAAGTAACATGAAGCTCCGCGATCATGCTGGTCATTTAAACGACCCTCTATCGAAAGCTGTGCCCAAGTTTATTCGTCTTCTTCAGCTAGGAAAATAATTCCCTGATGACTTTTTAACATATCGTTTTTTTTCTCTATTTTTTTATAAATTGACTCATTTACTTTTGTTGATAGAATTAATTTAAGTTACCAAATAGTCTTCTCTATTAGTGTTTTAATTTTTTTTTACTTTACACAACATATCGTTTTTTTATCTAATTTTTATAAATTGACTCATTTACTTTTGTTAATAGAATTATATTAATAGAATTAATTTAATAGATTTAAGTTAATGGAATTAATTTAAATTACCAAATATTCTTCTCTATTAGTGTTTTAATTTTTTTTTTAATACTTTACACATTTTTTTCAATTTAGTAGAATAAATAACACTGTTCGGACCGAGGGAAATTACAACGAGGTACGCACGAAATCGATTTCATCGGTGCGGCGAATCGGCGCGTTGCTTTCGATTCGCGTCTTAAACCCCGACGCACACTGTAACATGTCCGATATCGTCGCGTGTATCGGGCAAAGAGCCATTAATCATATCCCGATATCGTTTAGTCACGGTGTTTCCTCGAGATGGACGCGATCCGCGACTCCATGCCGCTCCTCCGCGTCGCTATTCGCGAATAGAACGTCACCTACGTGGCGATAATAATTCCTATCCCGTTTCGCCGTCGATCCCGCGTCTAGCCGGCTTTGGACCGAGAAGATTACGCGGGTGCAGCAGCTGCATCGACTGGTCAATGCGTTCGCGATGGTGGGTGATTAATCACCTTGCTCCGCTTTCGACGAGGAGGAGATGCACTTTCTCCCCCTGGTTAGATCTCCGCATCGCGCGACGCTCTTGAAGGAGGAGAGAAAGAAAAAGAACAAGGATCTCGGACGATTTCCTTCGTCGAGCGACAACCGGTCCGCGATCTTTCTCGGGGAATCCTCGCGATGACGAGAACGCCTGCCGTCGTCGATGACGAGAAGAATCCTCGGTGCAGGACGACGCCTTCTTCCGTCCCGTACGTTTACCCCGTCGTTTCTTCTCTACCTTTGATTTCGCGGAGCGGTCGATCCTCGTAAAAACACGCCGCGTGGCACCGTCTCTTCCTCCGCTTCTACTCTCGACGAGGCGGACCGGCGGATTATGCAAAGCCGTCTTACTCGCTCATCGACGACGTTCGCTCGCCCATCTCCATCCATTATCGGCCAGGGATCGAGTGTCGTCGTCGCGCTCCTCCCGGACGACTCCTCCTCGCAGTCGAGTTTGTTAGCCTCGCTGCTCGCGGAATCTCTCGCGTTCGTTTTCTCGTCCGTGAAACGCGATTGTATTCGCGTGTAAAGCCGTCCGTAGCGACGCGAGTGCACTCGGAAACGACCGTACTGTATGACGTAATGGACAGTTCTTCCTCCCCCGCGGTTCGTTTGAGGGCGGCGCGAGATAAATATTTTATCGAAAGTAGGTTTTTTTAATTTTTTTGAAGCCTCGATATGACGGAGGATAAAATATTATTAATTCTGGAAGAGACGCGAAAGAAGATTTAAAGATCCGATTTGAGAGCCGGATGTACATAGGCGATGAATTTAAATCCTGTCTTCAAGGCGCTCGCCGAGAGAGGAAATTTTCTCTCCAAGAGGCACTATGTATACTCGACGGATATGTCAGCATATATATTAGCTTAAAACACTTTAGACACACGTGTATTAGTGTCACGTAAGTAATTCTTATTCGTGATTATCTCTCTCGAGGGACGAGGCTTTTAAAAGATAAAGCTACGCGAATGACAGTTCCATTTTTTAATACAATACACGCGTTCTGTAATAGACTTTGTTATATAGCCCTTTCGCGTAATTTTTACGATACTTTTTATTTCTCAATTATTTTCGTTTCTACGAGAGAGAAAAAGAGAGAGAACACAATCAATCGTGAAGCGTTCGCTTAATGGTTAATCGATCAGCTGTTAGCCATTTAATCCCGATTTCTCCGGACAGAAATTTCACGTGCAATTGTTTCCGCGCAATTTTATTTACGTCCCATATTCTCTTCGAATATAAATAGCCGATTAAGCCGGATCGTGTAATCTAAGAAATTCCCTGGAAGCGTTAATTGCCGCGCGTGCCGAGAATAATTTCGCGTTTCTTCAGGACATTCGAGACACTCTTCTTCCTTTCGTAAGATTTTAATCGGGCGCGAAATTGCTTCTCTTCGTGACTCGCGGACCCCGGAATGCGGGCGCGTTTCACTCGAGATGATTCGCTGTCGAGCGACAAGCGTTAAAATCGAATGCGAACCGGCAGAGTGCAACTCGCGCCGCATTAACTTGGACAATTATCATCTGTGCAACGGCGATCGATCAGTCGACGTTTGCCGCTTCCGGAAACGTTTTCATTTCCTTCTCTCCCCGAGCTACTCGTGGTACGATTTCGCGATGTTGCGTCCCGCGTCTTCGCAACGACGGGAGAATCATCACGTCGATCACCGAGGAAAGCGAGACGAGCGGATTCCTGCTGCGCAGGAAGCGGAAAATTTGCACCAGAAGGGATGAATGCACAAATGGTGGCTGGCGTTTAATCGATTTTATTAATCGTCGAAATTTTTTACCGATCAGCCGATTACGCGATTCAATTTAATTTAATTTAATTTAACGGCGCATCCCGAACGGGACTAGAGATCTTAAGAGATGTTACCGCAGCGTCCATGTTGCCACGGGGAATATCACCTACGTTGCACTCGCGTTGTCGCATCCAGACGTTGCACGCGAACTCCCGCGGACGAGGGGGAAACGTCAATCTCCCCGCGCGCGCGAGAAAAAGCGTCCGCAGCGACTTTAATCCTCCCTCGGGACGCGACGCGGCGAGACGCGGTAAGAGGAGAAGGAGGAGGAAGGGGAGGAGGCGAAGGTGGCGAACGAGGGTCGCGACGAAAGCGACGGGTGCGCGACCCAGAGTCCACCCTCTCGCGCTTCCTCGACCTGCTGCTGCTGGCGTGCCACCCAACCGGCCACGACCGGGACATACATACCCGGCGATGAATCGCGGCCAACTGAGAGAGGGAGAGAACACGGCCCCCTAGACACTACCCCCGTCGGTTGGCTGTGGCATCGCGCACGAAAGCCCCCTGCGCGCAACCCCGGCAACCCCCGTCGTCGTCGCGCACTCGGATCCGCATGTTTTGTACGTGTGGGGTCGAGGAGGAGAAACGGCGGGTATGCGGGGGGGGGAGGGGGCGAGAGGGGAATAAGGGGGAGGATTGAAGAGGAGAGACGAGGAGAGACGGAGGGTGGGCGAAAGAGGGGTCGGTTAGACTACCTCGGGGCTACAATGACCGCGACTGGAGTTACTGGGTTAGGTCTGGGTTAGTTTGGATGGATCGGGATTCTTAGAACGGAGATGGAAAGGGGTAGGTCGGGTACGAGAGTGGGAGAGGGGGAGGCATTTGTCCGGAAAGTTTCGGCGTATTTTTCAATCGATATAATGCGTCGCTTTTTTAAGCGATCGGCTATTGGCTCGTTTCGTATTCCGTCTGCCCGGAATAAATCTCGACGATGATTTTTCGGAAGAGGATTGTGAGTAAATAATTTTGGATAATTTATGTGTGCGTCATAAGATTAAATAAAAATTAGGAAAAAAAGAAGAGAGATAGAGAGAAAAAGAGTTACTTTTCTGATTAATATTTATTTCCTTCACGGGGAAAAATTTGACAGAAATATTTTTTATTGTCGAGAAGAAGAGAATGTGCGATTATTTTTTTATTTTTAATTAAAATTTATTATTTTTACCGTTTGGTTTGTCAGCGTAATTATTAAGTGCGCGATTAACCTCATGATTACACGCATCTTTTGCGATCTGTGAAAACAACTCGATTGCCAAAACAAAGAAAAAATAAAAAGCCTAGAAAATCGCGGAGAGAGAAGAGGAGAGATTTAATGTCATTGCATCAGCGTGTACAACAGCTTAATCCGGATCGATTCGAGGGGATTATGAGCGATTGGATCGCCTTGTACCGAAAAGGCGCGTCCGAATCTGTCTGGTATAAATAGTCGTTAATTAATTCGAGCGACAAGATATAACGAGATACATATCGATGCAACATTTTGAATTTTCGCTGTCGGATGTTTTCCGGTGAATGTAACGACACGCAAAAGGACACATAAAAGCGAAGACACGACTTTATCCTTGAATTACTATCGTAAAATGCGAGGACGCGCGATGCGATGATATCGTAAACGTTACAACTTCATACGCTGATCCTAATTAATGTCGCGATAAAATACGCCTATGGCGGGATTACGTGGACACACCCAGGATAGCTCTCCCTCGGAAGGACGAGTTGAATGGAGGATAAATTGCTCGACAATAAAGTCTCTCTCGCAGTCCCGTAGAGGCATCGCGTTTTGAAATTGGGGTGGATGCCGTTGGGTCGAAATACCCCGGGGGTCCGAACACACAATGGTATCTCATGATACTCCAAGTTGTTTACGTCACAAACTCCGAGGAGTAAGGGCTGAAATAAATAAAGACAAGCTACACGTTGCATCTTTTTTTTTATTGACCCGAATCGACCGCATGATTCTCTTTTCGTCGAATCTCGCATAAAGCCGAAACTAATCGAGAATTACGTCCTGCGATGTTCGATTCGATCGACATCAATCTGTCATGACGTTCTATAAGCCGCTTCGCACGTGTCGTCGCAAGAGAGCATACACTCTCATAACAATGTCATGCTTCAATTCGAATATATTAGATATATATTAGATATATATTTCTCGACTGAAAATCTTCTCTATCTAAAAACACATTTTGTCATTTTTAATACATTAAATTTTCAACGCAGAAAATGATGTTTTGTTTGTAATTAAAGCTGTACAATTATAAATGAAAGAAAATTTATTACAAAATGTAATTTCTTATTTCGAGATTATCAACGATTTTTAGAATCAAATAATTTTTTTCAAAATAATGTATTTTTTTATTTCAATTATGAACAAAATTATTGTCATTGCAAATAACTGTAGATGAAATATTATGATTTTCTGAAAACCTAATTTATTAAATATAGAATGACAAATTTGCACAGGTATCTGTGAGATATTAATATCTCTATTTAATTGGGCAATTAAATCTGTTAAGATAAATCTTTAATTTATTATGCTTTTGGTCTATTAAATGCAAAATAGAATTTAGACTTGACGGAAACATTAATGATTTTTTCCTCTGCTTTTTCTCCTCTTTGAAGAAATATAAGATACCGGCTTTATAAACTTTCACTGCTGATAGTGGATCGTTGATCGTTTGGTCGCTGGTAGCAGCTGAAACTTTTAATAAAGCGATCACAAATCTCCTTCTCCTCTCTCGATGATAGAATGAGAAAAAAGGGGGAAGAAAGTGATTCTTTCAACGCGTCACCCATTTGCTATTATACCACATCGAAGTTATTCTTCCGAATTGAACGTTTCTTCAAATATCAGTCGACTATTGGTCGCATTGTAAGTTAAATGTATTAATCGAACGAGATGAAAAACATTTGTTACAACATCATAATATTACCGTATTTAAAACGCCAGTCTAAGATTAAATATTTTACTACTTGTAATTAATAAAAATTAATTACAATTAATTAATAAAATCATATTACTGATTTTACATTATTTTTTTTATTGTGATTCATCTGTGAAAGAGAGATAAAAGGAATTTGTTAAGATGACAAAAATTTTTAATAATGAATATGTATCATTGATATTAGAAATGATAATTTTTAGTTAAAGTGATAATGTTAGTTTATTTTAAATTTTCTCAAAAATAATATACATATAAACTTGAGAGGATATTGAGCTGATAATTAAATCTAATATTTTTTCACGCGAGCGAAAATTTCTCTTCCGTACGGAAATAACATTTCGTAGCTGATGAATGCATTGTAAAATATCCTCGGCGAACGAACCGGATGCTGAATAATTGCGAAATTCATCTCATCTTCTCTAGCCGCAGTTTCCCCGCTCTTGTTTTAATTATAAGTCTCTCGGAGATATTATACCGCGCGCAATCTATCCGACATATATTTCGCGGCGTGTCCGAAATTAAGTTTGATTTATGGTGCGAGTAATGTTGCGGCGCTTTATATAGTAATACTTCATCGATAAAACATTTCTCTCTCGCGCGCGCTCGGCCGAGCTCGCAGCCTGAAATTGGATCAGCAGCTCGGTGACAAAGCAGGTGCAACATGGAGCATGGTCGCTCACAATGAGAGTAATTAATAACCGCGGCACGGACGCGCACGATGAAATGCGTCGACGAGGAAATGAAATGCGATCTGATGATTCTTTAAAAATTAGATTTATAAGTCACTGACATACATATATATGTTGATCCTTATGGAGCAAACGTCATCGATATAAAGTTTATAAAATAAACACATAATCATTTCAAGAAAAATATGTAATTAATATATTTCTCTCGTAAATTATTAATGATTCATATATATTATTTATTGATTTATTTTATCAGCATTTTTTGTATTTGATTTCACATGTAATATACGTTAGGTTATTATTAGGTTCTTAATAATTTGGGATATTATTATTTTGTCACAATATTTCCATAATTTTAAATTTCCTTTATTTGTATGGTATGTGCAGAAAAAATGCAAATAGACGGATGCGGCAATTTTATCGGCGTCAAACTCGTGCCTCGCATCGGACGAAATGCTGCATTTGAACGGTCTAATCAATGCTATAACTATAATCGGATAACAGAGGAATTATCTCCGCTTGGCATCGTTGCCTAATAATTGACACGCATCGCATTGCCGATGAAATCGAAATAATGCATTCGACGATGATGCGTGATCGCATTATGCCCGTATGATTAACGCACGTGCATCCGTATTGACAGACAATCCGAAATTTCAGCGATAATTTTATATCAAACACCATGCGTATGTGTATTTTAAAAATAAGAAATTGGTTTAGAGCTAAAAAAAGAACAAAAACCAACAAATCTTTTAACCGCAGCTTCTTTAGCTAGACAGTTTTTTTAATGAAAACGTCAAGCTAACATTATCATTTATCGCGCCTTTCCCAGCATCGTATAATATTTTATTTTATTTTTTTATTTCCCCAACTGAGCTTTAAATTAAAATAAGATCTCTTCAAAGTAAAATCCGCGCAAGAGTTAATTCGAAAAATATTATTTTCCTCCCTCGAAATTTAATTTGTCAAAAGCTTATTCTGTCAATCATTAATCACTCGAAGACCTCGTAACCGGCTGCTTTGACATTGTCGTTTAGGGAAAAATCGATTTCGAATCGGCGAATCTCTGGAATCCTCAAGTAAAGATAACTATTTAATTGAGCGATTTTCTTTTCTTTTTTTTTTTTTTTTCAAACCTAAACGGACCCACATTTGCGGCTCCTGCGGTGCATCCGCACCTAACGGCGCTGCATACGTGCGATGCAGACGATGCGGTATGCGGCATGCGGCGCGTCGCAGGACCGTACGATCGTTGGTGCAAATTGCAGCGAAGGACGGAGGAGGACGAGAGGAGGGTAGGAAGTTTCAAACCCGCAGGAAGAGAGAGGATAATCCGATCGTTTTCATTAATCCGGAATCATTCGAGCGCGAGTGAGATATATGTTCGGCTCGTTGTTTTGCGTAAAGGCTACTTATTGTTGGACCATCGATTGAATTGTTTGCGTTACACGGGAGGTACAATATAATGCCAAATTTGGAATATTCGATCGACGATATTTCGAACTATCAAATAACAATATATACAAAGCGTCGAAAATAATAATTTTATTATTGTGATTAAAATTTCATAAAGATAAGTACGTAATATTTTTAGATACCGATTATATTATTATAGGATACAGTAAAATATTCTGTCGGATTTTCGCATCACAGATATACCGAAATGATTTCGCCGGAGGCATAATAATTTTATTATTGTGATTAAAATTTTATAAAGACAAGAGTACGTAATATTTTTAGATACCGATTATATTATTATAGGATACAGTAAAATATTCTGTCGGATTTTCGCATCACAGATGTGCGGAAATGATTTCGCCGGAGGCATTAGAACCGAAATGTTACGAGAGAGAATAAATACATTGACGGGCAACCCGAAATTAGAGCGCATAAAACTGTCCGCGGTCGTTCGCCTCGCGATGAAAAATCGTGTCATTCGGACGTGCCCGCTAAAAGGACGCGTTATAATTTAACGGATAAATTATTCATACGTTAGGGCCTACACCCTACCATTATGTGAACGCACGAGCGGAGCGCGGTAGTGTGGACGAATTATGAATATTCAGAAGAGTTCGCACGTCGTAAATTTAAACTTGTCGCTTGTGTTTCTGCAACGCGGTAACCGGACGTGTAACCAACGCTCTTCGCCGACGCGTATATATTTTTTTATTTTTTCCCCTTCTAAATTCCGTAACAAAATTATCCAGCTTTGCGGCGACCCTGTCGGGAAGTCGATAATCGATCAATTCCGAGCGCTTTATTAAGCGCGATTATTAGCACAATACCAAGTTCTCGACAGAACTGTCACAATGTCACACGATGGTTCTCGCGGATACTCGCGTTATGCAATTTCGACTACGGCCGGGGATGAGAAGGGGCGAGGAGAGGAGGATTGAGGTTTAAGTTGCGTCCGACTTTACCGTGCGATCGCAATATACGTGCATATGAATTCGCTTTTGCCACGATCCCGAGATACATATCGCCAAAGGACTCGCTCTTTCGCTCTCTCGTCCTTTGCCTCTCGACTGCAATTTTCTCTCGTCGCTGCATAGAAGCCGAATTAGAAGAGGCGCTAGAAGCTAGTATGTACATGAGCCTGCGTAAACGCTCTACAGGATCAACCGCAGCATTCGTATAATTTCATAAAACGAAAGAGCGCTTTCTCATTATTAACTCGTAAAATGATGATTACAGCGCGATAAGAGAAAGAGAAAATTAAAAAAAATAAAAGGAATATTAAATAAATATTAAGAATAAAGAAAAACAAGTAATACAGATGCTTTTATAATGAAGGGAATTTGAAATAAAAATAAATCCAAGCCTCTCTGCGAATGCAATAATGATGAACTTTATCTTGCATGTGGTAATCGACCCGAGATATTTTTTGCCAAGTTCTTTTGCATCTCTCGACAGTTGTCATCGTGCTTGTACTTAAACGTGATGTGTGACTTTGCAGGCGCTCAAAGGACCGTTCACGTGCTGCACAATTCGGAGCAGCCAGCCTCGGTGTTCGCTATTTTAGAATCGGGCAGCAAAGTGGTGCCATTGATAGCAGACGGCCTGTTCGATCTGCTAATGTTAAAAATGACAAACATCTATACCAGTAAAAAGCAGACGAAGATCGAGTCGAAGGGGCCGCGATTCGAGATCGGTGACTTCTGCGTCAAATTGGGCAGCGTGACGATGAGTCAGAATTTCAAAGGCATTTTGGTGGAGGTAAGAGCGACAATTTATATTGCTCTCGAAAAGAAAAGGGATTCCCCGAAAGCGACGAAAATCCGCCCGTCAGTCGCGAATTTCTTTGATCCGCAAAATTCCCAGCTCTTTCTCCAACAGATGGTCTCTCGACTCGCTCCAACGTGACAGATTATCGTTACTTTTAACTCGGAGATTCATTTCTCCCGCAAAAAATTCACATTCGGAAATTACTCTTCCACCATCTAAAGATATAAGCGAACTTGCCCGAAATATATTATCGATTTTTTTTGCTTCCGTTCTTTGATCTGTCACCGCGAGCGAACAAAGATTACTGTTCTAGATCGAAACACAATCTCGTTTGGTTTCGAATTTCGTCGAGTACAATGAATTCTCGATCGGGAGATGGGACGCGGTTAGCCCCTGCTACTTCCGGTGTTCCTTGCCAATCACGCGACGAGCGTGCATTATCGATTGATAGCTCACGAGACCCCACCTTACATACATGCAAACCGCATACGTACGCCGGTTATAGTTATGCTTTAGGGGCGGCACGTGAACATCACGCACCCCTCGCATCCTCATCATGTCGCATGGCGGATACGTGTCTCGCGTGTCAAACTCGCCGCGTCAAGATATTTCATGCCGTCACCGATCCACGAGTATCACGCGAATAATCGCATAATTAAGTTCGGACATCGACGATAAATCTCACTGTCGCTTCATCAGTGCGTGCATATATAATTTCCCTTCGTCTTCACGTATCGTGACGCATTAATTCTTTCATTTCGATAAAATTGATAATAACTTCTTCTTCTCTTACGGAAATACAGGGGTCGAACACACAGAAAGAAAATAAGTGTTAAATCAAAATTTATATACTTAAACTAACGCATTCATTATTTCGTATATACGCAATAATTTATAATCTTCTTAGAATTTAATAATTTTAAATTTCAACAATATTATAGTCTTATTTTAATATTGTAATTGTCACCTCAAGAATATATAATTATTTAATTCTGCTTTAAGAAAATTATAATCTTTGATTTAAAAATATTATTTTCTATCCAACATTGTTTCTTTTCCATTCAAGAAAATTAAATCTTAAATCATAAGAATATATTTTTCTCGATTGATCTATATAAAATGGGTTTATTCAAGTAAGCAATTATTCAAGCAATTATTTTTCTTTAATTAACGTAATATAATCTCATTTCAAGATTTTCAAGTTAAAACTAAATATATTTTCAAAACAAGAATGTCCTTTTTTTCTGTGTATAGGAAGTAGGAGATTGTTAAAATACATTTTAAAATACATTTTCGCGCCAGATGTTTTCAGATATTTTTTTTTATAATTAACGTGCCACGCGCGAAAAATTTATTATAATATTTAATAATTAACAGACATCGTTGTTTTACTATCGGATTTTAAAAACTGTCGTACACGTATATACGGATCGAAAGCAATCGTGCGAATATTTCGTACGCGACCAGCACTGTGCAACGTGCTCACGCACGTGTGCACGCACGCGCAACCACGTGCATATTGAACACTGCATTCGGATGCACTATCGCGCACCTGTAAACATACAAAGGTACATATTATACGGAGCGTCATTACAATTGGTCGCTTTCGGGTTTATTGTGCATCCGCGTACATATATTCAACACGGAACCGCAATCTCGCTTATACAATGTGTCTTTTAATATTATCGTTCTTTTCGTTTTATTCGTTAAATGTCAATATATCTATATATATATTCAATTATATAATTGATTTAATTAACTCGCATTTCAAACGAGCGTTATTCATTCGAATATCATACTTTGCATTTTTATTGCATAAACATATTTTCTCCTTTTATTGTTTTAAGTAGAAATAGTATAATATTATTGAAAAGTAATGAATAGTTGTCGATGATTTCAGTGAAAATATTACAAATTAGTGAAATCTCATTGAAAAAATCAATTAGTAGCTGTTTCATCAGTGATATTTTAAAATACATCGTATATTTTATAATTATATACGGTTATACATATATAAGATAAATGTATAATAATATATTTTAAAATGATATTTTAGTTTGACTAAGAATCTTGTTTATTTTTTCGCGCAAAAGTAATATGTAAATAAATCTAAATTTTTGAATACTAATTATACGTGTTTTATTCTAGACGTGGATATGTAAAAGTTTTTTTTCTCAAAAAATTAGCAATTCAAAATAATAGATAAAAACTTTAAAAACTTTGCAAAATGATTATTCAGTGGAATCTCATTGTCATAATCAGTGGGATACATCAAACGAAGGAACAAAGTGTGAATGTTTTCTTATTAATATTTTCGAATTTGCTTCGATCATTGCTTTAATCGTTTATTCAATTTGATGGAATACATATGGAGGAATATAAGTACGACAAACAATTTTCAGACATCACTATTAAATTTGCAAAAACCGTGGAAGATTCCGATTTCCTCCTTTTTTTCTCGGCATTTCTCTCTTCGGCGCGGCTTCCGATATCTCTTCCGGCAGTTCCCAACAGATTCATCCAGCCGTGCCACACACGTATACCACACGCACACACACGCGTACGTATTATACTCATGTGTGTACACACATCCGATACCGGCTTTAAATGCTTCAGCGACCATTCGTATCGGTAACTGCGCCGTTTGTACAGCGGCCGTGACGTCAAATACGTCACGATAACCCCCAACCACCCTATCAATTTCAATGGAGAAAGCCCCGCGAGGGTCGCGTTAAATCTCGCAGCCCCTCGTCGACCTTCCCAAACACACTTTTTCTCCACGGCTTTCTGCCCCCGAGAGCGACGAATGCTTCCTTCCTTCCGCCCTCCTATTCGCCACCGCGACTCCCGCACTTAACTGCAATCACTTATCAACGCGTTGCAACGTACGGTGCAACCGTTGTAGCTTGACATCGATGACCCAGAAAGACGCGCATTTTTCATTACCATTTTCCAAAGTGAAACGAGGGGTCGTTACGTTTCGCTGCTTTACTGTAACACGCATACTGACGATTTGATACACGACCCGCAATCGTGATTTTTCGCGCGTGCGAGATTCACTGCCGACACCATTGAATGTGCCAGCACCATCCCGTATAATGCTACCTCGCCCGACTATGCACGACCGAATTATTCGGCGAATTTCACATTGAAAATTTAGTCGATGTTCTCAGAGCATAATCTCGGAAAAATTTAATGACTTTGTTTAACAATCAGAGGTTTAAATATTTAGTTAACATCAACTCTTGTATAATATAATTAATAGAAAGATTATATAATTTCTTACTTTTTTAATAAAGAGAGAGAGAGCACTTTTTGCGCAAAAAAATTATATTCAACTGCACTTGCGGAATTAAAACTAATATAAAATTACTAAAAAAATTTTTGCAAATCAAGAAATGACAACCAGTGAGTCTTCTCTTCCTCTCGACGGATTTCTCTGCATTTCTATTTTTTTTATTTCATTCTATTTATCGCTCAGCCAATTTTACAGTCGGGCGATATTAACTTTCAGCTTCCTTAACATAATTGAAAGATCAAAGAGTAGAAGGAGAAATAGAGAGGGGGAGAGGAGGAGGAGAAAGGGAATTGAAAATAGGACGAGAGATTGACGCGTCCCGATACATCTCGACATCTGATCTTGACATAGGCATGATCTCTCATAGTCGGATCCTTCGAAAGCCGGACAGTATCCATCGATGTGCGAAAAACGAGTTTTCGACATTTTCAGAGACTGACGTTTCCACCCGAGGACTCCTCGTCATATCACGCTATTTATTCAGAGATGATTAGTTTCCTCTATCTGCTTATGGATACTTGTATGATACAAGTTTCCAGGCTGCGTGATTATCTAAGGTTCGTCGTGCGAGGGAGCATTATACAACCAATTATATATTCGCTTATCTTCCTCGCGACTTCCTCCCTCGGACATTGACACGCTCTAAGCAGGATTACGCGAGAAACGTATAAAGTCCTTGTCGCAAGTATTCCGTCTTCCGGATCGTAAAGCCGACCCGAGTAATACCGTTGTCATCCTCTGATAAATATTAGCGAGTCATATGTCGATTCAATGTTGAGAATGTTATTCCGGTTGCGTTATCACTTATGCAAAATATTCGATAATCCTACGATATCATAATTTATTTGAATATCCTTAGGTCGAGTACAGACCATGCGTCGTGCCAGCAGGTTCGTGGGAACTCATGCGCGAATTTCTGCAAGGATTCCTGGGTTCAGCCGTGTCGAATCAAGCGCCTCAATATCTGCAGGTCATTAATACATATTATACTGTAAAATATGTAATCACATATATAATGAGTTAGATGAATTTTGAATGATTACAAAAGAGAAACACATTCTATTTTGAGAGAAAACATGGAAAAAAAGTTATTATTTTTTTACTAAACTTGAAAATTTCTTGTAGAATCGAATGAACGAAATTTATCAACCAATGGATACGATACATCAATATCTAGAGCAATTTGGTCAATATAGGAAAGCAACAGGAGTAATTTAAAGAACGATGTTGGACCATATTATTTATTTTATTACATCAACGGCAAGATTAAACATTTTCATTTTTTTCGAAAAATGTGAGGACTCTTATGTATTTATTATATTATTAGTTGATAATAATATATAATTTTTAAACAATATATTATCGAATATAAACACTGTGATTTATAAGCAAAAGATATGATCGATAAAAAAGAAAAAAGATAGTGATAAAAGATGTGTCTTTAGATTTAATCTAAATGTAAGAAATATAAAAAAATTATTTTATCGACTTATATATAATGAATTTATTATTTTCTGTGTTACATTATTTGTGTGCGTGTTACGTTATTAATTAAAACATTCATACGCAATATATTTTATTGAACATGTTTTAAATTTGCATTTTTGGTGTGCAAAGTAATATTTGAAAATTTTTTTAATTTTCGCAAAATTTTTATTTATATTACTCTTATGCACACATGCATTTCAGCCTCAAGCGACTCTTTATTGATAAAATAAGCGAGCATAATACGGTAGAATGCGACATCTGCAAAAAAGTACGAGAAAACCTGATAGTAGCAATCTGATCGATCGTACACAATTGATAATGAACAATCTTGTTGCAAATCACCGTAATTACTTATGATTATTTGTAACATTACTTCTCTAAGTCGTTATCCAAAGTCGATCATGAAACTGCGTTTATAACAGAATATGTTTTTGTAATTCTCTTTGTGAATGTAAACGCTATTCTGTCATTTTCATACAGCTGTCTCAAATTCATTAAAGTATTGCCAAATAATAAGAAAATTATAAAAATGTAATATATTATTATTGCAATATATTATATTATAAAATATATTTTAATATTTTACATATTTTATATATAATTATATATTATATTTTATATATTATATAATTATATATTGTATATTTTATACATTATATAATTATATATTATATATTTTTATAATATGTTTTACACAAGTACTATTAATAAATGATAAAACTGTGATTTTACGCGCTGCAAATGATTGCATGCACTTTGATGCAATGCCGTACTTTTTAGAAAACATGCGCGCTGTAAACATGGAAAAATTTATTTAATTTCAAAGGAAAGAAAAAAAGTTTTATCATCATTTATTAATAGTATTTATGTTTTTACAAAAAAAGTCTCGCGTATTCACGCGTGAAAAAATAGAATAATGCGTAAATGAATAACGCAAAGGATGTTCATTCCGAACATTATAAATATTTTGTTTTTTATGTTTCTTACATTTTGATTAAATTTAATTGCAGACATATACATTTTCCTCTATCCTTTTTCTATTTATCGAGCATTCATATCTTTTGTTTTGTAAATCACATTGTTTATTCTCGACAATATATTGTTCAAAAAAATTATATATTATTTTTTATTTCCAGTTTATATATATTATCCTTACATTTTTGCATACTATAATATATATTAAGAAAACTTGGTGTATACTAGATGACTAAAAAGTATTAAATAGTTAATGCCATATAAAGTTTATAGGACAAAATCAACTTTGAATTGCTAGTGTGAATACATAATTTGACTTACGCCTATTATAGAAAAAAACGTGCTATATGTGGTACTATTTATTTTTTTTAAAGTCTACGAAAGCTTATAAAATTTGTGTTATGTTAAAAAAATAATATGATATACAATATATACAAGTAAAAAATATGTTCTGTATGTATATACATATACTATTACGTAATTATAAAAAAACAAGTCACGCCATATGCAGACGATGCGCGAAGGAGAGGATGTTATACAACATAAAATATTTGCTCGCGTTGGCAGGTTTTTTACTATATCTTACCTGCGTAAATATCACAAATGGCTGCGTTTTACATCAGAAATGTACATACATTATGCGAAATGAAAATACGTATGTAATGTACATATATGTATATTTGCTGCCGAGAGACGAGTAATTTACATATATGACTTTGGATCCGCATGTCATAATCACATTCGTTATACGTGATACGTGATTAAGATTATTTTTCTGTTTACTTTACTTTCATTTCTTTTCAATGACATAGGTTATCGTGATTTTCTCTCTTTCCCTCTTCTCTCTCTCTTTCTGTCTCTCTCTCTCTCTCTCTTTGCTATCAAATTTCTTCGAGCCCGCCAACAAACGGAATGCCATTGATCATCGAAAATTGTAAGGTTGTCGGTCACGTGATCGCGGACGCGGCGCCGCGCGACGCCATTGGCAGGAAGTTACATGCGGATAACAAAATCGACAACCGTAGCAAGAGTCTGATAATCGCCAGTGTTGATCGTGCGGAGAAAGAGCTGTCTTTACGCAAAGAAGCCACTTGGGATCGACGAAAATGGAGGTAAAACTTGTCATATTACATATCATTGCATTGAAAGATCATGAGTTGTATGACATTTGGAGTTTGTGTAATACTTGCGTACTCATCCTGCCATTGTATTCTATTTTTTTTTTTTTATTTCTAGATCGAAGTCTTGTCGGCGAAATCCTCAAAACTGATAACCAACGTCAATGTAAGTAAAAATATAATAATGATTAATGTTGTAATTTGGCAGAACAATTTAATTCAAAATTCAATTTTTTTCTCTTCTTTGAAAAAAATAAAATTTATCTTTTCTTAAAATGAAATTTCTGTATGTAATATATATATTTATTGCAGGTAAATTCGAGCACTACAATAGGAGAAATTAAACAACAATTGCATAAATTAAAAAAGGCACCTTACATTCATAGACAAAGTCTGAGATTGGAAGCTAAGGGAAAAGCATTGTCTGATTCGGAAACAATTAAATCTTTGTCATTAAAACCAAATGGGAAGCTTTATTACAAGGATCTTGGTCCCCAAATTGGCTGGAAGACTGTTTTCTTATTAGAATATGCAGGACCATTAGTAGTGTATCTCTGGTTGTATCAACGTCCATGGTTATTTTATGGAAATGTCGATATCAGCAATTATCACTATGTAGCTAAGTAAGTCATCCCATTTAATATCGCTCTATAAGTACAAAAATCTCAAATCATATTGCATAAACATTTTTTTACAGATTTAAATACTTTACATAATTATTTTCTTTTTTTTTTTTCAGTTGGGCAGCTGTTGGTTGGACAGTGCATTATGCAAAACGTTTATTGGAAACTTTGTTTGTTCATCGTTTCAGTCACGCAACAATGCCATTGCGTAATCTATTCAAAAATTGTTCCTATTATTGGCTCTTCGCTATGTATGTGGCATATCATACGAATCATCCATTATATACAGCTCCCAGTGCACTCCAATTCAATATTGGAGCAGCAACATTCGTTTTGTGTGAGTTGGGTAACCTCAGCATTCATTTAGCTCTGAGAAATTTGAGACCACCAGGTAGTACGGTCAGAAAAATCCCAATGCCAACTGAAAATCCTTTCACCGCGCTCTTCAAATTCGTCTCCTGTCCAAATTATACATACGAAATAGGCAGTTGGATCGGCTTCACCGTAATGACGTCTTGTCTTCCAGGTATGTTTATACAATGGAAATATCTTGATCTTTGACTTGAATGCAAATCATTTTACTGACGTGTATATTTTCAGCTGGTCTATTTGCGTTTGCTGGTGCATATCAAATGACCGTATGGGCATTAGGAAAACATAGAGCTTACAAGAAAGAGTTCTCGAATTATCCAAAAAATCGTAAAGCTATCATTCCATTTATTCTTTAAATCAATGCATTTATATCAAGTTGCTTAAGTTGGTAATGAAGAAATTCTTGATATATTAATTTTAATTTGTTGATTTTTATTTTCGAAATATTAAATCTATTTAGAAATTATGATTAATTTATTTGCAAAGCAAAGAGTGATATTTTATAGTGAACTTTATACGAGTACAAAAAGGATATGTATATTTTGGTTTCAATTTTTTACTTTTATATATCTTTTCAGAATATGCGGTTAACTACCTTTTTCTATAATTATATATCTTATAATATATATTTAATACATAATTATATATCTCTTTTGCTGAATAAAAAAATATATATATGTTTACATATATAAATTATAACATACAATAGAAATATGTTTAAAATTATTTTCGCTACAAATAATTGTTGAAAAACAGTAATTTGTTAAAACTATTTTTAAAATGCTTACGCTTCCAAAAAAAAAACAAGTATATTTAATATTGCGAAGTTGTTTAAGACGATTCTTTTTCTTTTTCCGTCTCTTCACAAGGAATTTTGCTTAAAAGTCGTTTGATATCTTCCTTCAGTGCTAGAATAACTTGCTGATACTCCTGCATTTGCGTCGTATATTTTTCCTGTAGCTCTTCGTATCCGCGATATACTTTTTCCAACTTCCTTCTCGCTTCTGCGGGTCCCACGTCTTTTCGTGTTAAACCCAAGAAGCTCTCCATATGAAAAATATGCTTTCGTGCTTCTTTCAACTCTTCCCTCAGAGCATTTAGCTCCACGATAAGCATACTATTCTCCTCCGTCATTTTCTCCAAATCTTTGTCACGTTCGGTAGACGTGTCCTGAAGCACCTGTTTCTTTAGGGACGCGATAGTCTTTTCCAAATGATCTCGTTGTTTAATAAATTCGCATTGCGCGTCTACATCTGCTTTACGACTACGTACAAATTCATCGTCCGCGCTGTACTTGTGATATAAATTTGTCATCGCCGTTTTTAAAGCGTTTGGCTCTTGTATGAGTCCTGCAGCGTCGAAAATATCTACGCGAATTTTTCGCAAAAGTTGCCGACACCGTTTGTTTCTATGCATTTCACGATCGAGTTCTTGACGCGTGGCATGTAGTTTCTCACGCACTTCGTGCAGCTGCTGTTCCAAGTTCATGTTAGTCTTGTGAAGACTCGCGAGTTCCGTCTCCATTTCCCGAATATTTTCCTTCAGCTCTTGTATCTCGCGATCCCTCGGCTCTATCTGATTCTTCAACTCCTCTATCTTGTAATTTAATACGAATTTGAACTTCTCCAATTCCTGATTCGTTTGTTTCATGTCGTATATCTGTTGCTCCTTGTCCTGAATAGTAGCATCCCTCTCGCTAATCTCCTTCCTCAATTCCGCTATCTGCTTCTCCAGGTCTTGTATATTTTTATGGAACTGAGCAAATTCACCTTGCACGCGATGCACTTGTCTTTTCAGATCATCCACATCCCTCTGGCTGGCCATGAATTTATTTCGCATCATTCCAGCCTCTCCCTTGAGCTTCAAATTGATCTGCCTTTCCTCGTACAGCAAGTTCTCAAACTTCGTACGTACTTCGAGAATCTCACGATCCGCATCATCTTCTATCTGCGACATTAGATGCTCATGAACATGTTGTTTGTGCGTCATCTCATCGGATGTTTCTTCCAATTGCACTTTTTTTTCATGAAGCAGAGCTTCGTACTTTGTCACAGTCCTCTGTAGCTCCTCCGCGTCGCGTTTCTCAAGATCTTTCAATCGTTTCTCATAATTTTCACGCATAATATTGGTACATTCCTCAAATGCCTGATATTTATCATATTCTGTAATTAATCTAATCTCATAATTATTTTCCATCTGCTGCATCGCTTCCTCGTGAGCATTCTTCATCTTCACAATTTCCACATTTATGTTATTGATTTCATTAATATGATCCTCCTGAAGCTTTTCTATCTTATCTCGAAGTTCCTTGATGGCTTCGCAGTAGCCTTGATGCACGTCGCGTAATTTGTCATTATGTTGCACGTCGATCTGCCGCAGTTTATACGCGTGCTCGGTTTCCAATTCTCTCATTCTCACCGTCAGATCCCTGATTGTGTGTATCTTTTCCTCTAAATCACCTTTGCCGATTAACACTTCGTTTGTGTATGGCAGATCTCTGCTCATTTTCATGACCTTTCCTTCCGGATAGTATAACTTCCAAATACATAAACTGCCATCCTTTGCAACGGAGATTAAACAATTCTCATTGTAAACGAGTGCGATCTAGAATGAAGAAGGAAAGGAAAGATAGAATAATTAAGAAAAGCAATTTATGCAAAAGATCTCAAATAACGTATCATTACCTGCGTAATATCAACACTATGTATATGAAAATCTAGCGATTCTATCGGAGTTTGAAGCGGGCTCTTCAGCGAAATAATGATACCACCAGGAGAAGTTATAAATAGCACCAGATCATCTTTTCCCATAATCATTTGATGCATTTCTCTACCAGGTAAACGAAACTCTCGAATAACCTAATAAAAAAAAAGAAAGAATTTTTTTAAAAATCTCTATTTAATTGAATTTTTGAATAGAAAAATGATATCACTTCTATACCGCATTCTCCTTGATTTCACGTATATGATCATCATTGGCGATACAATAAGAAAACGAGGTATCCGAAGAGAGCGCGATGTCGTGCAAGATGATGCCCTTCAAGATGATTTCACCAGATCGCGTGCCAGTGGTCATATCCCACTCGTATATGGCACCCTCGGTGCCCATACTCAGCATCTTCATATCCGTCTGCGACCAAAGGAGAGCCTTCACCCTGCCTGTGTGTCCTTTAAGAACGAAGGGATTGTAAAAGCCGATGGTGGTGTACACCTGCACAACGTTGCCGTTGACCGCAGCGAACAAGTGACCGCCGTAACTAAAGCGAATTGTCTTACAGCTTCTGATGGCGATCTCGTGCATCGGCAACAAGTCATCGATCAGAATGCTCATGAAACGCAGCTTATCATTGAAACCAATCAAACAGAACAATCCCATCGGATGTAACGCGATGCCGGATATATCTTCGGCATATTGTTTCAGCATGATCAGACTCTCGGTTTCAAAGTCCCACAATCGGACGCTACGGTCCAATTCACCACACGTCATAAAGACTGGCTTCCACGCGCACATGGCGAGACCGTTGATGGGACCATGATGCAACGGCTGACCCATGATTCTAAGCTTCTGCGGTTCCGGATCCATCTGCAAATCCGGACCCCATAATGCAGCGTAGTACAGCTGAGACCAACCAGCGGTGACGATCAATCGATCAAATCCGGGATTCACATCGATCGTGTTGATCTTGTACAGATCCGAATCGTTGTCCTTTATTACCCGCTCCGGAAGCACGTAAACGTTTCTCTTCGTATACTTGTGTTTCCCTTCCTTTTCGAAAAATATGATGGTTCCCGCACCATGGGCATAAGCGAATCCTCGCGGGAATCCGATCAAACAGCGGACGTTCTGTTCCCAAGTAATGTTGTCGCGAGCATTGTCCAATGTCATCTGCGAACCGGCGGTGGCAGGCATAACATACTCCTCACGGATTTTGAGATTCATCGACACCGTGTCCGATATCCAGTAGACGTTTTTTAAATCGCCGTTCTCCATATAGAGCACGCGACCGTCCTCGGTACCGACCAACAATCGATCACCGTCCAGCCAGGTCATTGAGCAAACCAGAAGATTCTCCCCCTTGGCAAATCCATACGGACGCCACACTGTCTCGGAAACAGTGAGGAACCTGAAATTAAAGGGACCACCGACTGCCACTACTGCCGCATCTGTCGGATTGCAGGTCAACATTTCGGCGATCGCCAATGGATTTTGCGGATTTGCCAATTTGAACGTCGACTCGACCTTGCCCTTCTCCCAATTGTAAAAGAGCATCGTTTGATCGGGTTCACCAGTAATCGCTACTAGATTCTTACTGTCAAAGGTGAAACCCATGCTCGTAAATCTCGTTACTCCCGGAGCGTCGAAAGGTATTCCGAGTAGCTTTCTGCGCTTCAGCGAGTTGAGGTCGTAAACAGATATAGTAGGTTTGTCCCCCATTTCGGATAAAGCAACGTATTTCCTTTGAAATTACAACCGAATTAGAATTATCTGTGCGCCTTTTGTGCAGAAATAAAATTAAAATAAATTGACAAGCATTTATTTTGTGAAACTATATGAATTTGTTAAGTTTTATTTTAAAACTAGAAAAACGAACATATTTATTATATGACTTTTATTTTATTTCACAAAAATGAGTTTCTTGTAATTCATTGTATCTGTTTTAGGAAAGTATACATTCTTCATTCAATGAATAATATACTTACTTGTTAGGCGAGACGCAAATAAAATTTACATGATGCTTGTCGGGCAATCGAATCAACTTTTGCTGATGCTGAAGAATATTGTGAACTGCCAATACATTACCAACCGGATACAAAATTTCTGCATCCGTGATGTAATGTGCGTTACTGATAATATCTGTTTTTAAACCGTAAAGGACACGAGTTTGCAGGGATACTGCCATTTTACTCAGGAAACTCTTTTAAAGATAGCTAATCGATAAAAATAATATATCTACGATATGTTTATTCCTTTTTCGACTACATCTTTTATGTGTATTTTTTTCAATTCTTCTCTTTTTAACATCTGAATATGTATATATCATTTTTGTAAAAGAAAGAGAGCATGAAAAAGTGTTTAGAGATTACAGGAAACACACCCATAATGAAGTTGTTTACATCTCCTAGGTAACACACTGTTTACTTTTACTCCAAATTTAAATAAAGGCTTCCATGAAGCTCAATACGTGAATCTAAGATTAATTAGAAAGCATGAATGTTCTGCGAAATTACGATTGAATTCTTCTCATCTCAACTCGTCAAGATAGAACAAATTAAAGGGCTGTTCTTTCAAAATCGCATCAAAATTATTAGAATATATTTCATCCCTCTCTTCTTCTAAAAGTTCTATCCAAATTTTATGCTTGTTAGAAGAATATAATTTTAAAGATAGAAGAATATAATTTTAAATTTTAAATTAAGTTGGAGTAAGTTACAAAATTAAATTTTGAGAATTTTTTTAATATTAAGAGAGCATGATTTAATAGCTAACGCGCGAATTGGAACAAATTTAAATTATAATTTATTTTATATATTTTATTATAATCGCATTTTTTTCAATTTTAATTCATCGAAGCAAAAATTATATTTTTAAAAACGTAAAGAAATTAATTAAAGAAAAAAATCAGTAATTTTAAAAGTAAGAAATGAAAAATACCTGTATTTTTAAAAATTAGGTAAAGATTTATTTGAAAAATAAAGAACGAAAGTTAGTTATTTAGAAGTTACTTAGAAACGCGAATTGAAATTTATCTTTGATAATATGTATTTTTTCTGTATGTTTAAAATATCGATATAACTTATTCGCTGATCTACGCCAATTTGTTCATTGTTAACAATTGATGATGAAATAATTAATTCTACAAAATTATTTCAAAAAGTTGTGTACTGGTATATAAATAATAGATCCACCGATTTAAAAAAGATAGGATAAGATGTTGTCTATGATAATCAAATATGACGTGATCTCAATTTGATATTCTTATTTTCTATGTACAATATTTTTTAATTATCCCTGGAAGTGATACTCCCTCTATGAACATTAACAACAAAATATGAACTACAAAACAAATGTCCACGAAGGTTCTCAGAGGATAACATATATGTCCCTCTGATAATATAAATAATATAAATAAAAATATAAATAATTTAATTAATAATAATTTATTATATAAAAATATTAATATGTTCTCTCTTTTCCTTGCTATTATTTATATTATATATTTATATTATATATTTATATTATATGTATAAATATTACATTTAAGTGTGAGTCCAAGAAGCAAATTTCGGATATTCACTGTAAGTCAGCCGCTCTTCGGGCGATCGGGACGAGATTTAAACGGTAGTGCCGCGAAATGGTGTAGAATTTTATGCAAAAAGAACGAAATCGCGTCTGGAAGTCGAGATATAAATTCGCTGTTTTTCGTCTGCGCGCGGACGGTCGAAATCGTGCACGACGCCGCGCATGTTGCCTGCCTATCTCGCGCGATATTCACTGTAACGCGGCGAGTAAAATGGCAAGCCGAATGTAATCGTTCGATTAATTTATTAAATACTTATATATACCGAACGAAAAGATGAATCGGAATGCAATCGTTCGATTAATTAATTAAATATAGATACTACGATCGCGGCGAAGCGGTGGGCGGGTCGCTCTCCGAAACATGATGGTGGTTTGCGATATATCGCGATTGTTCCGTGATACATCAATCGTTCATAATTAATTAATTTAAAATAAAATATACTTCTATTTAAAATGTCGCGTGTATATATAGTACGCAAAATATTTCGGCAGAGAATTATCAATTAATATCATATGTTTGGCCTTGACGACGTATAGCAAGCGGCTATACATGTCATAGCTTTGCCATCATTCACACGGTGACACTCGAATATAGAAAAATATTTAACAACATGATAATTAAGTAAAGAGCATTAAGAGCCCACAAACCAATTCGTTTCTTATAATTTATATTATCAGGAGAATATATTTTGCGAGGAGGTCGATGATGCGTTGATGACCTCTTTACAAATCATGTTCTCCTAATAACGCAAACGTGAAAATTTTCGAAAATTCGTTTCTTATAATTTATATTATCAGGAGAATATATTTTGCGAGGAGGTCGATGATGCGTTGATGACCTCTTTACAAATCATGTTCTCCTAATAACGCAAGCGTGAAAATTTTCGAAAATTCGTTTCTTATTATTTTATATTATCAGGAGAATATATTTTGCGACGAGGTCGATGATGCGTTGATGACCTCTTTACAAATCATGTTCTCCTAATAACGCAGCGTGAAAATTTTCGAAAATTCGTTTCTTATTATTTTATATTATCAGGAGAATATATTTTGCGAGGAGGTCGAAGATGCGTTGATGACCTCTTTACAAATCATGTTCTCCTAATAACGCAAGTGTGAAAATTTTCGAAAATTCGTTTCTTATAATTTTATATTATCAGGAGAATATATTTTGCGAGGAGGTCGAAGATGCGTTGATGACCTCTTTACAAATCATGTTCTCCTAATAACGCAAGCGTGAAAATTTTCGAAAATTCGTTTCTTATTATTTTATATTATCAGGAGAATATATTTTGCGAGGAGGTCGAAGATGCGTTGATGACCTCTTTACAAATCATGTTCTCTTAATAACGCAAGCGTGAAAATGTTCGAAAATTCGTTTCTTATTATTTTATATTATCAGGAGAATATATTTTGCGAGGAGGTCGATGATGCGTTGATGACCTCTTTACAAATCATGTTCTCCTAATAACGCAAGCGTGAAAATTTTCGAAAATTCGTTTCTTATTATTTTATATTATCAAAAGAATATATTTTGCGAGGAGGTCGATAATGGGTTGATGACCTCTTTGCAAATCATGTTCTCCTAATAACGCAAACGTGAAAATTTTCGAAAATTCGTTTCTTATAATTTATATGATCAGGAGAATATATTGTGCGAAGAGGTCGATGATGCGTTGATGATCTCTTTGCAAATCATGTTCTCCTAATAACGCAAACGCGAAAATTTTCGAAAATTCGTTTCTTATAATTTATAATATCAGGAGAATATATTTTGCGAGGAGGTCGATGATGCGTTGATGACCTCTTTACAAATCATGTTCTCCTAATAACGCAAGCGTGAAAATTTTCGAAAATTCGTTTCTTATTATTTTATATTATCAGGAGAATATATTTTGCGCGGAAGTCGATGATGCGTTGATGATCTCTTTACAAATCATGTTCTCCTAATAACGCAAGCGCGAAAATTTTCGAAAATTCGTTTCTTATAATTTATATTATCAGGAGAATATATTGTGCGAGGAGGTCGATGATGCGTTGATGATCTCTTTACAAATCATGTTCTCCTAATAACGCAAGCGCGAAAATTTTCGAAAATTCGTTTCTTATAATTTATATTATCAGGAGAATATTTTGTGCGAGGAGGTCGATGATGCGTTGATGACCTCTTTACAAATCCTGTTCTCCTAATAATGCAAGCGTGAAAATTTTAGAAAATTCGTTTCTTATTATTTTATATTATCAGGAGAATATATTTTGCGAGGAGGTCGATGATGCGTTGATGACCTCTTTACAAATCATGTTCTCCTAATAACGCAAGCGTGAAAATTCTCGAAAATTCGTTTCTTATTATTTTATATTATCAGGAGAATATATTTTGCGAGGAGGTCGATAATGCGTTGATGATCTCTTTACAAATCATGTTCTCCTAATAACGCATTTAAAAAAAAAAAAGAAAAAAAAAATTTCGCGAACAATTAATGTTCGAAATAATTTACGCATTGCCATCCGCGTTTTGTGGGCTCTTAATGCTCTTTACTTAATTATCATGTTGATAAATACATAGAGCCGTATTATTTACCAATTTATTTTGAAAAATATTTATTTCATCTTTGAATATTACAGTATCTGTCGCGATTGAATAATTTATTTATTATCAATTTACACACATAAGTATTTAATTGTTATATGTATAGCACTGGTGCTAGCGGCATTTCGTGCACATAGCACGGAACAAAACCAGAAATTGTGCAATTATATATTACCCTCTGAGAACATTCATGGACATTGTTTTTGTAGTTCATGTCCATGTTTTGAATGTCCATAAAGGGAGTATCACTTTTGGGGTCACTCCATAGCTTGGACATGAACCATAGCTCAGACACGGACCATGTATTATTATCGACTTTAATGGATGTAGTTGACGTCCACTTTGTCAGGGAGCGCATTAGGACAATATACCCGTTAAAGCGAGGTGGCCGCTCTCAGGTTTCTCTCTGATACCGCTTTGGAATGTTTTATCGACAGTGAGACGAAAAATGAGAAAATGAAACAGAAAATCATTGTGTGCCATGATTGGTTGTTTCGTTTGCGCATGTGCGGTTTATTTTGGCCCACGCTGACATAAAGGTGTCAACAGAGAGTTGCGTTACTATATATATGCTATGCCTATGGATTAAGGGAAGTTTCAACGGAACAGTTTCCATTCAAATATCAATTTACTCGAATAGTTGTTTTTTGGCGCGAAATTAGTTGCATGATAAAAATTAGCATAAAGACTTAGATTGATTAATTTTATCGTGCAAATCAACGTAAGGTAATTTTTCACATTAAAAATCACAAGTTACTTCTTTCTAGTGTTCTAACCTGTATCCTAGATCTTGATTCCTGCCGTCAAGACCAAATCCTTATTGAAACAAAAGGAATTTTTTAAGCGTTTTGAAAATAAGGCTATATAGTGTGTATATTATATTTTCGTATATATTTTTCTGTTTAGGAAAATGGAAGATTCAATAACAGCACGTTTGAAACGATTAGTAACAAATAGCAACGAAGTCTTGGAGTTTAGATTGATCCGTGATCTAGATGACTTGAACTCGAAAGAGACGGTATTTAAACCAGAAATGACTTATCAAGTGTTTGGAGATAGGTGTGTTATCAAAATACACTAATTATTCGAATATATAATCTCTTTTTATTAAATATTATATCAAAAGATCTTGTATATAGAATGTATATATGTACATGAATTATCTGTCTTTCTTTTTATTTGTCATAGGGAAATAATATTCGGTTATCAGGATTTAAAAGTACAACTGTTTTATTCAGCGGGTTGTTTAGAAACATATTTGGGAATGACATATACGGAAAAAGTAAATGCAGAATATGAAGGAGTCGAGGCTGATGAAGTTTTAACAAAAATTGCCGCAAAGCTTGCACCTAATGTTCATTATAGCTTAACCAACTTTACTAATGCACTTTCCAAGGATGACACATTTACACCACATGGAAAATTAATTCATTCTTTCTCATTAAATGGTACTTGATATATAATTATTTAATATATAATTTATTTAATTATATAATTATTATAGTAATTGCATATAATCCTTTTTTTTCTTTTAATTGTATGAATTATAGATAAAGGTACCACAAGGCGATTTGAGGTCTACAAAGCTGATATGAATTATAAAGGCTTCAAGGAGTACCATCAAAGAATTCAAACATTTCTTCTTTGGTACATAGACGCGGCTCTTTTTATTGATATTGATGATGACCGATGGCAATATTTTAATATGTAAGTATTATTTGATACATTTGAATATCGTCGTATATCTTTTATTATCTGAATCAAATAAATAAATAATAAAAACAAATAAATAAATAATTGTAACGATAATGTATATGATTCTTATTAAATAATCATTTCTTTGAAACAGATTTGAAAAATATACCACGTCTGTGGGTACATCTCGATACGCGACGATTGGTTTTGCTACTGTGTATAGATATTACGCATATCCCCAGCACATTCGGCCACGCATCGCCCAATTTTTAATTTTACCGCCGTTTCGCAGAATGGGTCTTGGTACACACTTGTTGCAAGCAATTTATCGCGAGTATATTGCGAGAAATGAAGTTAAGGATATAACAGGTAAAATGAAAAAAATAATGAGAAAAAATGCATATTGTTAATAATTATCTTTTAACGGATTTATATTTACAGTTGAAAGTCCGTCCGACGTATTTCAACGACTACGAAACTATGTGGATGCTTTAAATTGCAGTACATTGCCTAGTTTTAAACCAGAACATTTAAAGAAAGGTTTCGATACTGAAATGGTCATTGAAGCTAGAGAAAAGTTAAGAATAAACAAGGTATTTACATTAACGTAGCAATTTATTTTTTATTTATCTTTCTTTTTCTTTCATATAAATATTTTGTCCGGATAGAAACAAGCTCGCATAGTGTATGAAATCCTACGACTTCGTGCGACGAACGTTGCAAATGCGGAAGAATATCGAGCGTATAGATTAGATGTGAAGAATAGATTAAATATACCATTTAAAAGAAAACAGAATGAAGAAGCAAAAATAGAACGTGCATTGAGAAGTGAGGACAAAAGAACATATACTAGTGATAATGGTCTACCATCCGAGGAACAACGCAAAGAGATATTGGAAAAGGAATATCGTATTTTGGAAGATGAATATAAAACAATTATTAAACGTTTGGAGTACGCTACCGATCTGTAAAATGTTATATCATTTAAATTCGTATTAAAGTAATTAAGGATTTTTTAAGCTGTGAGAAAATATATTAATGTAATTTTCAATGTTTTATATTTTTGTATACGACTGCATGATCTTTCTTCTTTAAATTTCTTACTTTTCTTATTCGATGTTTTGTTGTTTTCTATATTTGTTACTTCAATAGATACACACAGCCGTGCTTTTCGTCGGCACGCGTGTCACTTTACTTACTGTCAAAATGGTTAAATGAATCAACAAATTCTTCAAAATTCTAGTATAAGATTCGTTATCGTCATCAATAAAAAAACAGTAATACAAATATTTTCGTACTTTGTTATACTACATAATACATGTGTTATAAATTATAATGTACAAACAGAAATTCTGCATTCTGAATATTATTATTCGCGTTCGCGATGTCATAATTAAACATTAAGCAAAGTGAGAGGGAAGTTGCGAATTATGGTCTCGAAGGATAGAATGCTGTCTATCGTCTTGCGAATCTCATGTCACATCTGAGCCAGACACCGTCCGAGGAAGCCACATTGTTAGCCCGAGGTTATAAGCTGTTAAGAAAACTCGGCGAAGGTTGTTACGCAAAAGTTAGTATCGTAATTAGAAAATTAATTTTTTTTTCATCCAAATGTTTCTAAAAACAACATCTCTTCATTGTAGGTGTACTTGGCCGAATATAAGCCAGAACATGAATCGGATCGAAATAGCATCCTGGCCTGTAAGATTGTCGATACTGCGATCGCATCGAAGGACGTCGTTCGAAAATTTCTACCGCGTGAATTGGATATTCTGGTCAAGCTGAATCACCCGCACGTCGTGCACGTGCATAGTATCTTTCAAAGACATACCAAGTACTTCATATTCATGCGTTTCGCCGAAAATGGTGATCTTCTCGACTTTGTACTGAAGAATGGTGCGGTGTCTGAGAATCAAGCCCGCATCTGGTTCCGGCAGCTCGCTTTAGGTATCGTGAAAAAATCACGGCGTTAATTTGCCGATTACGAATATATTAGCATATTAATTTCTGATTTATAAGTTTTTGAAACATCATTATCATATTTTATAATATTGATATTGTGATTTTTACCACGCAAATTCATGTTTTCTAGGCCTTCAGTATTTACATGAGATGGAGATAGCGCATCGCGATATCAAATGCGAGAACATTCTCCTGACAGCCAACTACAATGTAAAACTGGCAGATTTCGGCTTCGCGCGTTACATGATCGACAGTCGCGGTAAGCGCGTTCTGAGTGACACGTATTGCGGTTCGCTGTCGTACGTGGCACCGGAGGTCCTACGCGCCTATCCATACAACCCCAAGATATCCGATATATGGTCGTTGGGCGTGATTCTTTACATATTGTTAAACAAGGCCATGCCGTTTGACGAGGATAATATAAAGCGTCTGTACGAGTTGCAGATAGCGCGCAAATGGAAATTCCGCAGTAAAGTTAAGGACAGAATAACCGATTCCGTAAAGAAACTCGTGAACAATATGCTCGAACCAGATGTATCTAAACGCTGGCGTCTGGATCAGATCGTGCAGAGTGAGTGGATCGCCATGGATCCGCGTCTCCTGGTGCTCACGCCCGCGGAACAGACTGCGCTGAATTACGCGATCGAGGAGCGAAAGAGACACGAAGAGAAGTTTGTAAAGAGGGAGCCGGCACGAACAGAGAGTCTCGTACGATCATTATTTTCAAACGTACTTGATAAGTCCAAATACCTCTTAATATCGCTTCCATCATACATCGCGCTGACAATGCGTAGGACGCTGCTGGTCATCTACCTGGCGTACACGCACTTTTTATCGCATATTCAATTGCAAGATTAATTGAACTTGGCAATGCAATTGACATCAAACGTATAGATTCGATTATGTTTAGCAAATCAAATCTATTTAATTAAGAAGAATATATAGATAGCGAGTAATGTCACGCGAGATTACGAGTGACCGATTTTCAGAAACGACTCGAGGAGAAAAGGAGGATCCATAATCCCAGATCGCATGCGGCAGAGGAAGTAACGATTCTTAAAGACGCCGCAAAAGTATGCTATTAAAATTAATTGCATATCATATATGATCAAATTAAATGGCACAATTTATTTTTCTCTCTTCCTTAGGCGGCAGTTTCGACGATTATAACAACCGGAGCTTAAAGATTCTAATTCCTATAACTCATCTTTTTACACATATTTATTTAACACTTATAAAAATAAAATAACTACATAATTTAATACATTGCAATTCAACAAATTTTTCTCCAAACACTTATCATAGATATAATTAACGCATATATCTATAAATTTTCTTTTTATATTTTTCTCGTTTTCGATTTGCAAAAGCAAAAATATATGTGTTTATTGACATCGCACAATTAAGCTCATTTACAAGAATTACTAAGAAAGTGTACATTTTAATTACCCATGAATCGCGCTTTTAAAACAGTCGTATTATTTGCCGTTGTCGCTTTAACATAATAATCAGCACCGAGAGCAAAAGTTTTTATTTTTCCATCCAGAGGCATTTTAAAAATATGTTCAGGCTGAGAGATTCCTTCGAGATTCCATATACCATCAAATCGTATTAACAGATGTTGATTATTCGGTGTTTTGCTGATTACAAATGAACTCGAACCTGGCAAAATGTATCGTTCAAGCTCCTTCCATACTTGATAACGCAATATCAAGGTTTGTTGAGGCAATCGCAAAATAATCCATATTGAATTGTCGATCGGTTCCACAGATGCTTCAAGTATACCAGGCACGTATAATTCTGTCGAATAATGTTTTATAATTTTATAATCTGCTTCACACACAGTCTCTAATACATAACTGTATTCTTTTATTATAGGCTCACCTGCTTCCCGATAAAATTGTTCTTCTGCAATAATATATGAATAAATCCAGATCAAATCCGATGACACTATTATTGCAAATACACCGTTATTCAACGGTACTAATTTCTTTGTTATAAACGTGCTGGAATTTGTATTGGTAAGAATATCAAATAATTTCGTATCGTTGCAAAGCGAAGAAATATTTTCCGGCTCGCAAAGACAAGTACTATTTAGATCTATCGAATTCTCGGCAGTAAAAATGCTAGAAGTCATTTCTAATACATCCTCGTCTACCACTTCAAATTTATTTACATAAATTGCACGATCTGTAAAAATAAATTATTAAAGAGTATTTAAACGGTATTTACATTATTAAAATTATAACTCACTTTGCAATGCAGTTGTTATATTCTCTACCATTTCCACAACTTTTGTCGTTCTGTCCAAGACTGCATCTATTTCATTTTGATTACTAATGTTCGTTAAATTTATCCTTTCGTAGAGCCCGCTAATTGTAACATTTCCGAAAACTTCAAGATCATTCTTAAAATCGAATGTGCTGTCTATCGTCTGCATTGTTTTATGTTTTTTCATTTGATTGTTTGATAGCTCTGTCAGATTTACATCATTCACGATACCGTCAATAACGAGAGAAGGTGCGTTAAGCTGGCCTTGTATCTTCTTGATTCCGAATAACGTTTGATTTCTGGATTTTAATAATGCTTCTTCGATCTTGCGACCCATAATCGTACCTTTAACGCTAATAAAGAGAAGATTAAATTCTTCACGACTATTTAATAACAATATTACTTGATCAAAAATATCAATTACCTCAAATTATTCAAGATGATGTTGTTAAATGTTTTTCGACCTTTAATTGTAATTATTTTCTGACAGTTTTGAGTTAGAGCATTATTAACCAAGTTCGAAAAATCTATATTTAACAACCAGAGATCTTTAGTTGCCAAACTTGAAATCGTCTTCTTTCCGGTGACAATGTTCTGTTTTGCGTCATGTCTAACAACATCCGTGTTCAAATTAATTCCATTGAGTTTACCATCCCAATTGAAATTGTCTATATGTTGGCCAAAAAAATTATATATATATATTTTAGTTTTTATTAAAAATAATATCACTTCGTTTTAATTCAATTTTATCTTACTTATATTCAATTCTTCAAAATACCACACAGCATCCACGGTTTGTGCCGCATTTCTCATTAATGAATTAGTTAGCATATCTTTCAAGTTAATGTCCGAAGATTCAAGAGTTGCATTATTCGCCGCAATGATAGCGGGTACTTCAACATTTTTAAATGAGGAAACTACGGTAATATGCTGTTCTTTTGTTTTACTCAATAATTTGCTGGACAAGTCTGACCACATTTTTACATTCAATGAATTTGTAGGATTCTGAAATAAAAAAAAATAATTAAATTGTTAAATAAATAAAATAATTAATTTTCCTTAGGCAATATCTTTTTTCTTGGTAATTTTTTCTTTTCCTTACGTATATCCTAACATCTGCTTTTAAAGTTATATTTTTGAAGTTCATATTGCTACCAGAGAGAACGGTATCTTCATTTGCCATCCATATATCTTCAGATAATTGTTTGAGATTTACATCTCGTATATTTTGTATAATTGGCTCTGTTGAAAATTTGACTGATCCTGAAAATAAATGTATATCATATTTAAAATCTTTTTGCACTTTGTAAAATACAGGATTCCAATGTACCTTGTACAACAAATGTCGATGGTACATCGCTCGCGATATAACCGAAAGTCTGAGGTACATTTATCCCATTTGTTTTCAATGTTGTAGAAATCTGTTTTGAATGAAGATTGAGATGTGCATCTAAATGGGAGAGATTTAACGTCGAATGGGAAGCATATATGTGACTTGATGTAAAACCGTTAGCTGTGAGGAAAAAAGATAAGTGAATTAGATTCTTCATCATTTGGAATTAAAGAAACATACGAGAGACGTGACTTACTGAATGTCACGTGTTCCAAGGATATTATGTCTGTCACTTTTAGTACATTCTCCGTAAAAGACTGTATATTAATGTTATTGATCTTTCCAATGTCGCTATCCGCTTTTACAATTACGTTTTTTACTCTTGTAGGCAAAGCGAGATTGAGATAGACTGGCGTTTCAAGATTGTTAACAACAAACTTTGTAATATTTATCGGTCCTTTAAGATGATTTATATCCATCCAATCGTTCATTTGAATATTCAAGTCTACATAACGTAATAATATAAATTTAATATTACGAAAATCTGCCAATTTGGCTGGTCTTACCTCTTAAATTTATTCCCTTAATTTCCGATGCTGAAATATTCTTAACGAAAACGCGACCTGTAAATAGCTTCTTTGAAAAATCAATGCTGCGCAAAGCTGACACTGGACTAAAAATGGTCGTGTTTAAATTATCAGCTCCAATTACGTGCGAAACATTTAAATTTTTTACAACCAAATCATCCACTATCATCGAAGAAGTTCTAATTTCCGGAGTGACGACTTCCGTAGCACATAAAGGAATCGTCAGTCTGAAAGGAATATATTTTTAGAATTATATATATATATATATATTTTATAACAAAGAGAGGAAGACATACTTTGGAATCGGAAGCTTTGCATAAGTATCCTTTGTCAAAACGACACTATTGTTCGTAAATTTTGCACCAGAAATAACAGTCTCAATAGAATTCTTCGTCACCCAATTCGTGTAGTCCCACAAAATCACGTTGTTCCATTGCTGTAAAGATAAAGTGCAAGATAAATTTATACATCGTATATATAAATTTTAAAATAATTGTAAATAATTACTGTCTTATCGCTGGATAATGTTAAGTGCACAGGCACATTAGAATCTAGCGGTATGCGGTTTTCCGAGATCTCTTTTAACGACGGTCCGCGAATACGAACGATATCTTTGGCTTTGATAAGATTGCTAAAGATCACGTCTTGCAAAAAGTAATCGCCGTTAAGGATCAAGGGTGTGGAAATATATTTTATGGGCGCCAATTTTTCAATTCCTTTGCCTGTTATCCCGCCTTTTAATTCAACAAGACCCGTGACTCTCACTTTTGTGGCGGTTATTGCGCCGTTCATTACAGTCATGGAACTATTCAACGGCAAGAAAAATTCATCCTCGGTTAGATATAGCTCTTTCACTCTTGCTTCTCTCATTTGCACTATTTGTCGGGTGCTATTTGTCGCGATGTCCAACGGGATCGAAGCATTTATCGTGTGCAAGTTGATAAAAATATGTGTACCTAAAATTCATCGAAAAATAAGATATAGTATAAAGATATATTAATATTAAAAGTATTTTAAATAATAAAAATTGCGTTGTATGATAAATTACTTGAAACTTCCTGATCTCCAGAAATTTTTAATGTTTTTTCTTGTAGGTCCCGCATCAGTATCCCGTTGATAGATTCTTTCACAGATATATCATCTATATTAAAATTAGGAACAGGACATTTCCAATCATTTATCGTTTTTACTTTTAGTTTGTCAAGTTTTAGAGTCTGATTGGCAGCTTTCGTATTTACGTATTTAGAAGGTTTAACTTTGTTGTCCGTAATAATATGATGAATGTAACAAGATGTCTTGCACTTGACTGTGACCTTTTTGCCATATAAAACTGTGCGTTTAGATTCCTTAGTATTTTCAATTTCTTGCGCCAAGAGATTGTTTACCGCGTTTAATTTGGCGATTGTATTATTATATTGTCGCGTTAAGCGAATCAACGTCTCCGCATTATAATCATTTAACTGTAAGCAATATTTGGATTAAATTTTTTTTTATAATCGGTTCAAGACAAAGAATAAAAATACTTTCTAATCAAAATAGTATTAAAAAATTGAGAGGCGATACATCCCACGAACATCTCTTACGTTTTGAACACGAAGTTGACCGATATTTGCGTTCGGGATGACGAGATTTCTAGACTCTGGAATTTTTTCCAAGGTTCTTTGAGACAACTTTCGCTGGATCTCCAAACACCAAGCAGCTATTTCATTCTGTAAGGACTTCCATGTCTTCTTCGCGGTCCAAATAGGTCGCAGAAATTTCCATTCCCCATCTTGATTTTGCGCCATCAGTATATCTTGATTATTATACGAACGAATTCGACGAATTTGACGAGTGTTGGACAGATTTATGTGCGTCTTGAGAAATCTCCATCCATTATACTGATAAATTCTCACAGCATCTTCCTCCGCGAAGAGAAGAACGACAGTGTTTCCCATCGCCAGGGAATGAATATACGTCGCCGAAGCGATTCTTTGAAACGGGACGAAGCGACCATACATTTCTTTATACAAAATTGTAGAATCGTTACCGGCTAAAACTAGGAAACGCTCCTCAAAGTGATCTTCTTTGAAGTAGAATGAGCTAACATCTCTAGCGTAATGCAATCTCTGCATCTCTACGAATTTATTGGAACGCATGGAAAAGCGAAATATCTTGGTGAGAGATCCTACAATCGCAATGTGCATGAAGCTCTTGCTCTGGAAGGGCAATAATTTTCTTGCTCCGAAATGTAAGGTATCAGTTTTATCAAAGTGCTCTCCGAGCCATACGTATACGAATATTTTCGTCTTTGATGCGATTCCCAAGTATAATTGATTCATTCCGAGCCACATATCCGCGTGCATCACTTCGGGAATCTCGAACTCTTGTTTGAATTGTAATTCGTAATTAGCGTTCTTATTCTTGCCGACACGTAAAATGATGATTCCATCGGTACCCTTTTGCACGACTATAAACGTACCGGCGCTATAACTGGTTACGATTATACGTCTTCCATCGGATAGTGGATGCGTTCCCACAAGTTGTGCTTTATTATCCTAAAAAAATAATTATAATTGTAAGAAATAGAGAACTTTGTTTTTATCCTTTAAACATTTAATTAAGATATTGTAACGTACAACGAATTGATAAAGCGATATATTTGAGGAATGGACGGCTGCTGCAAGCCAAAACGTTTGCTGATGTTCATCTTGCATAGAAAAGAAAGCTACGTCCTGCAAATCTGATAGATTTAAAGACGAAGTCTCTTCGAAACCTTCTAGTATATTTACATCTATAAATAAAATCAAACAGTTTCGGATTATAACTCAACGCATTTGTAAAATTCATATTTTGTTTATAATATAATAAATTAAAAAATTAAATTAAAAAATTGAGATAATAATTTTTTAATTTAATTTCTTACATATTTTTTTATTTAATCGTTTTAATTTAAATTATATTATTATTATATCAAAATATCGGATATAAAAATAAGAAATAAAAATAAGAGAAATTATAAAATTAAAACAAATATTCTAATATAAGCTCTTAATATTAAAAGTATTAAAAAATCATTTTCATTCGTATATAATATATACTTTAATTCATGATTGCTATTTAAAAGGAATAACCCATTCTAATCGCGAGTATCAGCTGACGTATCAACTGATCTTTTGATAACCTTAACGTAATCGTTGAAAGCACTTTCATACACATAAAAGAAAGAGTTCGAACGATCAGTATTTATCATTTCAGTTCAACCGAGCTAAATGTCGTCAAATTAAAAATCCGACAGCGAGACAGAAGGATTTATTATTCTATCGTATGAGTCAACGTTCAAAACATGTCTACTCCAGGGGAGATGACGGAAAATTTGTCGGCACAGGTGAACGAGCTGCAAGCTTTGCAATCCGTCTACCCGAACGAACTCGTCGTAGCAGATTATGGGGTTTTGGCTGATATAAACGAATACATCGAACACCCTAATCGAGAACCACCTCGATGGTTGGAATACTCTATCGCGATCCCATTGAACGGTGTAATGCAATATTCATGTAACAATATGCATTTAACTACTTAATGTAACGTTCTAATTCGATTTTTGTTCTTTACTGTCTTTCCTTACTATCAATATATAAATGTTATTAACATGTTTGCATCATATTGTAGGAAAATATCGAATTGCTGGTCAACTTGCCAACCAACTATCCACGAGAACAGCCTGATGTGTATGCAAGAAGTTCTCGTTTGGACAGAATACAACAGTGTCTATTGAATAAGGAGCTCTCTAGTATCCTCAAAGCCCAGGAAGTAGGGGAACCCTGCATCTATACATTGATATCATGGTTGCAGGACAATGCAGAAACTTACTTCGAGGCTTCTGCATGTAATCAAGCAATTAAATGTAATGACACGAGTGAGAAAGAGAATGAGACTGAGACACAGACTGCGGTGACTTTCTCTAGATATTGGATTTACAGTCATCACATATACAGCAAATTCAAACGACGAGATGTAGCAAACTTGGCAAAGGAGAATTCAATCACTGGATTTTGCTTAGCCGGCAAACCAGGAATCATTTGCATGGAGGGAAATTTGGAAGATTGCGATTATTGCTGGCAAAAAGTAATATTAACGATGATTTTTCTATATCTTAATTATTTATACGGGAATAATTTATATACTTATAATCTACAGATTAAAACTATGAACTGGCACAGGATATTAATAAAATTTTTGGAAAAAGAGGAAGATTGCAATGATGTGGATAGCATGTGTAGGTTTGCAGATTTTCAAGAGGTCTCCTTTCCTACCACTGAGCGTCACAATGATATGGGCCAACTTCTCAAATATTTAACAGACCACAACTGCCAGCATGCATTCAAGGAACTTTTTGGTATCGAAGGGAAATTTAGTAAATTATCAGATTGATATAATTACATAAAAGTAAGAATATTAATATTAAATATGCATTTTGTACAATTTCTTTCAATTAATATAATAGAATATAATAGAATATAATAGAATTTCACAAATAGAGTTAAAATTCTTTACCTTTATTGGATTGTAAATCATTCGGAAGACTCCTTTTTTGTCGCTTGTGGCTTTGAAAGATTGTTTTGGTCACATTTTCCATATATTTATTAATTGTATTATTAATATCATTTGAACTGTCAGTATTTAATACTTCGTATGCTAAAAATGCCAAATGTTTCATAAATGAAAACAGAAATTTTTACATATGAAAGAAGACATTGTGAATATTAATATTTTACCATTAGAAAGATTTTGAAAGTATTCTGTCGTTTGATCAAGTATCGCATACAAATTTTCCGTCGAATAACTTTGAAAAGAATGCTCGCACTTTGTCATACATATTAATGTGATAATTGGAAGAAACTTTTGTAACATATTTGAACAGCACAGCGTAGCTCTCAACCTACTGATCACGACTGATGACAACAGTGGGTTAGCTCTGAGTGGACTTACTATTCAACAGTATGTTGTGTTTACAGTTTTTTTTGCACATAACTTATACACTTTCAAATTCCAATCTATAACATGTATGTGTACACATAAATACTAATATGAATACAAACACAATATCAAGTCTCAGAATTTCTCTCATTTATAATATTATGTTTTGATAAAGATGATTTACTCTTGACAAATGGATACAATAGAATGAAATAAATAACAGCCTATAAGTGATTGAAAATGAATTAGTTTATAATCTTCTGAACTCAATTTTGACAAATAAATAATAAAATTTTATTCTTTTTCATTTATAAATCTTATCTAATAGTGGCATAGCGTAAAAACTCATTGGTGAGAAACTGTCCTGGAATATACGGCGCTGGTGGGCCAAGAATATCCTGTGCAGGACTATGAATCTTGATTTGTCTCATATGAGTATCTCTGCCATTCTGATGATTGCTAATGACTGCTATTTGAATCATGAATGTCCTAATGGGACGATCGTTTATGTTTTTAATTGGAATTACTATCCAACCACTTGGTTCGTTTAAATCCATCACTTCCACCTCTTGTAGATCATTGAAATTGGTCCCTGCTCTGATACTTATCCTAGAAATTGACAGTTATTATTTCTATTAATAACAGCTAATGTGTTTATAATTTATAATCTACAAATAATGAGAAATATACCTGTTGGGAGTATAACTTTCATCCAGTTTGTAATCTGTGTAGATGCATATGTCACGAATGGTTGTTTTTCTTTTAAATTGTATATTTACTAAATGAGGTAACTGTCCATCTGATTGCCAATAGGTTTCCGTGATATCATCCCGAAGCTGATCCACGCCGAATCCCGGTTTGCAACTCGACAAACTCCAGATCGCATAATTTCCAACTTCCCGTACTCTACCAGTCAGCTGTTCCTGTACAGGGTCTATCTCACCTGAAAAGTTTTTCATACACATAAGGTATATCATTACTCGAAATGTATTTCTCAAATTTTTTCTAGAAACTTAATTTGATCAATAACAATATGTGCAAAACGAAAGATACATTACATTTACCTGCGTTATTAGTCTTATTACTCATAGTTAGGTTAGATTTTTCAAATCAGCAGTTCCAACCTCAACTTCTTATTCTTAATTCTCTGTCGTAGCTATTACAACATACGTGAAAAATAACAGCAAATCACATTAAGATAACAATATAATTTTATGTTAATTTCTAGTCTCTTTGATACACATGCATAAATGTTTGACATGTTTCTCGCATATTTTAAAAACCAATTGTGCCCTTTCTCGATTCTCGATTCGTTTGAAATTTCGATACTCTCGAACGATATTTCAATTTCATTTACGCTGCTTCAAAGTTCTTTTTCAAAATTTTACATTTACATATATTTTAAATGCTGAAAACAGTTAACTCGCTTATAAGAGAGTAAGGAATAATTACATCTTACTTATAACTATACACTTAGTCAAGCGAAAATAAATTTGATTGGTTTCGCCATGTTATTAATGTGTATATGCCAACAATATGGCGTGCATTGTACTTTACTGTCTAGTAACTCTCTTCATATATGATTGAAAAATGTCATAATTTAGGAATTACTGAATTGGATCAATACCTTAAAATGATATACAATAAATTCTCTTCTTCTTCAGTATGTTATAGAGTTTATTTTATTCTATGCTTGCGTTGCAATATTGCAAGTTATAGTTGATTTAAGATGAAAATATAAACAATTAAAATAAAATTAAATGTATTAAATATAAATATAAATTTTTTTCACATTAAAACTGTTGCAGGATAAGATTATATTTATATGATAAAATGTCTATTAGACATTATATCCTACATATAATTTTGCTTATATTTATTAAATTAGACTTTACCTTCAAAATATTCCATCATAAAATTGTAGATAGGAATTGTCTAATGAATTATATGTATAATATTACATGAAGTTATAGTTATATAATCACTTATTATACTATATTATTAATATCATATAATTTAAACTAATAAAAGTAAAGCTATAAATTTCATCTTTAAATTTCTCTATTAATCAGAAATTAATTTCTTCATAGCGAGAATTTAATCAGTGTTATTTTTTTATTATGCTCTTTCTATTCTTTCTCTATTTAGTCCCATACAGCACAAAAAATTGTAGCAATGTTACTGCAACGTTACAACAATATTAATAATATTGCTGCAATATTCTGTGCTGTGTGGGATATTATTACGTATTCATTCAAATTCTGTTAACAATTTAAAAAAAGACTATTATTATACTGAATATAACATAACATATAATATAACATATTCTAAATCTCACTTATACACAGATATATATTATGTCAAGAAGTTAAAACAAGTATAAAATTTAAATTTAAAAATTTGTACTTTACATATACAAATCAAAAAGATGTGTATGTGTGTGTAAATAAAATATAGATTGTAAATTTCTACACAATGCGTATATTAGGCTAATTTAAATTTAATTTAATGAATGACAAAAAATAGCTGTAGAAATATTTATATAATTTTAAATTCAATAAAATGGGTTTGATACCAAAAAGAAAAATCTCTATCTTGAGATATATTTTTTGAAAAGTTTATTTATCCCTAAGAGATATACAAAACAAACATTTCTTCTCAGTGTGTAACTATCATAATTCCCCTAGTAGTATAACACAGGAAATTCATGTCATGATTCTTTCGAATATATTCCGTTTCTTTTTTTCTTTTTTCTCTGTTTTTTTTTATTCAATTGTCTGTCCATCAAACAGATACCGTGTCTCACACAATATCAGTATCAGTTACAATTCGCTCTTTTTTTCCATAACCAGCTATATGTTAAAATTATGCATATCTGCAAATCAGTATTAAAATATTACAATTTGATATTTTACAATCGTTTGTTATTCGTGTTTTCTAACTCCCTCTAGAAAACAGGTTCCTTTTCATTCGTTCTGCTCATCCTGATAAATTGTTAGAATAATTTTTTTTACGTCGATAATGTGAGACAATGTTTTCTGGGGAAAGGAAGAGTACGGGAGGTGGGGGAGAGAGATTTAACGATTCGAAAGAAGAGACAGTAATTTCAAAAATTACTGTGAGCCAAATGTCGAGGTGCAAGTCCGATCATAATAAAGCTTCTAAAATTTATATAAATATACGAGATAAACAATATATATATATATATATATATATATATATATATATATATATATATATTCATCTCGTTTTAATCATTGATGATAACGAAGAAACAAGTGAGATCCTATCTTTTTCTTTCTTTTTTTTGTAAATCTTCTTTTACTATTCGGCTCCTCTCAGTCCCCTCTAATCCCGAATGCAATTAGAATCACTGTACACGCTATAGGATTTAGGAATGTTAATATTACAAGAAACCACAATAATTTATTATAATACAGCCTGCTGTACACCAGATGACTCGAGGCAGTACAAGACAGAGAAAAACGCCCTTTGCGGGGAGCTTATCTTCTATTAATTCAACTCCCAGAAACATGGCTCAACGAAGCGAACAATGATCATTATATTTATCATTTACTTGAGTCTCGAGACGATAAGATTTGAACGTATTATTCTTTTACTACTTTTGTTTTCTTCAATATGAATTAAAAATGTGAGTTAAAAACGAATGTGAGAGGGAGAATGGCAAGGGGCAGGGACCACTTTACAATTGAGCTCAAAAAAAGAAAAGAGTCGAGTAAAGATGGAAGTGTCATCCTTTTCGCGACGTTAAAGCGATAGAAAAAAAGAGAATAAAGAAACAAACACGACTCTGCTGGTATCATCGAAATTAGATTAAGACTTAATAAACGAAATATCTTGCGCATCATCTTGCGAGCGATCGACTTGTCGAATGAGAAAAATTTGTGGTTGAAATGACGGGCTGCCGGCAGCCTCGAAATTAGCGCAACTGGTTTATAATAAAATAGAATAAATTTCGCGAATACAATGATCGTCGTTTTGTTTTGAGAAATAAGAACTCGGCGATACCGCTGCTCCATGACGCTGGGATACCATGCTACTAATTTTGATTTAGTATTAGGCCCTTGCATATGAAATGTCGGTTTTACATCAATAATATCCTGAGGTAATTTATAATAAAATATAAATATACACATATAATGAATAAGAAAATTTTATAATGTTTTTCTTCATGTTTTCCAGAATAAGAAGCTATGTAGTATATGTTGAATATTTTGTGATTAATGTAAATGTTGATAATAATATTTTATGATTAATGTAAAAAATTTAAAGATAAAAGTACATGTGTATTAAATATTTTAAGATTAAACAATCATTCGAAATAAAGAAGAATTAAATAAAGAAGATAAATCTTACTTTACATTTCAGATTAAAAATTTTGCATACTAGTACTTTTGTTATGCTGATTCTTTCTAAATGGAATTTATGCCATAAATTGTTTCTATAATTATCCTTATAGTTAATTTTTCTTCTTATTTTATCAATATATTCGGGCCTAGAGCTTCTAGAAATCGATTAATGCGCATAGTATATATTCAGCGATGTTGATTAATTAAATCCCAATCCCATGCCGCGTAGAGCGAGAATGCAATCGAGAAAGAAATCGCACAATAATTTTCTTGAAAACAAATGATACGTATACAATACAACCTCTCTAAGACGATCTTCCAAATTTGGTATTCTTTCATCATTATCCATCGTAACACTAATATCATGACACTTTCATGGACAATTGAAGACATGCACAGAAGTGTTAATCTCACAACTATATGTAGAATTTGATAGCTTCATATACGCAATTGCGTTCATGCAATGCGTGGAAATTAGTTATTTTCGCATTGTGGTACAAATAACTACTCTTTCTTGGGAATTTTCTTTTAATCCAAAGTTATAAGACAGAGGTTCTATTGTAATAATAAATTATTTATCATTTGTCTACTATAACAATGATAATAATAGAGAATTAATAATTAATAGTAATATTATATTAATATTATTAATGTCACATTTGACTTTAAAATAAGAAAAAGTTAATGTTACATTAAATATTTTTCAATTTTTTCCCGTAAATTTACTATAATCTGGAAAAGAGTAACTGTTTTACAAAAACTGTAATATACTCTTATAAAAGTATCGTAAGATTTCAACATGATATAAGTTTAACTATTAAAAGATATTCAAAAAAGCGACATCTCATATGCAACGGTCTAATAGAAGCTGCGAGCTACATACACACGCATTCTCTCTCTTTTCCTCTCGCATACAATTCTTTCGATCCAAGTCATAACATCGAGCTTATTGGCTACGTAATTAAGGCTCAATCACGTGGTGGTTCGTAGCTTGTAATACCGCCGCGTAGTGTTGGAAAAAAGTACATCGCATATACTAAAAAAAGACATAGAGAGTCGCCGGAGAATTCAAGTCTGTGTTAAGATACACGTATATACTTAATTCTAAATACTTACAACTATTATAAGAAACATGATGGTGTGTACCTCTCGGTCAAATCAATCGTTTATTCACACAAAAATATGCATAAAACGGCCCCATGCCCCAATACGCGCACTCAACACGATCCTTTCATTAAAAATTATATGAAAAAAAAAAAAAGAAAAACGAAGCTTTCTCTGTACAAGGATATATAACAATAATCTGTTTATATTTATTTTATCTCGCAATATGATTGTATTTTTTTTATGTCACGCTGGCGACGAATGAACTGAACTGAACTGAATTGAACTTAAAATCCCCAAAAATATAATATTAATTTCGCAACGACGCGACGTATGACTCGCCCCTTTTTAAAACAAGGATCCGAGAGAGCAATTTCGTTGTATCTCTTCCACGCAAATCATAAATCACGTGGAAAAGACGAAAGGACGATATTCTCGCGTGTTGAAGAATGTGAATATTCGCGAAAATCTGCAAGATAACGATCATCTCCGATCCTCGACTATAGGAGCCCCGTCATCATCGCGCGTTTCGTCATTAGTAAACTAAAGCTAAATAGCTCGTAACATAGCGTCGATAGAGCAAAAAGTCAACAATGATTGAGCCCCTGCGCCTTCCATTCATCAAATAGAGAAAGTGTGGGCATCCACTGTCTTCTTATTTCTCTTTCGCTCTTGCTTTTTCTCTCAATTCTGTTATATTTTTTTTGTTTCTTCCGCTATCCTACTAGCCACTTTACATCATCATTACTATCAATATGTTAAAGTACAAATGTTCCACTCACACAATGATCTCTCTCGCGCTCTCGCTCACGCTCGCGCAGCACTCATACATATATCAGTTTTTCCTTTTAAAATAATTATCGTAATTAGCGCGGATTACTTTTATCATTATCGTAAATAATCGGGGAAAGAGAATTAGGAGGTGTTGATTGGTGGGGATTTAAAGAGCTTGGTTGATTGATTGGTTGGTTGCTTGGTGATTAGTTATTTTGTTCTCCTAATGATGCTGGTGTAAGTACGCTCACGCTAAGGTCAATGGTACGTACAGTAGGTGAGGTATGCTTTCAGGATGAAGGACACGGGGTGATAGATGAAGAAATTTCGACGTGCATCCGCTATTCGTCGTCTTCTTTCCATTCCTCTTCGCTGTCACTTTTTACAGTTTGGTTCGCCGGCGCTCCTCCCATCATTGGGGCACCGTCGTTTTGTATTTTCTTTTTGTACGCGGTCATTTCCTGTGAGAGAAAAGATATTTTATCGTATTTCAAAACCATGATCACACAGAAGATCTTCGGTTCATTTCATGAATCTGTTTTATGAAATACGAATTGGAATGAAAAACAAACAGAAATCAATTTGTTGATGTATAGTGCAAAGTTTTTGATTTTTCGTTTTTTCACACAGCTAATATGATTATGATGCAAGGAGAACCTTTAAAAAAGTAAGAGATTCCGCTAAATTTAAATATTTTACCCTTTCATATCGAGCTTTGTCCTTCTCCGCCATAGCCTCGTATTTGGATTTGGTTTCGGGATCTGCGTCTGACCATTTCTTGCCTAATTCCTTAGCTATATCGCCTACACCGTATTCAGGATTCAGCATTTTAACCTTGCCGCGTTCATCATTACAAAACCAGAAGAAAGCGGACCTGATGGAATGAATTAATCGTAAAATCATATTTAAAATTGTATTGAGAATATTATTAAAAAGGTTCATAGTGCAATAACTATACTAAGCTAGCTTCTAAAGTTAGAAGAATTTCATTTTATTTTTTTAGAAGGAAAAAATTAAAATAATTTTTTCCTATAAAAAAATTAAAAATCTTGTTCTGGAAAAATTAAATTTAATATATTTTTTTTATTTTAAGATTATAAAAGCAGATCTTATTACAGTTATGCACTAAATTGTGAAACAAATAGTATCGTCAATTATAAAAGAAAAAGATCAATGATTTTAAAACAAAATTAAGAATTAAATATAACATTGAGAGAATCATATTGGACTTAAAAGTTTCGTCAAAGATAATAAATATCTATTTAAAACAAAGATTTTTTTAAATACAAATTATAAGTTTTAAGATTTAGTTAAGATTTAAGACCACACGTAGAAATTAATTCTACAGAAAAAAATAGATTATATTAAAAAAATTAATTTTGCGAATTAAGATTATATATCTCGTCGAACCACGACTAGAATGTTTGAAAGCTGAACACGTTTATCCAAATTTTTGACTTTTCTCGCTAGATATTTAAATATTAATCAGAGCATATTCTTCCTCGAGATCAACAAGATACATCATGTACAAACAACATGAAGGCTTACAGTGATCTCTTAGGAGCATTGTGATCCTTAATGTGTTTGCGTTTCTTGCCCCTGCCCTTATTTTCTCCCTTGGGCGGCGTGTAATTTTGCATCTCTGCGTCGTATCTCTTCTTATCTTTCTCTGCCATTTCGTGGAACCGTTTCTTCTCTATGTCCGACATAGTCTACGATACATGATATCCATTTAAATGTATGCAATGTTAAAATTTCTATGCAGTTAGTTTCAAATTATAAAAAACAGTAGTTAACAAAATATTTGAAAAATAAATACTCCATTATCTATGAAATATTTTAAAATCATATATATGTATGTGCAATTAAGCGTTTAAAAATTTTTAAAAAGTCAATTATATAAAAATCAAGCTATATAAAGTTTATTTTTATATATCTCTATTGTATCTCTATGGGTATACTATTAAAATTATTTATATTTATAGTTCTATTTATATTTTAGACATAATATTATATTTCTAACATTTTAATTTATATAATGGTTTGTTTATATAACAATAAATAATTTAATTTAAAATATTAACTCTTACCTTCCACCTCATTGCACATTTTTTGGAGAACTCCCGGAAAACAATCTTCTCCTCAGGATGCTTCTTTTTGTGCTCTTGACGACATGTCTGGACGAAGAACGCGTATGCTGTCATCCGTCCTCTTGGCTTTGAATCTTTTCCTCTCGGCATATTGTCCCGCTGCAGACTCTGAGCGTTATTTTGTTGCAGATTATTTTGCGGCAGCTGCTGTATTTGGTGCTGAAATCCAAGCAAATGATCTATCATATAATACGCCGTCACAAAAAATTATATAGCTATAATAAATAATAAACGGATAATAAATTTGTTCATTTTAAACAACAAGTCATAACAACGTTACAATAACTTTTACTTTCGCATTAAAGAAAAGATTTCTAAAATAAAAATCTTTTATTCTTACATAACACAAATTTAAATTCTAAAATAACAATCTTTTATTTTTATAAAAATAAAAAAGGATTGTAAATTATAGAATAGAAATTTTTTCTATGCATTAAAAGCAATTTAAATGCTAAAATAGAAGTACATCTATTTTTTTTATATTAAAAATAAAAATTGTTTTCCTTTAATATTAAAATATATTAAACATATTTAATGTTAACAAAATATTAATTTATTTTAATGTATATTTGCAAGAAAAAATTTACGTGATGTCTCGTTTTCGATCATTCATTCCGTTCATAATTTAGTATAGTTTCATTAAAAATAAACAGGAGGCATTAAGAAAGAAATAGATTTTAAAATTTTCTATCTTTACATTAAAAGAAAACTAAATTGTATAAAATAGAGACTCTATCTATTTTTAGATTACAAGAAAAATTCGTGTATACATACACGTGTGCAAAATAAAATGTATCGTCGTTTAAAAGAAATTTGCGTAAGAAGAAGAGGTGAGAAGAAAATTTCCTCGCACATTACTGACTAAAGGAGCGATCGTGAAAAAAAATGGAAATTTGCAGAGATGACAAAATACAAAAGATCAAGTTACTTAAGACTTGGTACGAGCGAATTTAATAATTTATTCGCGAGATAACTAAGATGTGTCGTTACGCACTTTATACGTAATATGACTTGCGTGTTAAATTAATGAACGGCTGCGGCCCGCGATTTCACATTGACAATGAGACACACGTAACAATGCTCGCCGTACACAAACGCGCGTTTTTGATTCTGTCAAGTAACAATGGTCATTATATTGTACGCACGTGTGTGCACAATATTATACAGTAATTATATTATATATTATTATATAATTATTATTATTATATACATTATATATTATTATTATATACACCTATACAAACGTACAATATATAGACCGTTATTACTCCGGATTGCGGATAATAATAGTTAACACGTACCTGCAGAAATAATCGGAAATCTAGTTGACCTACGTGCGGATGTGAGATCTGCCGGCAAAATAACTACTATGTAGAATCGGCATTGTTATTGAGTCGCGCCATAAGTAATGCAAGTTTTTTTTTATATATTTTTAAACCAAACATAAATCTCGCAAAAGTACATCTGTTTCAGTTACTTGATATCGTTACAACATAATTTTTTTAGAATAAAACTCGCATTATTTATGCGGTTCAATAGATCGTATTACATAAAATATATATCTGATATAATTAATTAATATGTCCGACTTTAATTAATCAATAACAAAAGTTAATATCCTCTGGTAAATAAATATTCTTATAGAACTATATATATATATTAATATATATGTATGTATATGTGCATATACAGGGATATATCTATGGAATATAGAAAAAATTTAAAAATATAATCGAGCGATCGCATTACTTTTTTTTCTCTCGCTTTCCCGCGATCGCATATGTTTCCATGCAACATTTTATGCACTCGCTGCGATATGCGAGGGATTAAAAATTGATACCTCTCGAGCCGCAGGCGTTGCATTACGGTTTTCTATACTCGCAGCAATAAAAATAAAATTAATGTAGAACATGTAACGGCGATTACATATTTATGTTAAATCATCTCTTACGAACCTTGTTGAAAAAAAGAAAAAATACTTTAGCTTGTGATTGCGATTTCAGCAGGTGTTCTTAAGCGCCCAAAAATGCTGTCGTCGCGAACACTTTGCGTATAGATTTTATTAATTTACGAAAAATAGTAACGGAAAATTGAAAAACACTGACTTTCGATTGAAAATTTAGCAACTACAGTTTTTTATTGTATTTGCTAAAATTACTATTCACAAATTACTGTTTGCGATATAATAATATAATAATAGAATATTATAATACAATGTTAATTACATATAATATTAATATTAATATTTAGTAAAATATATTATTAATAGTAATATTATATATTACAAACATCATCATATCATATACATACATATATTATTTAAATGAAATATTGCATTATCAGAAAATTTTAAGTCATGCAAGGAATATTTTAAGCATGAGGTATTTTTTCCTTATGTACACTTAAATGTAGAGTTTAAATGTTAAAAATATATATTTAAAACTATCTAAATTGTTTTATACTTTATTCTATTTTCAAATTTGAGAAAAATATTTAAAATTCTAGTTCTATGTTCATGTAAATAATATAAGCTGTATTTTTTTACTTAGTTAGCAGGAGTCATTTTTTTTATAATTATTACGGAAAAATTGTGAAGGGATTAAAATAATGCAATGAAAAATTTTAAAATGCAACGACACCGAGATATTGATTATTCACGCGCGTATTCAGATACAAAGGGCAAAGGATTAAATTTACATTATATTACGAAGAACATACTACTGGAAAATATTATTATGGAGAATTGCTCTCTTAAAGCTCTCTTTAAGCTCTAATTTAAAAGTGAGATTGTAGAAAAAAAAATTAAAAAATGATATATTCTTCAGTATCACGTTCATTTATAAGTGCAACTTAGAATTAAGAATGTGTTTCTCCGACACGTAATTCTCTTAAATAGACTATATTTTTGGTCAATTTCGAGAATTACTCTCAAGCGTAAGCTTCAGAACATATCTACTCTCACTATCGGAGAGCATTGTCGTGTGTCTGTTAATTAAAGCGTAAATTGTGCTCATGCTCCTGTTAAAGCTTCGGCTTCAGCTCGATATCGTACACACCTTTGTGTAGTAAGATAAAAAAAATCATAGAAATAGTTTCAATAAAAATACACGACGTGAAAAATATCAGACTAGTAAACGACGAAAAAAAAATCGAAATACTCTTTCTTCTTTGTCAATCTAATGTTTACATAAAGTTGAGAAACCTATTTCTAAATTTTTTATATATAGTATATTCCATAGAAACATAAATAGAAAAAAATAGTAATTTCATATGCTTTATTATTATATTAATATACTATATTATTATTATATTAATATACTATATTATTTTAAATATTTATTTTCAAACTTAGAAGATTTTCTTTTAATTTTCACATGAAATATTACGCAAAATTCCAAATTGCTCCGCTTTTTTTTTCAAAAATTATTATCCTGAAATTGCGTAATTGGACTCATTTATGATAACTTTTAAGTATAATCTAACATTTATCCTGAACAGAATTTCTCTTTCGTTACACCAAGTTTCGACTATCTGTCTATTATCTTGCGATGAGAGTAAATTATACATCTAATTTTAATTTTTTATATATCACTAAAAATGTCAATAATCAAAAGATTGTGAGGGGATGGCGATCTCAAATTCCTATCAAATTCGCAAAAAGAAAAAAGGTTATTGCTTTATATATCGCAAAAAGACGAAGATAATCGAAACATTGTTTCCCGGAAACATAATTGCAAAGAATTTTAATTAATAATATATCTATCAAAAATTAATATATTGTAATATTATAAATTTAGCAAAAGAAAGAGAGAGAGAGATTTCAGATCAATTCTATTCTCTCTTTAAATAATAAAATTATTTTTTTACTCCATACATAAATATGCCTTCCGATATTGTCCAAATTTAAATTTCAAATTAGCGATCGATTAATATAAATGGTTCTAAAGCAAAAGAGAGATTGTATGTGTGCAGAGAATATCTGTAATCAATATAATGCGAAAACTGTTTTGTGTGAAAATTTTTAAATCTGTATTCGATCATAATTTCTCTCTCAAGTTTCCTCCTTCCTCCTTCCTCCTTTCATCACAGTGTCTGCATACATGTATGCTTATCTCACTTTTAGTGTCAAAAAGTGTAACATAGCGTAGTTAAAAAAAAAAAAAGGCAGACCTTTTGACACTTTATGCCGATGAAATCGCGAGCCGGGAGAAATGAAAACGAGATACCAACGGCGCGGCCGGACTCGTTGAACGCGAACGCACTTACGAAGAAGGCCGTACGAAACCCGGAATCAATAGCGGACGGCGGATGTGCGGGACGGACGGACGGACGGACGCGGACACGGCGGGGCGAGAGTCGCGCGCGCGAGTCAGGACGGGAACGCGAGCGACGAAACGCGCGAAAACTCGGCCTCTCTCTTTCTACCGAATTTTAATTTATATAATGATTTTTAGTCATAATTACAAGTCTCGATTTTTCAATTACGTATATTGAATTATAGCATCGCAAGTGAATGCAAGATTGTTTTTCTTAGGCATATATTGATATATAGATTTTTTCTACATCATAACTTGTACTCGATAGAAACCACAAAACGCCCTAAAGATTCCTCTCGATTTGTGTGAAATTCCTTTTAAGATAGTCTCTTCTTTTTCATTACTTTCGTCTAAAGCTTCGTCGAATTAAAATAACAAAAATCGAGTGATTAATCGGTCGTTTATTTTTTCGAATAAGAGATAAGCAAGTGTATCAGAATGCTCCGAGAAATGTCTTTCGGTTTTTTTTTAATGCAATTTATAAAATGGACTTTGAATTAGACAGAGGAGAAAAAATGCGAAAATTTAAAAAAGTGCGAAAAATCAGAACACTATATGTAAAATATATTCCATTACTGCTGTTTGTATTAAAGACTAGTCCATGTTTTCAAGATATTAAAATAGAAATTCCTCACATTATTACTTAACACATTATGATGCAAAGTTATTTTTTAAAAAATCGCGTTTTTTTTACTTCAAAACGTATGCTTCTCTGCTTCTTCCCCTTAATAAACGCAGAAAATTTAATTATTGCAATTATTCTCTTTTTATCGGGGATGTTAAAATCCGTTGAATTCCAACATATTTCTTGCGCGCAAGACGACTATCTTTTTATCCAATAACAATCCCCTCTTCTTTCTACCGCGGAGATATTAACATAGAGAGTAAGCGAGTTATGTATTTCCTCGAGTAAATAAGTCTTTAAATGTACATAAATGAATGATGAGACGAAAAATATGCGAATATTTTTTTAAACGTTACGTTCGCGACATTGTCTCTTTGTTGCCTACCAAACCTCATCTTATGCGTACAATCAAAGGAATTCCAATACATCATGATTTTTCTCGAGATATTTTTATATCAAATATCGCCAATGATTTTATTTCTTAATTTTATTTTCATCGTTTCCGTAATAAAGTACGAACGTAATAAAGTGAAGTCATCTTAAACTTCATGTTTTTGTTTTGTATGTGTGAGTGTAGGAATATTTTATTTTATTAAGAAATAAAATTTGAGATATTTAATTTTACATTTATAGTTTTGGAATATTCTCTCTTCTAATGTTCATTGATTTATATTTAATTTTAAAGTTTACGAGCAATGGAAATAAGATGAATAATTGGATGCATGAAGCATACTATCCAAAAATATATTTCGTTGAAATTGTATCATTTCAACAATAGAAAATTAACGAAAACGTTCAATTCGCTATTTTCGACAATGTATTGCAACACGGGATGAAAAACAACGATGAATAAAATCAGATAAAATTTTTCATCATCAAGAGAGAAAGAAAAAGGGAAAAAGAGAGAAATATGAGATTTGCTTACTTTTTAAGATAAATATACCGAGCCGAAAAACATATTATACAACATAAAGTCAAATTTACTTAGATCCCTTTTTTATATCCATTATAAACGTAAATCAGATTAAAAAAGTTCTGTGATAATTCTTCTAAAAACGTGAGAAAATTGAGTTTTAGAATTATAGAACATCTAGAGAAGAAATTGAATTCGTTAAATGCAAAAAATTCGAGAAAGCGTGATTAAAACGAACAGATATTTTTTTCGGCATGCCTTCTGTTGGAGGCAATCGAAAAAAATGTTGTCAAAAGTGCCGCGTGGCCACCTGGTCGGACCGGGTATATCTCTCTCTCTATATTATAGCCACCCGCTCGCTCGCTCGCTGAGCGCGCGAAAGCGGCCGAAAGGCCGGTAAGCAGAAGAAGCGAGGGGGACAGGGTGCGGAGCGAGGTCATCGCGTTTCGGCCTACTACAACGTAGTACAAAGGCGTCGCATAAACGCCATCCCGTTACCGAATAGTCATTTCTTAGATGGGATCTATTCGACGCAAATTCCATTTGCGAGATAAAAAGTCGATCTATATTAATTTCCTCTTATTTTATCTAAATCTACATTGATTATAGTATAGTCTCTCATTTATGTCTTAAGGATCTGTTCTTTAAAGGATTAAATAAATATTCATTATCGATTCTCGGTATCTTTTCAACCGTCTATCATTGCAGAGAATGGATGCGAGTAACCAATTAAACGTGATTAAGTTTGCGATTGAAAAATGAGCGTTTGAACGAGGCACTCGCGAGTGCCGAAAATATACGAAAGCGCAAGAGAAGACGACATGCCGCCTGTCGAAAGAACGCAAGAGAGATTCGCTCGGGAAAAGAAAAGAAATTCCTTCTTTTTCTCAAGAGCTCGCATTCGTGCGTCGCAACATACCGGGGACATAACGGGGGGCGTAGACGTTTGCGTGGTAATGGGCGAGAGGTGTTGCTGCTGCGGCTGCTGTTGCTGTTGCTGCTGACCCTGCAACTGCTGGTGCAGGTTGTTCTGTGCGGCGGCGGCGTCCATGACTCCGCTGCCCGAATACCACCACTGTACGCCGCCGGGCGGCGGTGCGGAAGGTGTGCCGGCAGCGGCGCCGCCGCCACCAGCACCGGCACCCGCGCCGCCTTGTCCAGGACCCGACGCCGTCCCGAGCCTATAATCGTATCCACCCCTCATGCACGCGGCGGCGCTGCCAACCGGCGAGGATGTCGACACCGGACTCGATGCCGCGCCGGTGGTGGCCGGGTTCTGGAAGCTGGAGGCCATTTTGTAAGAGAAGAGCTGATTCGCGGCGGCGGCGGCGGCGGTACTTCGGACGATATCCGTATGGTGCTGTTGAGCGAGCTGCTGTTGCTGCTGCTGTTGCTGCTGTTGCTGCTGCTGCTGTTGCTGCTGTTGATTTATCAGATGTTGATGTAGATTTTGTTGCTGCTGCTGCTGCTGCTGTTGTTGCTGCTGCTGTTGTTCCGTTGAGACGGCGTTCAGGCCCGAGGACCACCAAGCGGCACCGCCGGAGCCATCCTCTCGGTTACCCGGGCTCGCGGTGCCCCAGCCACCGGCCACGCGGTGGTGCTCCGACATATCGTACACGCGAGTACGTCGTCCGTCACCTCAGCCTCTCGTTTTACCCGCCGGTGGCACAACGAGGGAAAGAAGGACGCACGAAGGAATTGCTCACCCGCGCGCGCGCGCACGTACACATGCACGCGCTAGCGTTTCCTTTCTCTTTCTTTCCCTCTTTTTCTCTCTCTCTCTCTCTCTCTTTTTCGCGAGCTATCTTCCTCCCTCCCTCCCTTTCTCTACAGCTTTCTTTCTTTCCCTAATACTCACACGCACAAGCGCGCGCTTGCACGCTCATAACTCGGTAACATCCCGCGTGCACGAACAGTGCACACAGACAGACGCAATAACTCTATCACTTCCCCCCTCCTCTCTCTCGCTCTCTCTCTCTCTCTCTTTCTTTCTCTCGTTCGCACGCTCGCTCGCGCACGTACGCAGAGAGTTCGTCTGTCTCACATTCGCACACTCGGAAACTCGCTGGTACGGACGCTTAAATGTCGGATAGAAGAGGAGAGGCACGTATCGCACGCATGCACGCACGCGTTCAAACGCGTTCTCACTGTCACACAACACTATCCTCGCGTCTAACCGGCCAATAGTGGTTACACCACTACAAACACCGATCGCACTGTATCCGCTTAATGCTCGTGTGCTCGCTTACTCGTGGCGTTACGCGTGTACAAGCGGAACAACGTTTTCCCGTGACTTTTTCTCGCGTAAAATAAGCGCGTAAAACACGCCACGGCGCGCTCGGTTCGGTTCCCGTGGATATACGTACGTACGTTATACTTGGGATGCGGTCTACTCGACGCTACGCTCGACCGTTCGTTAGCTCCGTGAGTAGGTACGGCGGCGGGCAGAGGAGGCAAGCGGGCGGGTGGGTAGGGGAGGGCGCTCTCTCTCTCCCCCTCTAGCTCTTTCTTTTTCTCTCTGCCTCCCCACCATCGACAACGAGAAGCAACGACGTCGAACGCTCACGCCGCTTCGTCTCTCTTCCCCTCTCTCTCTCTCTCTTATTCCTCGTGTATCTCTATCTAGTCGGTTGTCTCGCTTTTTCCCCCTATACCCCGGTCCCGCGGCGAAACTCGCCTGTTCGACGATTCCACGATGGTTCCTTCTTTCAACGGCGGCGCCAACGAAGGATACGAGGGTATATATCGCGTCCTTGATACAATGTCGGAACAGCAGCAGCAACAGACGACAGGCTTTGCCGCGCTCAAGTGCGACACGAGAGACACATGATGCGCGTTCACGGGACGTTTCTCCTGTCGCACGTTACGCGATACACACAGCTCGATTCGCGGCTCGTTTCAGCTTGGTTTGCTTTGATTTGGTTTGACTTGGCGCGACGCGACGCGACACGAAGCGACGCCGGCACGTCCAACGAGCACGCCGCTGACGATGACGATGGTAGGTGACGATAGTGGTAGTGTATCAGTAGCAACAGCGGTTCGTGTAGTAGTAGTAATAGTAGTAGTAGTAGTAGTAATAGCTTTTTCACATTGGAGAAGCAGCATACGCGCGCGCGACTCGCTTCTCTCTCGTCTCCACCAGACTCACTACACACGATGTCGCACACACAGAGGGCGAACCTGCCGAGAACGGACCGCTTGGACGCGCTCGTACGATCTCTTTCTCTCTCTCTCTCCGATTCCCTGTCGTTTCCCCTCGCCCCTTCAACTGGGTATCTCGTTCGCCGCTTCGCCGTCTCTGTTCTTCTTTCTCTCTCTCTCTCTCACTCACACACACGCACGCACACATGCATACACTCGTACCAGTTTAGCCTTCCTTCCAGCGGACGCCGGCAAACTCTCGCGACGTTGCCAAGCACGCTTTCACCCGCCCGCTCACAAAGGAGAACCTAAGCGCGCCGGCCAATCGAACGGCGTCATATCGTCGGTGGGGATGGCGGGAGTCTACCGTCATCGCGCTATAGGCAACGTCGCTTTCTCCTCTTCCGTTCGTTCTCTCTCCGTTCGTAGAGAATTCGAGAGAGCCGCGCGCGCGACTCTCCGTACAGTCCCACCGTTAAGATACGGCGGGGAAAGGGGAACGGGAGAGGAGCGCAGAGGGGCAGAAACGACTGCGAACCCTTCTCTACCCTTGAAACTCGAGGTCAACTTTTAGGCAGAGAAAGAGAAGCACGCGGAAAAAGAAGGAAAAAAAAAGAGAAAGAAAGAAGGAGAGACACGCATCTATCGCGACCGACTAGCTGACTCTTCGTCGTCGTCGTTGCGTGTTCTTTCTTCCGTTTCTCTCTCCTCTCCTTTTTATCTTTCTTAGTTTCGTTACACCGCTACGCTCTCGCTAGCTCGGTGGAATTTGCCCCACATCGGACAGCGCGGGCGACGCTTCCTGTTTCTCGCTCGCCCTTTTTCCCGCTAATACGTACGCGTCCAAGACGAGGACGAGGACGAGGACGCGTGCCACTGTCTTTACCGACCGGGAAACGATATATTTCGGTCGATACGGAAGAATCTTGGAAAATACTCTCCGGAAAATCTCTCTCGTTCCGCGAGTTTGGAATGCGCCTCGAGGAACGTCCCTGCGAGACCGGATTCGAGGTTCTAACGGAACTGATCGGCACACGTATGAGCTACGGCAAGGCGCCATCCGCCATCTTAAACAAGATATCCCTTTTAATAAACATTTTAAAATTTCAATAATCTCCAACGCAATTAATCGCCATTCGAGTTACTCCATCACTGATCCTATATTCCCTAGTCGGCAAATTATAAGTTGTTTTCCGCTCAAATATTTGAAATTGGTTGCTATTCGCGATGGAAGACAAAGCCTCGTTTGTGTTACGTTTCAATTTGCCGCTATAGTTCACCGCTTATTCGCACTCATTTTTTCTCTCCTATACCCCTCATTATCTCTTTACCGATACAACAGTCGCAAGAATGTAATGCGCACGCCATTCTCGCATCGCGACTCTTTCTTTCACAAGCGGGCTGGCGAAGTCGCAAATATCGCGAATTCCGACCCGCGCGAACCGGATAGAGAATCCAACCGATCTCGGGGGAATGGCCGAAATTTTTCCTGACCCCTTCCCGTGAATACGTTGCCTCTTTCTTTCTTTCTTTCTTTCTTTCTCTGTCTCCGATAGCGCGCCAGGAAGATGAAATGAAAATGTATATCGCGGGACCTGTGCGTCGGACCTGTCCTCCCCGTCCCTCCTACCGCCTCGCGTTTCCTCCTCCACCCTCCTACCCCTTCTCCCTCTGGGCAACCCTTGCCGTCGTGAGGCGGCGGGTGAGTCGGTGCGCGGGTAACCCGGCGCGAATCGAAGAGAGAGGAGAACAGAACCGGGTCCGGGTCAATAAGACGCGCGAGCAAGGGAGACAGGGAAAGCGAGAGAGACGGAGGTAGTGGCGTTGCCGAGGCTAGAAGGGGAAGGAGGGGCGAGTGGGAGAGAGGGTACACGGGCGCGAGAGAATCGAGAGGACTGGGGAGTGCGAGAAAGACGAAGAGAGACAAAGCCATCGTGCATTCCCAGGGCCCAGCATTGGCAACCTAACGAACGTATCGTACGTAATGTCCGAAAATATAAAAATTAGCAAATTTCTAATGAAATGAAACGAGAAGAAGCAACAACGAAATGGAACGGTATATAGAAATATGAGGGAGAAAAACGCCGAACGAGAATAGAAAAATGAAAATGGATTCGAATGAAGATGAATTCGAATTGCTCAACCATGTTGGTATGGCTCAACATTGGCCGAACCGGATTCCATTCGAAAATATCTGTGTATTATGCTCGAATAATATTAACGCATGTAGTTTTAAAGATTTAAAATATTCGATATTGAACGATTGATGACTTAATTGTGCCAAATTGTCTAATAGAATACCTTGTCGAATGTATGCACATATACATATACACATGAAAAGTTGAATGACTTCAATACAAAGTCAGACTCGTCAAGATACATGTATACGAGAAGAGTTTTATTTAGCGATCTTATGGCTCGAGATAAAATTTCTTATAAACTTTTATAATTAAAATTTTGAAAGATTTCAATTTCGATTATTATAAGTGAACGAAGAAGAGTGCCCTATCTCATAGATCCGATTCTCACATTTTGACGTGCGCGTTACGCTTGGCACGTTTTTCTTTTCCGAAATGTGTATCGTAATTCTTTATCTAATACAATACGTGGCCATATACGGGACAAAAACAATGATGTCACAATGGCGGGAACCCTTCGAATCCGTACCATCTGCCTTTCGAGGGTACCGAATCGTGCCATGTGGCGATACAATTGTCGCGCCCTGCCGGCCGGTGTTCACCTTTTACCGAATAGTTGAAACAAAAATTATATATATATATATATATATATATATATATATATATATATAATCTTGGATAAAGTTTAATTTGTCAGCACATCTAAAGATTATCTAAAATTAGAATATTATTATCTAAAAATTAGAAGTATCTTTTAAATATGTATTAAATTCTTAATTAATTCTTGTATGTTGGATCGTATCACATCTTTCAAACTAATCTCAACTTTGTTATTTATCAGAAATACAATTTTAAATAAGAAAAAAAAAGAGATTGCTCCGTAATATAAAGATCTTTTAATAAAAATCACAAAATCACGAGAGAATATAATTTTGAAAGTTTAATTTGATTTCTATATTTGTTTTTCCATAGCTGCGATAATTAAATGCAACTTAGTAAATATCAAAACAAATTTATAAAACGAATCTGCATCTACGTGTATGTATCTACGTATCAATTTCATTTGAATTCTTTTATAAATATAGTAGTTATTTATAAGTATAAAACCCGGCAGAAACTGCTTTTTATGAGAGATAAAAATAATATAGATAATTCTATCTTGACTTTTACGAAAATAATTGTTGGCGCGCGAAATTGTAACACATAATCTTGCGGTAAAAAAAATTAATCTCGATGTTTCGTGATTCATTAGAGAGAGGAGAGGGGTCTCTGGTCGAAAATTTCGCGCAGGGAAGAAATAAAAATGAAACGTAGCACGCGCGTTTATACTTGTAACGCACCGCGGTGTGTGTGATGTAACTCTTAGATAACTCATAACTCTCGAGCTCGTAATTCTTAGCGTGTACGACGGAAAGCCGATTATCCGAAACGAACGTAGGCACGGGGAGAGGCGCGATTTGTTCCAACCGAGCGCTTTTGCGGATAATCGATCGACGAGATGTTGTGCATCGACTAAAAAAAAAAAAAATGTTTGCGGCTGTGTGTTTTTCTTTACATATACTATGCTATAGAGCCAACGTATAAGTATACACCGAGTTTAAGCTTCGTTAAAGCTCATAAATGCTTCCGAGGCTTTGAAACATTGAGACGTAGTGTAATACACGAGCGATGCGTTTATACACGTCTGTGTCTTGGACAACAGCCGAGATTCCTACTGGAAACCGGAAGAGGAACTATGTATGGCTATGCGAAAGTGATACAATAATAAAGAAAATAAACGCACGAATCGATTATCCTTTCGGATCAGTGAAGAAGAAATATTCGTAAAGGATAGAAATTTGTTTTGTTGCCGATTTGATGAAATCATTTTCATTCGATAATTAATTATAAATTCATACTAATTATAGAATTTGAATGTAATTTTGATGATTTTATATAAAGTAGCTTTCTCTTTATCACAGATTCTATTACAAGCGTTATTAAACAAACGAAGCTTTATGCTTTATATTAGGAAACAAAATTATAGTTTAAAGAATGATACAGAGTTATTTGTTTATCTTTCGATATTATAAAGCTTTTCAAAATTTGAGTTTTGCTTTTTTTCTACAAATTCTTTGCTACAATTAAAAAATTAACGCGACTGTTCTTTCATGTAGATTATATTTTATTTGTAAAAAACGCCTCTTCCTTTAATTATCTCTCTCTTCCATATCTTATATTCAAAATAAAAGAAATTTATAAAAAGATGTATAAAACTTCAGAGATGATTTATCGTACACAGATGGTTTTAATTGTAGTTTACGTCTTAATGATTTAAAATTCGTAAAATTAGAAATTTATAATAACGTCAAATATATTTGCATTTTAATTGTAATGAATAAACTGTTTTAATATCAGTGCAATAACATATTTATAAACATATACATACTTGTTATAAAGACAACATATTTAAAACATTTCTAAAACATTTTATCAAAACGTTCTTGCATAATACGATTAGTAAACAGAACTGTCATAACATACAATCAGCACTGAAAAGAGAAAGAGAACGGACAAAAATGGAAAAAGCAGATAATGACTAAAATGAATCGATCGAATTTTTATGGGGTGTCGCGGAAATATACATGCGTATCCATCTCGAACGCGCGCGAGGAGCCGTGTCACATGACGATTGACAGGCGAGTAAAATGTCAAGCGGGTGGATCGACGACACGCTTGGCATCTCCACCGCCCGCCGCGCGCTCCAAGAGTTGCGACCAAACTCGTGACCACGTTCGATAAAAAAAAAAAAAAAAAAAAAAAAAAAAAAAAAAGAGTTTAAAATAAAAAAGAAAAATTAATGTATCTAAAATATCCTTTTCACAATAGCACAAATGGGACGTTAAACGGCACGAAATTACGAGTGACAGCTATGTGCCCGAAACATCAAAACATCGTTCATAACATTCGTTACAATGTACAATCGATGCGTGGTAACAAGTCTGGACGCACCTTTATGCTACGCCGCGCTTTGCGCGCGCGAGATGCACCGTCGGTAGGAGAAACGCCTACGTGTAAACACTCCTCTCTGTCTCTCTATCCTCCCTCTCCCTCTCTCTCTCTCTCTCGCTTTCTGTTATTCTATCTTGCCCTCCCGCCAACTCCTCCTCGGTCGTTTGCTCGCGATCTATTTCGCTGGCAATAACGAGCGCGTATATGATCGTCGAGAAAAATAATCCGAGAGACAAAGACAGAGATGTAAGGAGGCATCGTTTCTTCTCGGAATCTCGACGCAAATTCGCTCGCTCTTGACAGCTTTCGAGGGAATCGCTAGCGGGAAAACTAGCAGCAACGCGTCCCGATGTACGATGCCGTGTACGGCGAAGCGATGACTGAGAGTGCGGTTGATTCGTCGACAAACGGTTATGTCGTCTTCCTCGGAGGGAAAAAAATGCCTCGTGCGATGCGTCGCGGGCGAAGCAAAACGCGGGTCGTGCACGTAAGCGCGCGTAGCCTTGACGTCAACGTCGTTGACGCGGCGAGCGAGCGGGCGAGCGAGCGAACGGGCGAGCGAACGAGCGAGCGGCGACCGCGGCCGCGAACGTTTCCACGGCCTCCCAGCGTATCCGCGTCGTCGCGACTCGCGCGGATCTCACCGTCGTACGTGAATCGCGCGATATCTCGGATAATGCGCGACGAAAAAGGCATAAATACGGCGAGACGTGCGCGCGCGACGCGTCCGTCCGGGCAGCCATTTGCTGCCGTGTGCTGACGGTAGGACGGAAATAAAAGGTATACGTACGAGAAACGCAGCACGGTAGCGGCCTACGGCCAACGGACACGCTCGCGTTGGGCGGGTCCGGCGGTGCGGACGTACCCGCCGAGCTTTCGCGAGCCATCCGCTGAATCTGTCAACGCGACCCGCGAAAAATATTTGGATTTTTCTTACCTGGAACGGGATCCGCTACGGCTAAAAGGATTCTTCAGCTTCGAATATCGCGACCCCACGCCACTCGTGCGGCATACGGCCAGTGTACGGGGAAAATCTCCCCGTTACCATTGGCTTATTTCAGATAAGCCGCAAAAAGTAAGCCAATCAGCGCCGACCTTTTATGTTTTGGTGCGTTTCTTTTTGCCCCCCACCAAATAAAATGTCGGCTGATCGAAAGGGCGGGAAAATGCGTGCGGGCAAAGCTGCGAGTTAGACGGCAAACGCAGCCGACCTCGTCGCCGTCGTGGCCGCCTCCTCGAGGGCGGACGCGTCCGACGACCGATCCCGCGCGTCGTCTCTCCCTTCGTTCGCCGATACATCCTCACGACCGTCTCCGCGACATCATTGAGGTTAGGCATCGTTTCTATCGTAGATGGCGCCAGTCGACGCCGAGGCGACCGAGCTGATGCAGGATTGCCAACGTCGGAGCGAAAAAAAATCAACGGAGAAAACTCGAGACTTGTCCTTGCCACGCCGTCGTCTGCTCCTGCCATCTTCTTGTCCAAGAAATTCAATCGCGCGTCCCGAAATCAACTTTATTGTTTGGAAGAAAATACGTCGCGCGAAAAACACACCGGTTTTTCCCACTTTTTATCGTTCGAAGCTTTTTATCGAGAAGACGGAAAAGTTAATCGATCGTTTTTCTAGAGTGAAAAGAAACGTATGTTCTCAACATTGGCGTGATAAAAATATGTAAATCGACTCCTTCGTATTCACTAGGCTTTAATAATAAGCGGATACTTAAAAATTATCATTGATTCGTAAATATATAATTAAACAATATCTCCACGTATATAAATTATCCTCCTATCGCATCGCACAAATAGAATTGTTTTCGCGCCGAATCCGATCACGCGAGAATTGTTCTGAAATGCAACATGTGGAAATCGGCAACAAATGCGATTACAAATCACGTTTAATAATATTTTCAGTTTCAAGAGTTGGCAGTCGTAGTATCACTAGACTTGCGCATGTGTTGGGTGCGGACGTGTGTGTATGTGTGCGTACATGTGCGCGTGAAATACGAGTAATGCGTGACATGCAGGCTCATTTCGCACACACCTTTTATTGATTTTCCAAACATTTTTAAGCAGCGTTTAGAAATGTCAAACATAAACGGAGAGGGACCGAACGCCCCGCGTCGCGCTGTTTACGACTTTGGATTTTATTCGGGCCGCGTTCAACGCGCATGCGCGGAGAAAAAAAAACGCCGACACCGAGCACTCGGCGAGATACCCCCCTCGTCTCGTGGGCCAAACATCTTACGGGAAACGGAGTGACGCGCAGTCGAAAACGATATCGTCGTGCGTGCATATGTGCATTCGGTCGAGTAAACAGTAAAAATCTGCCTCGAGCGAGAGACCCTTGGATTGTGCTCGCGCGTTCGCGGGAGCATCGTAACTCGAGCGTAAATTATCGGCGCGTGTCGTGTCGTGATTAAAATTGCCCTACGTGCGTACGTACTTGCGTGCTGCGTGCTAACTCGATCTGACCGTTGCCGGCTTCGTGCGGCAGCGAAACTTGGCCGAGATCCCCGTCCGGGATCGCGGATCTTTCCACGGATCGTCGTCGATTTCCCGCGAACAAAGACTGGGCGACCGGCGAGGTAGATCCGCGAGGTAGACCGCGTCCCGAAAGGGACGGACAGGCGAATCTATAAAGGAGGAGGTAGGGGAACGCTCGGCTCGGCGAGCTCGGGGCCTCGGATTGATCGCGCGCGCGGAAGAAAATTATGAGCGAGCGACGTCGCTTAGCGTGCTGCTGTCATCGTCGTCGTCGTCGTCGTCCCCGTCCCGCGGCCGTCGCCGTCCGTTCCACGATCGGAGAAGGCTTTTGACACGAGCGCAACGTGCGCGCGAATCGTCGTCGTCGACGCGGACGACGCTACCGCTAGATACTAGGCAGCGAGACGAGAATCGTCGTCAGCGGGGCAGAATGAACGGCTTCAGCACCGGCGAGGAGGACTCCCGGGGAGCGGCCGACCAGATCTGTTGCCTCGTCGACGAGGGTGAGCGATGCTCCCGCCCGGCCGGCAACGCGTCCTACAGCAAACGCATCCAGAAAACCGTCACCCAACGGCGGCTCAAGCTTAATCTCGATCACATGGTGCGTATGACATATGCAAAAAAACGTAAACGCGTGCGCTTCTTTCAACTGCTCTCTCCTCTCTTTCAACATCGGTATTTTATGTCGGCGATATATTTATCGATATTTCGATATTATTCGCGATAATTACAGCCACGTCAACCAAAATTCAGTTATATTTCGGATAAACGGCCGATACGATGTTAAATTATTACTGTCTTGGGTGATACATCTTGAGAAGTCAAACACTGACAGACGCATTGCTAAACCTGTCACTTTAATGTAATAAATAGTATTTTGTTATCAGATGTTTATAAGAGCATTTTATAAATTTGTCAGAATTTAACGTTTTATATTTGACAAATTAATTATTTGAAATACTGAATATGTTTTAATCAAACCTTTTTGTAAACTGTGACACTTTAGATATTGTATCTGCATGAAACTGTTGTCACTGTTAATAATTTTTTATTCTTTTTTTGTGTATCGGGTACAGGCAAGACACATATATATCTGTGATTATCACAAGCAAGTGATTCAATGCGCAAGGACTAAGCAGCAGCAGCAACGTAGGCGCAAAGATTCCGAAGAGGATTCCGGTGAAACTGACAACGATCTCCCAGAGGTTGATCTCTTCCAATTGCAAGTTGGTACTTTGAGGCGGTACAAAAGGCACTACAAAGTTCCCACACGTCCCGGTCTTAACAAAGCTCAGTTAGCAGATGTAAGTATATAATCTTTTCTCAATTTTTAATTCTATTATTTATTTATACTATTATTTATTTTTTTCATATAATATATGCGAAATAATATTATTATTAATTTTTTTCATATAATATATGCGAAATAATAATACAATAGTAATAATGAGATATAAAAAATATATAGACATAAATAAAATTATGATATATAAATTTTGAATTATTCACAAAATATATCAAAACATCAATATACATATTACATTTTAGATACGTTTTAAAATATTATACTCGCACTTTAAGTATTTTTTAAATAATATTTATGCTTTTTGTCATTGTTAAATATTTTCATGATGATAAATTTAAGAATTATTTGAATATCCTTTTGTTACAGACTCTCATGAAGCATTTTAAGACCATCCCTGTAGTGGAAAAGGAAGCTTTAAGTTTCTTCATATATACTGTTAAGACAAATGCAAATAAATTGGATCAAAAAAATGGTTTGAGTAGTAGCGATACAACCTAGCGTGGTCAGAAAATTTCCCATGTCATTGATATATTAAAAATTAGTTATGTGATAAGTATCGATTTTTACTTGTTAATACATACATGTATTTTATAAGAAACTGTATATAAAGTATATATAAAGTATATATATATATATATATATATATATATATATAGTATATGTATATATATTATTAGTATATATATTATATATCCTTGACACATACATACATATATACTGTGTGTATACATACATATATAATGTGTATGTACACACACACACACACACATATATATATATAAAATATATACATTATATATATATATATATATATATATATATATATATATATTCTCCAATACATCAAAATCATTGACCATTTTATTTTATGTCTTTCACCGCACGTTTCGCAATATTGTACGTAGATTTTAACATGATATAAAGATGTGCGGCCGAGTTGCTGGCGATTTCGTTTTAGAAATTGCGAGCGACAATATATTTTGGAAGAAATTTCACGAAGAGAACAATTATTATAAAATAAACAAGACTTGTACAAAATCAATGCATTTTTCTTACATATATCTTTACCTTTATTGAAAAAAAGAACAAAATACATAGAATATATGTTCCGTTGTTTCGGGATCTCGATATATATATATTTCCGAGATGTACATGCTAAAGTATATGAATATATATGTGTACAAGCAAGGGGACAAGTCAAGTGCACTGTACAATGTTCACTCTATTCTCGGTTTTTATTCAATGTAAAAGTAAGCACAATATGATTTTTGTGCCTTCTTTATGCTTGTTGATTAATAAACTATGATCATTATTAATTTGCTTTCACAATTCGAATCTTGATAAAAATTTTTATTCTTTTACGAGAATAATAGATTATAAGTAAAAATATATAAATTGCATAAAAAATATTTACAGTGGGTAGACAAAATATTTCAAACATGTATGTTTCTCAAAATTATAAAATATAAAAAAGAATACCTCAATGTATCTAAAATTGAAATAATTTTTTATAATTTTATAATTATTTTAAAAAACGATACAGTTTATTAATCCTAATATCTGAATATAACAAAATACAAGAAAAATTATCTAACTGAGAAAGTATTTATCACATAATGCTATCAAGCAATAGTGACACAATAAGTTTTAATATTTTATTAGGTATTCATTACAGCTTATAGTTTTTTTTTGATAATGATTTGACAGATTTTTCTATACTGTTTGTTAAAATCTTTAAACATTCTTTGGACAATATCTTTTTTCAATTAATTTTATTAGAAATTGTTTTTAGATTTAAATCAGATATCAAAATTTTTTTCAATTGATTAATAATCATGTATGATGTAAAGCTTTTGGTAACATTATATATTGTTATCTAATTCTTTAATTTCTTAAATTAAATAAAGATTGATCAATTTTCTTAGAAAAATCTGCAGTGAAGATATTTAAGTCAGTGTACACAAGCTCTGATATTTATGTAATAGAGTAGAATAGTTTCTCTTAAAATACATAGTTAGTTTTGATCTTTATTCAATTCGATTACAGTTTAGTAATCAATTTGATCTGAGCTTGTATTTGCCTAGACATTCTCATTCTTAGACATATTTCTTATTTTTAGCTTTTTTAGCATTGTATTTGATTGTTATTCTTCATCTGAATTAATATTGTTTACATTTAAAAATAATTATGATAATTCAACTAATTTAATGCATGCTATTTTTACCCACTGTATACATACTTAAAATTATAATTTATTATATAATTAAATCAACTCTATTGCGAGGCAGCAAAGTTATTCTCAATGCAATCTCTTGCAGCAAATTTTCCAAACATTGTATACAGTTTTGTCATATAGCAGAATTATCTTGTTTTTTTTATCATTCCAGTCCTTTCATTTTTTTTTTTGTATCTTAACAAAGCAACCTACTGTAATTTTATAATGCAATATAGGTGCATGGTGCAATATATACGCTTTTATTACAGTCTAACATTACCAATATTATTATTATTGTTATCATTGTTTAATATTAATGTACCATAATAGTAGAGCAGTTACTGTTACTTGAATTACCATTATTCTATCACTAAAACTTATATAGCAAAACTCGGATTATCCGAATGCTGAATGACCAAATGTATGATTATCTAAAATCAACATGTTCATTACAGTATAAACGTTCAGATAACCGAAGTTTGTACTTGTATTACATATCGTCGGTATATTTATATATATTAGCACACATTAGTTATGTATATGATATAGCGTCTGCATGTGATGGAGAAATTCGTTATAAAAAAATTTGGAATTTATATCTTCCCCGAATCTGGTTGTTTCTATCACTATAATCGAATTTTTGCAAGTAAATTTTTCTCTTTTCCGGACAATATCAACAGTGTACATAATATATACAACAGTCAGTAATACTATGTTAGTAATATCGTCCTGTACTCTCGTATCTTGCTGCGCTCGAGTGCTCGAATTAGAATAAAATCATCAGTTTTTCCTGTCCCATATGTATCCATCATACAACTTATACAGTTCCAACTTCTTCTGGATCATAATTTTTCACTCTTTTATTGTATGCGATTATTTCCTGCATTAAAATTTATTCCATTAAATTTGCAAACTGTTTATATAGATAATCGATTACTATATGGCAATAGAAATCTATCAAATATAAATATAATCCTGATTATTTTAAACACATTTTTATATAAACATACTCTCTCGTATCTGGCTCTATCTTCCTCTGCAATTGCCATGTATTTAGATTTTGTTTGCAGATCCGTGCTCATCCACAATTTTCCTAATTCCTTCGCAATGTCACCTACTCCCATCTCGGGGTGCAATTCTCTCATCTTGCCACGTAACTCTTGGCAAAAGTAAAAAAACGCGGATCTACAACATATTAACACAGAGATGCAACAGACATAAGTATCTTAATTGTATAAGCATCAATATTCGATAACTTGTATTGATCAAAATATCTTCATTTGAATGTTTTTAGAAAATGCATCCAATGATTGTTACAGCATGTATATGAAGATGTACGTCTTGAAAATAAAATTCTATCATCATTCATTTACAACTTAACATACAATGCTCGTTTTGGTGCATCTTTGTCTCTATATCTTTTTGTTCCTCTGCGTGTTGGTCTCTCTGGTTCCTCATGACCAGTATAATGTCTATCGTAGTAATACATTTTCTTAGTATTGCAATGTGCATTACCATCTTCCAAATGTACAATCTGCAAAATTCATTCATTAATTTTAACTATTCTCCATATGACTTCATATGTGATTTTGATTGCAAGGCATATATTAATACATTTTTTGTGTCAGTTAAACATGACTGTGTAATTAAACTAGTGTAGTTTTTCTTTCTCTGAAATTGTTTATTTCTTAATTTTTCCAAATTTAAATCATTATTAGATCATTGTACTAATCGTTATACCTCATTCTTCACTGGCACTGCATTGATGATGAAATTTTTACTCTGACCAGTGGACCACTTGGTTTGGTTAGTAGAGACACTTGATACATTGTTAGGTTTCATCACGCCTTCTCCACCACATTCTACAAAGGTAATAATATAAACTACAATATATATCCATGAAGTAATTTTTATATACATATAATACTATATACCTGGTGCCATATTAGTCTGGCCAACAATCATAGTGTCTCTCATACCAGAATTTAAAGAATTATCACCAGTTTTTGTAAGATATACATTCTTTCTATCTGATGATTCCATGATTGCAATCTCTTTCTTACAATTCAAAACTTGTGACACAATTTATTAAAGCTGTAGTTATCTGCCAATGATAATATTCAATTATTCTTTACACAAATAAATGATAATGTGTGTGTGTGTGTGTATAAGGTTTGTGCCAAAATTTGAAGACAACAATCGCTCATCTTAGACTTGCTCCAAAAATGATAATTTAATTTGACGCACTTTAACGCAAATAATATTTCAATATTTTAAACATGTTTAAAATATCAATGTTTAAATTATTTAATTAGAAATAGAAATAGAGAAAAGAGCAGGAGTAGAAAAGAAAAATTTTTTTAAAATTAAAATCAAATTAAAATCAAATTCTCCTTTAACTATCTTTCTCTTTATTAATACATTTTATTATAAATTGTCTTGTTTAACATATTATTTTGTTATTATTCTTGAATATTGGAATTAAAATGTATTTTTCAATTATTATTGAGTAAAATTTATAGGAAAAAAAAATTGAATATTAAAACGAATTTGTTAGATTTGTTCTTTTTGACTGTAAATTTTCTTAAAACTTTCAAGAACGCACTTATATTGTTTCAAAGTCGGAAGAAAAAATATAAGTACACAAAACTAAGGAGAATCTATATTGCAGATCTATATCGTCGAATTTACGCGATGTCCTCTCTTTTTTCTCCGGAATAACTACCAATGAAGAATTATGAAAATTTTTACAAAATTGCAAGTAAAGTCGCGTCTCGAGCACTCGTTCGGTTAATTGCTTACCAGACGTCGCGGACGCGACACTCGAAGTGGGAGGTGGGTTTTCGCGATCGCGTAAGAACCAATGATCAGCGAAAAGAGAACTGTCAAACACGTTGAACGGATAATCTCATAGAGATTAATAACCGAGCTCGATAATCGATGCCTGCGTGAAACGAATGCAACTATCGGGACGACGAGGCAACGTCATACGTGAGAGTAATCGCGACCATCGTCCCGCGGATGATAAAAGAAATTATCGCGAAAGAGAGATACAACGCGAGATACAACGATTTGATCGCCTATTTCCAACTTGACGTCTCGACGGTCGCGAGAATTGTCAACGTGACGATACGACACGACACGACGTTGGATGGGATGAAAAAAAAGTAAGAGAGCGGAGTAAAGACCGGAACCCGACTCGGATGTAACAGTATGCGATGTCTGACGTATATGTAATGTGTATGCGTGTATATATTATATATATATGTATTGTTAGTGTATATGCATGCTATGCGCACGGCTATATACATGCATAGCCGCACGTATGTAGTACATTATTCTTCACCTAAGGATCCGCTCATTCGCGCGGGTATCGCATCTTCACGATTACGCGATGACTTTTCGTAAACGACAATCCCTAGAACGTAATGTCTGCCGTTACACACCTTCGTACGTGTATATATGTATGCGTACACCCGATAATTGTCGCGCGAAACAATCAACGCGTTATGTGTCGGGAACTCTTCGCCGAGATAGCAGCGTTCGACTATGTAACATCATGATACTTAGTTGCGCGACTCTGCGATATTTTCTCAAGGCCGAGCTATCTAGCTTGTTGAAACGCACCGATTGGCTAACGAAGACTAGGGAATTTCTGGGGAAATCTTTTGTACTCGGCGATATTTATTTTTTAAAAGAGATAAATTTCATACATCATCGAATATCGGGTCGATATTATTTATCGTAATTCGTTGAAATATTGAAAAATAAAGAAAGTGTAAATATTGAAGCGCGTTTCGCAAAAAACGCCTCTTGAATCGCCATTTTCTAACAAAAGTGTACATTTTCGATTATGGCGGATTGAAGAGCCAATCAAAAATCATTATTTCGTATTTTCGCTTAAGAAACCCTCGTAACCTTAGTTTTTTAGCGCCATTGAATGATTTCGAATTGTATCGCTTTTTCTTATATTATATAAAAAAAATATACGTTGGATCAATTGAAACTTAGATTTGTAATTAAAGTGAATTTAATTTTGCGTAGACACGCTTTATATGTAATGAATAAAATTATTTGAATTGTTTGAACGGTGAGAAAAAAATATATTACACAAGAATCACAAATTGCAAGGTCCATAAATTTTTCTCAGCCATATTTCACACATGGATATGGTAATTTGCAACAAGTGCTTCGTCTCGATTTATAAAGGAAAACCGCCTTATAACATTACACAATGTGGTCACATTTATTGTCAGGATTGCCTACAACATGGTAATCGATAACAGAAGTAAATTTCAACTGATTAATTTTCCACTATTAATTTTCTACTATTGCATATTTTCTATTGCAGTGAAAAAACAGTGTTTTCAATGTAAATATATTAATCCCGCATATTTACTATTAGAAAAGCCACTGATGCCTAAGAAGATCTCGGTTTTGACGCCTTTCAACGAGATTTTGGAAATATTATTAAACATGGAAATATCTCAGAGCAATCAGTTGACAATAACAATGGAGCGCTTTCGTATTCTTGTATATAAATTATATTTCTCATATTTCTCTCACTTATTTTTATATATTTCTTAAATATACTTTATACTTCTTTTATTTTCCTATGTATATCTTTAAATTTTGACAACGATATAATAATGATATGCGATTGTGCGCTTCAAGGACAACAAATATGAGATGTCGAAAAGGTATTATATTCTATTGCGACGCAATATGAAAATATTGCTAGACAAGTATATGTATTTAAAAACTGAAAAAAAGAAGCTGGATGAGGAGCTGCTGCAAATGATGCAGTCCACTCCGAAATCTACATCAAATACGATGAACTCCCAGCCTTCTGCTTCTACGATTTCACTAAACACACGGTAAAATAAAAAAAAAGCACAAATCAATCGAATAACATTGATTTTGATGCATCTTACGGCTATCGCTGTATATTTTAGAACGAAATTAAATCATTATTATCGTTACTATATGTAAAAAGAATGAAAGCAAAAGAAGCAAAAGATATCTAAATAATGTGATTCTTTTTGTAAATGTTCTCTTGTGCTCATTGATCTTACTGTTTACAGATATTCCTCAGGATCGTTGAGTCATCTGAAATTTTCTAATTTGAATTTGTCTGATGCGACAGATATATCTATGCGATCCGTTAATCGAAGAAATCGGTATAAAATCGATGATAGTTTTTGCATATCTGAAAATAATAGACTTCCAAAAACGACCAATCTCCTTTTTCACATTTAAAACAATTCGCGAATTACAATTTTGTAAAATAAATTCTTTTCTTTGTATTATTTTTTATAATTACGTTATTTCAAACTTGTTATATCATTTTGTTTAAATTATAAAGACAAGCGAGAATTAATAAATTTAATGTGCAATTAAAAAATGGTGATTAATCTTGTAGAAAAACATTAAGTTCTTTTATGTATTCTGTGAAAGATTGTATTATATGTAAAACATCGTGTATATATATGTAATACATTTTAATTAGTATATTTTATAATTTGATTATAATTATTATTATAATACTAATATAATTTATTATAATTATACATACATTACAATTTATTACATTATTCTTTATACATTATAATGTTTGATTTCATAAATTTGACATTTTGTAAATAAAATACGCAATTAACGAATAGATTAATTGTTTTGCAAAAATACGATTTTTATATTTTATAGATTTCTTGAGATATACATCTTTTTTTATAATATTGTAACAATCTTTATATTTTTTATTTTATATTTAATTATTTCATAAATCTTCGTACATCTAGAAATAATTCGTATAGTATGCGCAGTCTGTATTTGAATTCAAATTGGAATAAAAAAATTATATTTAGTCGATAAAATAGATATAGATGGTAATTCTTGTCATTGATAAAAATATTAGCGATGGACAATATGTGATTAATATGTAATATTAGACAATAATAATACACAGAGAGAGAAAGAAACTACACAAAATTTATTTATATTAAAAATTTATTTAATATAAATAAGCATATTGCATTACAACACTCGTATTATGACATTTAATGCACATAGTATGGAACACAACCAGAAATTGTGCACATTATGTGTTACTCATTGAAAACAATTGTAAATTGGCTTCGTAGTTCATATTCATTTCTATGTCCACAGAGGGCAGATCGCACCCTTTCAAGGATCAAGCGAGCTAGGGTTTCTCTCATTTTTCTCTCTAGTATTACATGTTATTTATTGAATAATTTTCATGAATAGTCGATCGATTCATGTAATTTCAATATGCAATTTATATAGCATGACGCGTGATACGCACGAGTGTAATGTGATTTCTCATTACATGCGATACCAATTGAAATATATTATTCCGCATTATGGCAGAAACAACTAATAATGATAATAATATGTCGAATATTGATAATAACATAATGAAAAATATGTTAGATGATGAGCTTCCCGATAATTTACCGGAGGTAATTAAATAATATTGAAATTATTATAATGTTGAATAATGTATGTCGTAAAATTGATACATGAAAGATGTAAAGATGTGTCGATATTAATTATATTCGTGCATGTAGTTTGCAAGAATAAAACATGTAGATTTTATTATTATAAAACAATGTTTCTAATATTTTAGATTGTGTCTATCAAAACAGAAGACAGTATTTTTCGAGAGATATCAGAACATATTAAACATACTACAAAATCAAACAATTCGCAAATAGGTAGAATACAAGAAAATAATGTAGAAGAACTTAATGCCAAAGAAGATGGGGAAATTGATGACAAAAAAGCTCACAAAGCAAAATTACAAAAGCAGGTTGAAACTGGAGAAATTACTCCATTTGAAGCAGTATCTGAGCAATCAATTTTAGATCAAAAAGAAAGGTATAATGTCATATAATATTTATATTAGTTTAACATAATAATTAAATAATATAATATACAATGAAATATAAAATATATAATTAAATTTCGTTCATATATAATAAAACATCTATATAGTTTTGAGCAATAAAATTTTCTAACTTAACTTTTAACTTAATAATTAAGTTAATTGACTTCTCTTCTTTTAAGAATTAATTTTTTAATATAATAATTAATTTAAGTTCATTTAACTTAAATTTTTATTGAATTTAATCTTTATTTAGTTTACCATTAAACAGATGAAAAATTGATTATAGAATAGAATAGAATAGGAAAAAGAGAATATTTATATGTAAAAATATTATAATATATTATAATATATGTAAAAATATTAAAACTTATTCATATTTATATTTTGCATTTTTCTAGAAGTACCAATAAAGAATCTCAATTGCTAGATCTTCAAAAGTATTTCAAACAGCAAGCTATTCTTGCGGAGCAAAAGAAAAAATTAAAGAAAATATCTAAGATTCCTTGTGACAAAGATTATCCAGAGCCAACCAAGAAAGCAAAATTATCCAATCTTGATACAAAAACAAATAAAAGATATCAAAAATCTAAATCTGATGAGAATAATAAAGATAATACTCTGCAAACAATAGATGAGGCAACTTGTTCAAATATGCAAACAAATGAAACTATAAATAATAGTTCGGATAGCGAATACATTCCTAGTGATAACGATTCGGGTAATAGTAATATGGTATTTGATACAGAAACTGAAAAATATATATATTTATATTTTTATTACTAGAAAAATATTTTTTAGATGCAGAAGATAAGATATCATGTGTATCTAAAAAGAAAAAAACTTTGGCTAAATCAGGATATGTACGCACAAAAAGAAGTATGTATTGATCAAAACAATGAATTGATTTTTTTTTGACATTACTGTATTTCTATTCCTATTATCATTTTATTTATATCATTTTATTTATTATTATTATATTTATGTACATCTTATTTTTATTTTGTATTATTCTTCTTATTATATATTATATTAATCTTATTTAATTTTTTAAATATGTTCAGCTCGAGATGACGGAGATAATCAAATATTTAAACAAAGGATGGAAACAAAATGTTACCCCAAAGATGAAGCAATGCATAAAATTAATGATCATTTTAAAGTGCCGCAATGTATTTGGGAAAAATTGTACAGGTAAAATATATACATCAAATATTTTATTATATAAATATTTAAAATGGATATATTACATTCTTATTATAGTATGTAATACATATATAAGATAAATGAGAGGACAGAGAGGAAAGATTTAAATTTAATATTTAGATTTTTTATGGATAATTTACATATTAATTTCTTGCAGTTCAATCATTACTTAGATATTAATTAGTTTCTCGCACTGTAACATTTAATATTTGGATTAATATATAATTAATATAATTTTTTTATTTATAAGTATTTTATTCATATAGATATCAAAGGGTTGCAGTTCAATGGCTTTGGGAATTACACAGTCGTAAATTGGGCGGTCTAATGGGTGACGAAATGGGATTAGGAAAAACTGTGCAAGTTATCGCATTTCTCGCTGGTTTAGATTGTAGTGAATTACTCTCTCACAATGGAAGGTATTAAACTTATTTATCTTAACTTAAACATTTTTTAAAAATATACATTATGTAGAATTCATACAAGAGATCTATAGAATATTATTATCTCAAAAAAGAGAGGAACACATTACATCACATCATTACATTACATCATTTTTGTTATTTATTATTATATTTATATATAAAGATGTGTTAATATATATGAAAAATAAACATTGTTTGCATGATAGATATAGAGGATTAGGTCCGACTATAGTTGTTTGCCCTGCTACTTTAATGGAGCAGTGGGTGAAGCATTTTCATGATTGGTGGCCTTTCTTCAGAGTCGTTGTACTTCATCATTCTGGGGGTTACAATGGTAGGTGTAAATAAAGCGAGATCAATTTTATAATAATTTAAGGATTTATTCATTAATTTTAGTAAAGAATTTTAATAAAAAATTTAGATGCCATTTTTGAACAGAAAAATATTTGTGTAACAGTAAAATTATCTCATAATAAGATATCTCATAATAAAAAGAAAATTAAAAGGAATTTATATTTTTCAGTTTTTATACACATTAATTATATCATTATCATTAATTATATCATTTATTTATGTTTAACTTGTTATATAAAGTAAATAATAACATTCAACAGTTAAAATTATATATTTTAACTATAAATATATTGATAATGTTCTCATTTCCCCTTCCCCAGGTGATCCAGAAAGTCTGATAGAATCCTTGCAAACCGGCGGAATACTCGTTACTTCTTACAACGGAATTCTTAAGCATAAAGATTTGCTCGTATCCAGTCAATGGCATTATGTTATTCTTGATGAAGGTCACAAGATTCGTAACCCCCAAGCAAAGGTGATTTAATTGTTAAAATTGGGGAAAATTATTCAGTATTCATATTTTTGTATACATTTCCTATCCGTACATTTAAATTTTATATTTGTTATATAATATTAGTTTATTTAATGAACAATTATAAAAGAAATGCAAGTATTGTATCGATTAAATTATAATTATGTAATATTTCAATAATAACTAACAGTACGAGCGATTGTTTCGCAGGTGAGCCGTGCAGTGAAACAATTCTCGACACCGCATCGATTGTTGTTGAGCGGTAGTCCGATGCAAAATTCGCTAAAGGAATTGTGGTCATTGTTCGATTTTATTTTACCTGGCAAATTGGGTACTCTGCCTGTATTTTTGGAACATTGCGCGACTCCCATAACACGTGGCGGTTACGCAAACGCTACTTCATTACAGGAAGCTACGGCTCTTCAAGTAGCCACTATGTTGAAAGACACCATCACGCCGTACATGCTTCGAAGGACGAAAAACGACGTGAAGCATCATCTCACTTTGCCAGAGAAAAATGAGCAGGTTGTTCTCCTTTTTCTAAAATAAGTGTTTATTTCTTTTTATAGACACACTATTACTCTTTTTTTTTTTTTACTTTTTGTCTTCTAGATATCTTTATTTTTTTTCTTTTATCATTACAGATTTTGTTTTGGAAAAACATGAACTTTGTCTTATATATTTTAATTAAATTAGAAATAAATTATTTCTTTTTGTTTTTTTCTTTGTCAGGTCTTATTCTGCAGCTTAACAGACGAACAGAAAAAGCTGTATAAAAAATATCTATGTTCGGAAGATGTAACCTTTATTTTACATGAGAAAAATAATCATGACACTGGAAGATATAGAGCAAGATTTCTCATTGCACTGTCAGCGTTGAGAAAAATATGTAATCACCCAGATTTGTTCCTATACACTAGGGAATTTGTAAGATTGTCAATTATGTTATATTAACAATTAATTAACAATTAATTAATTCTAATACTACGAATCTTGTTTTTATTTAAGGATTCGGATGAAGATATAACTTTGTCTGAAGAACAGTTAGAGAAATTTGGTTACTGGAAACGCGCTGGAAAAATGAATGTGGTTCGATCTCTTTTAAAAATTTGGCATAAACAACAACACAGAGTATTACTTTTCACTCAGGGAAGGCAGGTAAATAATTTTTTGACCATTACAAATAAATAAATTCCATATATGAAAAATATTTATCAAATTTCGAAAATAAGAATAATCGTAAAGAAAACGTTTTTTGATAATCAAGTATCACATTACAATGATGATTTTTTTTTTTTTTTATAAAAATATATATTAATATTTACGATTATTTAAATTAAAAATATAGATATGAATACAATGTCATTAAATATATTATTAATGTAACAAAAAATAAAATTGCATATTTTTTTTAACATATATTTTTTTCTTTGTAGATGATGCACATTTTGGAAAGTCTATTGCAACGCGAAGGATATACTTATTTAAGAATGGATGGAACAACAGCAATGTCCCAACGACAGCAAACAATTCACACATTTAATAATGTACATGTTAAGTCGTATTTATAGAAAAATTGATCTCTGTATAATGGAAATAATATCCATTATAATATTTTGACAAACTTTTTTCTTTCTTTCGAAAAGCGCCCGTCATATTTCGTATTCCTGTTGACTACGCGAGTAGGAGGTCTGGGAGTAAATCTGATCGGTGCAGATCGAGTAATCATTTATGATCCAGATTGGAATCCAGCTACAGATGCTCAAGCAAGGGAACGCGCATGGAGAATAGGCCAAAATAAACAAGTCACTGTTTACAGATTAATTACTGCTGGTACAATTGAGGAAAAGGTTGGTAACAACTAATTATCATATTTTACGAATTTTAAAAATTAAAATTTTTTTTCTAAAATTTGAATAAACATATTTTGAAAATAATATTCTATATATATTGCTTCTTTATTGTATTATTTTATGTAATACAGTAAAGAGAGCTCTTTATAATTTTTTTTCGTTTCAGATGTATCATAGGCAGATCTTTAAATTATTACTTTCGAACAAAGTTCTCGATGATCCACGCCAACGTCGATTGTTCAAAACAACAGATTTGGTAGAGTTATTTAATCTAAACGAACCAATAGATGGCAAATCTTCTGAATCTGACCATCTATTTAGAGAATCCAAATTAACGCCTGCATCTAGTGGCTTTTCTCTCAGTAAGATCGAGGAGATGAAAAAATTAGCTTCAGCTATCAGCAAGAAAATAAGTGCAAATGTAAAATCAACATGCAAAAATAACAGTGCAAATAATAGTACTTGTGAAGGAAAACAACAGGATGAACAAAATAATAATTCAAGATGTACCGAGATTCCTATTACGAAAAACGATGTATCTGTGGATCAAACATTATCTTCTAATCCAATTAGTATATCAAAATATAATGAAGATTCGAATACAAATTCAGATGCGGATATCGAAAGGAATAGTAATGTAGAAAATAAGAATACATTCAACAAGAGTAATCAGCAAACTATAATTACAGTAAGCTCTATCAGTGATAATTCCACGGAAGAGAAGAATAAATCTATTTTAAATGATGATAAAATTACTTCACATAATACATCGTCTATTTATAAACATAAAAAGCATAAAAGAGATTCACATTCGGGCAAGAGAAATATTTCCGCAATGTTTGAGGGAGAACGTGTTTCTTGTCTGATAGGTCGCCGATTAGGATATTTTAATGAAAAGGAAGAATCTATTTCGACGACTACAGACGATGATTATGTATTGAGAAAATTATTCACCAAATCAAGTAATATATTTATATTTAATATTATTTTTTAATTCATATGTTCAATCTATAATTTTATCTAATAATTAGATGAATATGTTTACATTTAACATTTATGTATAAATTTAAATATTATAGATTTAACAAAATCCACATACATTTTATATTAATTTAATGTTAATAGATTTTGCTAAATAAATAGTCAATATTTAAATATATAATAATTAAAATTATATTATATATGTTTCTAATATTTTTAATAATGAAAATTGAATATATGCACATTTTTTGTCAAATGTAATTAATATATAATTGTCTAAATAATTAATATATAAAAGTCTCACATGTGTAATTATATTAGATACATATATTTGCAACTTATTTAATATTTTTATGTTAAATACTAAATATTATATAAAAAACACACATGTAGAAATCTATATTTGTTTTAGCTGTCAGCTCCGCCTTTCAACATGAAGCAGTATTGTCGAATGCGTATCGTAACAGCGATAGCGAGAACACGTTGCAACGTTTCGCGCGTGAATCGGCGCAAGAAAGTATGAGTTTCGTACGTCAATCTGGAAAATTTTGCTGGAGGCCGGCATAGAATAATTTATAAAATATCAACTCTGTGTATTTATTTTCTTTTTCTAGTTTAATTTTTTACACATATATGCAATTTTTACATTTCTTATAGGAAAAAAAACTGCGAAAAAATCGTGAATATATAATCTTTGTATGTGTGCGTGTATGTAATAAAATTTATAATTTTTTTTCAAAATTTTTTGCACACGTATTTTGTAATAATTGAATACTTAAATACGTAGTAATTAAAAAATTAAATAATATGTTTTGATAAAATAAAAACTATTTTTTATAATAATACAATATATTATAATATCATATCTATTGTATAAATACATTTACTTACCAAAATATAAATTATATATATTTCATTTTATTTAAGCTTTACATACAAAATAACTTAGCCTTCTCTGCCTGTTAATTCTTTGTGTATTTCAATTAATATATATCTCGTGAATAGTTATAAATACAAGGATATCTTACAAAAAGAGAATTCTATGATAGAAAAAATAATTGTTATTATGTAGTTATTAATTTATCTTAGCATAAAAAGATGTATATTAAGCGAACAAAGAAAAACAGATAGAGATATATACAGATATAGATATTTGAGGTAAAATTACAGTACCAAAGACTTTGTTTTTCTTTAACAGCAGGACATTAATTGGTCCAGTATCATCAACTTATCTTAGAATACATTTTATAACAAAAAAAAATTGTATTCTATCAATGTCGCAAAAATGTTTCGAGATTAGGTCCTGACTTGCCCAATGGATCTTCTGGAAACATGATGTAATCTCCAACAAAAGTTGGAGTTAATAAACGATTTAAGATTGTATCGCGCCATTCTGGCTTCTCCTCATATAGATCTCTATACTGATCTGAAGTAATCACTATTCCTCCACGTGCTGTTGCATATTCCAAAATAAACCTGTAACAAAAAGATAAAAGTTTTGCTATCCAATTCGTTGTTTCATTAATTCTTTTCATTATAGCTTTAAAACATTTTAACTTACAAAAAAATAAAATTTTTAAATTATAAATTATATAAAATAAATAAATATATAATAAAAAAGGGAAAAATCCCCGAAAATTTTACATTGCATAAAAATTTATTTTTCTTTAGCAAGATTAAATTTTTTTATGTATAAGTATTGTAATTGATAATAACACTTTTATAAAAATATGAATTGCAAAGAAATAAAATAAATGATTAAAAATATCCTATTATGTATATATAGATAAAATCATATAGAAAAACAAAAAAATATATAATTATTATATATATAAGCTATATACTATATATGTATAGCTTATATATAGAGAGAATATATATATATATATATATATATATATATTCTCTCTTTCAAAAAAGATATTATATGTGTTTTCTTTCTATTTATAAAAATGTTTAAAGATATATTTACCGATCATCATAAGGAGTTATTTTTCTACCCTTAATGTTGCGACTAGGTGTAAAAACAACTATACCCTTTTTATATAATTCTTCAAGTAGTGTGTACTTTCGAAGATAATTTGGTAAAAAAACTTTCACAACATGACCTCTTATTGTAAAATAATCTATCACTAATTGGATGCCTTTTACAGAGAACATCTGATGATTTGCATGGCTAAGAAAAAAATATTTTGCTTAGAATAACAATTGAAACAAATAAAAAGCTATATCAGCAAATATAAAGCAAATATAATTTTTAGAAATTTACATAATTATTCAATATGAAATTAATTTAAGAAAATGTCATTAAAATGGATAAAAAAAAGATCATACGCCATTCCCACATTGCATCCATCGACAACTATCTCTCTTAATTTATGATTTGTATCTGGGCTATTCTTTTCATCAGATACAATTGTTTTTGTTTCTTCTTCACAGGATTGTGGATTAGACTGTGAGGAATTTGAATCATTACTGGTGTTTTTTATATTTTTGTTCGATAATGATGTAAGTTTATCAAAATTGCGACACAATTTTCGTCTTTTTCGTACAGGTTTTGTATCTGTTTTTAGATATTCTAGATTTTTCATGTCTGGTTTTGTATCTATTACAAAATTTAGTTTTTCATTTGTCTCAGCATTACAATACCTAATTTTCTTATTTGAATTCTTGAGAGAAGACCATAACTCAATCACATCGTCCTCTGCTTCTGACGGTGCTAAATGTGACAAGTATTATTTTAGTAATAAGTTCTTTTATTAAAGTTTTTCAAAAACAAGAGAATAATAAAAAAATTGCACCTATATTTTCTCCATTACATGGAGATTGTGTATTGGATGATTGTTTCATGGATAAATTTGATAATGTTATTGACGATCTATTGTTGTTTTGTCTGGGAGATTTCCGCAATTCTTTCTTTTCCGTTTTTTGTTGCGGAGATGAAGGCAAGGGCAACCTTGTAGGACTGCATTCGATGATGCTGAGTGAAGCATCTTGTTTATCTTCCTCACTTGTTTCATTGTCACTATCATTTAGAATGATTACACTATTCCGCGAAGGATATTTTCTTTTCAAGGAAAACAATGCATTTTGTTTATCCAACTTCCGCAGCATTCCACGAGTTAACCTCCTGTTTCCATCGTCAAGATTACCTATATTCCTAAACTTATCCGGGCTAACACAATTCGATCGACAACCAATTATCAATATTTAATATTGAAGATAGAAATTTAATCGCGTTAATTGTTACCTTTTCGTAAACAGATTTTCACAATATCGCTTTGGTTGTTTCTTCTTTTTGAGTATCTTGGATCGAGTATCATTCATCGTAAATTCAAATTTTATAAAACGAATCACGTGTAACAAGTTAACAAAAATTTAGTCAAATAATTGTTAGATATTGGAAACATTTATCAAAACGTACAGATACTCTCACACAATTCTCGTGAATACATCCAAGCATCTATATCAATGTAATCAGTCGCAGTTGCTCTTCATCGTTGACGGTGGGAAAGGTGGCATGACAGTCATGATACTTGATCGCGTTCCTACAGCTGATAACGCGCCGCGCGCGCCGCGATAGTTATCCACTCGGCTGTTCGGCGGCGCCACCGGCGCGACTCAATAAACGAGCGAGGTGCGCCGGACGGGCGGTGTTCCGCGAAGCGTGATCGTGTGACGCTGCTGCTCGTTTTGCGCGTGTGTTGGTGACATTATTAGAGTGACAGACGGTGGACGGGCCGCGACAGGCCGCGATGAGTTTGACAGCGGTGGCGACCGACGCTAACAATAAGTGACGCATCTCCGGCAATCTCCGGCTGCGAAGAAGACGAAGCACGAGAGAGCGATCGATCGGCGAGAAATGCGGTCGAGAAGAATCTCGTAATATAAATAACGCTTCACCAGGGAATCGCGCGCGCTCGCTCGCTCGCCTTATTATGGCAGAATGGATGAACGCAAATTGTTGCCGTTGCTGATACTCTTCCTGACAAGTAAGTACTTTGTCGAATTATAACGAAGGAGAGAGAAAGAGAAAGAAAGAGAAACATATATATATGTATCCGGGTTGAGGAATAATGTCGCGATTTGTATCTACGACGATCATGCGATCCATGTCCGGCTATAATACATGGCGTCGATCGTTACGATTCAGGGTCGAGTTATATAAAGAGACTATCTCGCTGTTGCTCTTCATCGTTTGCATCGCTTCCGTTGCTATTGCTACTTGCGTCACCGTCGCATAAGTATTGGTAGAGCACAGACAAAATCACCTGTCGCGTCCTCGACGCGACTCGTTATTGCATTATGTCGTTATCGTTATGTCGTTTTTTTGCAACGCGTTCGAGATTAAAATCACGCGATAGAGAGCATCTATTCATCTATTCGTTTCAATTACATCTTTGCGCATTTTCTTACAATGAGATAAATTACAAATATTTACGTTTTAAAGGGAGAACAAAAGGAGGTGATGGAGCACTGAAAATACAACTGAGATAAAATAATACTTTTTTAGTTATTTTATCTAATCATAGTTTAATTAAATTTTAACTGGAATTTGTTACGAGACATTACATTCTGCTGGTTGAGCCAGTTATTCAACGTTGCGTTATCATTTTACTTCAATTGTGCTTGAATTTTGCTGCTCGAAACAATTTAAGAGCACAATTATACAAACATACATGCCTATTAAGTGAACAATTAGAAAATATAATTTCTAATTTTTTAAGTAATTTTTTAATATCTATATTAAAAATAACTTGTGTTTTTTTTATGTTATCTATTATGTCTCTATTGAAATTGTTTTACTTGATTGTATTTAATATATTAATCATTCTTAAAAAGATTTAATAACAATTTATTCATGTACATTCACATCGCTTATAAATTTATCTCAAAGAATCAACAAGTTTAAGTTTCTTTAGCTAGTATATAATTCAAGCTCACAAGTCAATTTTCTCATTATTTCTTAATAAAACCATACAATAAGTAAGAAATCTTATGGTGAAATTTATTTATGAATTTACAGGATGGCAGGAGACAGTGGCCGTGGTACCGGTACGGCATGTCGCCGTGGACGTGGGTAGAGACCTGCAGCTGGAATGTGCCGACGAGAGTGTCCTTTCGCATCCCGAAGACTCGAATGCGAGAGTGATGTGGATAAGAGAGGGCCGAGAGGATGGACAAATCGAGCGGCTGAAGGTTGAGCCAAATGGTATGCTAGAGCTGTTGAATGTCAGCGTGGATGATGCTGGCAATTACTCATGCACTCTGGACGACGACCGCGATGCTGTGAAAGCCAGAATCAACGTGGAAGTCAGAAGTGCGTTTGTGCAATTGTTTGCAATGTTGTTGATGAATTGTATTCAATGAATAGAACGAATAAAAGATAACATTTCCAATTCTGATTTTTAAAGAGATATTAGTTTTAGATATTAGTTTAGATTTGTTCTGAAAAATTTGAATAATTTAATATATAAGTTTAATTAAGGATTCTCTATATAAATTAATCTTGTGAAAAATATATTGAAAAAATATATACGTTGCATGGAAATATATTCTAAATATTTTAAATTTTAGATATAGGAAAGAATTTGATTGCTTTTGGATTTTGAGTAATTCTATTTTTCTAAAATAAGGATTTTTTATCATATATCAAGATTTTAGCATAGATTTTAACGATAGCTTTTTCTGCCTTTAGCACCTCCTCCAGCCTTACATAATGTGTGGGTCAAGCCATCCACGATATTGGCCAACATTCTTTGGGAAGTGGCTGGTACTGGCGGTTATCCTATCATAGATTTCACTGCCGAATATCGTTTGAAACCAGCTGCAGGCGAGGAGCCGGAAGAATGGAAGCCTATTATTCCAACACACATTCCTCCAAATTCTGTAAATATTCCAAACTATTTAAAACTGTAGAATAGAAAACGGGGATGAAAGATGTGACGCGACGGGAAGTCGATAACGTTATGTAATATTGCAATCATTGCAACAGTGTTTAGTAGCATTATTGATGTTGATGATGGTTTAATTTTTTCAAGTTTTAATTTGCATTATAAAAAAATAAATTATGTATGAGTATTTATTTTGTATTAAAAAATTATATATATATATATATATATATATATATATATATATATATATAATTTTTTAATACAAAATATATATATATATAAATTGATAAATTTTGATAAGATATATGTAAGAATAAAAAGTGTACGCGCGTTACAAAAATTATTTCATCTCTTATAAAGAGAAATTAATCAGACTAAAATTATAATGTAAATTGTTTTATTACTTTAAAGAGACAAATAGACGTATATCATTTGGTGCCAAACACTACGTATTCATTTCGAGTGTGGGCAACCAATCAGTTGGGAAGAGGAGAGATTGTGGAAGTCGAGGGCCATACGCATCACAGCGTAGAAGAATTGGGTATTTTGTTGCAATTGCTTTATTACTATGTATAATTATATTATACGAATGTGTTATAGAAATCTGTTTGGAATAATCTAAAATTTTAAACTTAATATCATCATAATATTCTTTGTCATCCTAAATCACATAAAATTACAGAAATTAAGAGGAAGCAATATGTTGCTTGAATATTATAATGGAGTTTTGGAGCTAAAAGCGATTGAAAATCTTTTAAGTGCTAAGAAAAAAAATTTTTTTAATTCTTTTTAACAAGTGACGATAATTTTGAGATATTCCATACATGTACATATATAATGTGTCTCTTAAAGTTGATAAGAGATACATTTTCATATTTAAATATTTCTTGTACAGTATCTAAACTAAAAACTAACACATCTTTATATTATGCGACTAATTTTCAGAACTCGCCCGACATCTTTTAGCCGGCGTAGAGAATTTCGATACGCGTGTCTGGGTGGCAGCCGTAGGTATTGTGATGGGCACACTTATGATTCTTGGTTTAGGTACTTGTTACCTACTGTATCGCGAGTGCAAGGCACCCTGTAAGCATTTCCTATCTGGTAATCATATCGTAAGAGCTTCTTCGCTTCTACTCTGTCTCTTTACTGCTGCTACTACTACTACTATTATCACTATTACTACTTTTTCTCGCTGGTGATGATCATAACGTTCATGGCTCATTCCTCTGAGAAGCACGATTCTCTCAGAGGATTGTTCTTCTCTCCATAGAAACCTTCGCGCAAATTAGCTGAAGAACTATCACTACAACTACTCATCATTACTCACTCAGAAATATTAGCAATCTTAGCCGGCTAGCTGACTTATATCTATGGCTCTGATCTTTAGCTTTTCCTCCATTACGCGACACACAGCCATGTTCTTCCAAATTATTAATACTTTTATATAATATCTTGTGTTTATATATTTCCTAAGCACTTGCCAACTTTTTAGAATTCAGCATCTGACAAGTATCTGATAAGCATTTAAACGGATCTCCTCATCAGTTATATTAATACAACACTTTTCGAGCCGCCGCACCGAACGCTAAAAATGAGCACTCAAATATTAATCCAATAATTTAATATTTCTCTATCTCTTATACGATATATAGCACTCATTGGAATGAAATCTTGAACTTCTTGATGGAATTTTTCTCGTTGCAGATTCACTTTGTCTGATTATTAACTCTTTTACGAATACATATATTTTTTCTTACTATTCTGATTAGATGTTACTTATAATGTATTTTATAATGTTACAATAATGCCTGCCGATGATAATCTAGTGCAATGAATAGTAAATATTATAATAGTTATAGAGAGAATTCTACGATCTAGTTGAGTAATCAATCTTTGGCAATATCGAGGTAGGTAGGTCAAGAGTAGCACGTCCATTTGTCAGGCAAACGAATTGGTATCGGAATTATATTGTTGCAAAAATAAACAAAATTGTCGATAAAGTAATTGGAAATTATCTGAGAAGACTTATACACACAGTTGTTAACAAAATTCTAATATGCAAAAGACATGTTTTTGATACCTGACAAAAAAACCGGTGAAGGGAGAGGGTAGAAGCTAATGAGGTCCGTGGCCCAGACCAATGAAGATTAATCTCCGTTCCGAAATTGCAGCGCAGCTGGAGGAGCAGGAGGTGATTGAACTCGTGCCCAACATTATTCTAAATCCGGGATTTTTCGACGAGCGTACCGAGCACGTACCGCAGGATGAGAACTTCAACAATCAGACAACTACTCGCCTCAACAACAACAACGTTGTGCAACCTAGACGGCTTTAGCGTCGTTTTTCGTTTAGTTTAGACTCGCTCCGCTCTAAAGTAAGTAAATTGGATGCAGTTTTTCACGTCGTCGTTTCGAACGTAAGCAACCGAATTTATCGGAAAGGCCTCGAGTTTGTTAAAAAAAAGAAAAAAGAAAAAAATAATGATCGATGAAGTTGACACACTAAAATGGAAGATTATTATATTAGCGATTTAACGGCGAAAGGAGAATACGCTTCGAGCAAAATTTCGGGTCACTTCGATAGCTTCGAGTGTCCCATTAATTTTCTCGACCTTTCCGTTACAATCAGAGATCGAATGAAAAAAAGATTATTATTCTAAAAGATTTTTGTAGAATTTTCGCAACGCGACTTTAAGAATTCTTTTAAAATATCCGAAAAATCCTTGTTATTCTTGAAAGATAAAGAATGAAACTTTAATATTATGATTTCAGATTTGTGTAAAAATGAAAAATTTATTATGTCGAAATGAAAACAATTGAAAAAAAAAATTTTTGTTTGATCTCTGATGCTACGACGCGCAACAATGAAGTGTTCAAAACCCAAAGTAAGACTTCACATCAGATTTCTTTGCGAGAAGAGATAATAGATTTTTTGGAGATGTTTACTACAGGACGTTCTCTGTCTTTCTATCTCTCTCGCATATTTTCTCGACGAGACAATGATTGCTCAGAGTAATCGAGCTTAAGAGAAGTGGAACTCCTGTGAGCCAAAAGAATCGTAGTAAGACTGTAATCCTCTAAGGATATATAATTTAAAAGAACTCGAAGAATCACAAATCATAATCGATATTGTCCAAAAGAAGAAAGATATATTTTGCACTTGTTTTTTACTTTTTCAAAACTAACGCAATGTGTGAATAGTACACATGGCGAGTATTAAGATTTTTTTAAATGCTCATTTATCGCTTAAGCGATCGAATCGTAGATATGATATGTATGATATGACGAACTTACTGCCGTTTTAAGGTGTGCACAAGTCGTTGAAAGTTCCTTCCTAGGAATCTCCGTGAAAAAATCTCCTCTTTTCATCTCTTTTTTTTTGTTTTATTTATTATAAATATATATGTAGATATATATCTCCCTTTTGTTTCTGTAAATATGTGCTCGTTATGTACTCTTTGTGGAAAAATCTCGAGAATTGGAAGAATATATGAAAGAATATTCGTTTTAATATTGTAGTAATAATATATACATTGAGGTATTGTTTATATATTAGGTTTTATCGATATTTTTTACAATTAGTTTCGCATGCGATTATTCGAGGAATGCGAATAATATTGCTTTGGCACATCTTTGGCACAAATTTGCCTCTGCACTTTATAATAACTACACTTTGATAATTACAATTGTGACTCACTGACTCACACGTCTTTTGATCTGCAAAAATCAAATTTTCCTAAACTGCGACTAAACAGAAAAAAAAGAAAAAAAAACGGACAAATAACTGTACGAATCATATGAGTCTCAATAGATAGAATAAACCGTACGAGAGAATAATACACGGTGTTTCACTTTGAAAACAACACTTTTTGATGACGATGAGATATATGTAAGGTTCTAGTTAAGAAAAAAATCAATTGCATACTAGGAAAGTCTGTTAGACGTTCTTTTGTGATGTTGTCGAAAGAAACGTGATGAACAGAAGTGAATCATCCAGCATATAACAGCCTATGAGATGCGCAAAGTGTAATAATTTTTTTGCATCGCGTGCAATAATAAGATTTCAATAATCACTAGCGCACCTAATTCTCTAACATTTAAATAAGATGAAAATAGAGCACATTACATATTTTGAATAACGCTACTGTATTAGAACCGCGGATGAATCTTTACTGTAATTATGAGCGATTGGACATTACACAACACTGTCTAAGACACTGTGTTTCGTATACACGCGCAGAATTTCAATGCTGACGTTTAATTTGTCATATTTAATTTCTATAAAATGAAAAAAAGATGTAGCAGCAGAATCGATAATTCAATCCGACGAATATATTATAATTTTATTCTTGTATACCACTGCTGTACTTTTATGTTGCTTTAGCTGCATAGATTGAACAAAAGAAAAGAAAGCAACATATTACTTGTGCCCCAGTATATATATATATATATATGTATATATATATATATATATATATATATATGTATATATACTGGAGCAGTATATATTATTTATTAAATTATTAACTAATTTTCAAAATTTTTTTCTTAATATCGATGAAATATGTAATGCTTTTGTTAACATTATTGAATTTATTCAGAACATAGTAGCGCGCGCGCGCACACACATACACACACACACACACACACACACATATATATAAGCTTCAACTATGAGATGACAAAGTACTTTGATGCACGCAGGTTGTATAAAAATTGGTTGTGCGTTGTTACATTGAAGCTTTGAATCCGTTTCTCTGACACATTCTTATAAATATACATATATGCGTGCATATATATATATGTATAAAACAAATTGTGACAAGAGTAAGCGGATCGATTTCAGCTTCGTACTATGCACTCTGTGTTGTGAATGGTATATAGAGGTATATATAAGAAAAATAATACAATAATATAATAATAATAATAATAATAATAATAATAATAATAATAAGTCTATAATAATATGTGAAAATACGTATATATATAATATACATAATAATATATTTATATAACCGAAGCATCATGCAACTTTAGACGTAAGAAAAGACAATTTTTTATATACATTATAATTATGCTGAAACTTGATGATAATATTTATCTATATATTAAGATATAGATGATGATTCTATGCCGCGATACCATGTCTCGCTTTGCTGATTGACAAATCTCGCTCACGAAAAGTTACTTGTGTAGCGTATTCCTTTTTTATTTGCCGGAAGAGTCGTATTACTTTTGTTTAGAACATCATAAAACTTGAATTACTTAATAAAAATATATGTGATGAATTAATCAAAAATTCATTATAATGTAACTTTTCTAATAGTTCTAAAAGATTTGGATATTTATAAATGTGACATAAAACATGATAATAATTATGATTAATGAAATAAATATTTTAAAAAATCATCTTTTGTATAGGATTAATTATATTAGAATTCAATTGATTACTATCAAGTGATTATTATAAATTTAATTTGACATATGCAAAGCGCATCGTCTAATTTAATGCGACTCTTCAGAGTTTTGAATATTAGAAATTTTACGCACGTAACTTCTTATTTTTTTATCATAGCTAAAGATATAGATAAATATACCGGATGCCTATAGCAAAACTATTAAAAAAGCTGTTTTGCTTTTTAAAGACAAAATGATCTTTTGTGCAATAGTATAATCCAATATATACAAATTATTCTTATAATTACTACATACTAAATATTGGTATAAGGATTTTACGAAATAACAAATTTTAAAAAGCATTGTGCGTCATGGAATTTCTGCCATTGTACTGTGTGGAGGGAAACCAGCATATCTACACGAATACAAAATACTCGTATAATGAAAATTATTTTTAGCACACAAGAGAAACGCGTTTGTGCGCTAAAGTTTTATCATTGTAATAAAATATACTAATAGTATTTTGAATGAGAAGAATTTACATATACTAATTAACGCTTTATACCGTCATATATATATTTATATATAGGAAATATATTTTCTATTCCTTTCTACGATTAAGGAAAATAAAAAAGAAAAATCGCGCTTATTTAATAAATGTAGGTAACACGAGTAAAAATGCGTGAAGTAGAAATCATATGATGTAGAAGAAAATATTTGAATGATAAAATTTAGAGTTGATGCGTTGTTACGAAATTTCATAATTACGAGTGTAAACGTGTACATACAGTAATAATGGCAGATATTTTACATTCATATCATAAACAATGATAATCTAACAAACTGTAATAATTTGTAGATGCAATTTGGCAGTTTTTTAAGATAAGACATTGAAGAAAATATTAAAAAAACATGAATTATATTTAAATATTTTATTTAATATTGTAATTAATTTTTTTAGTCTATTATTTTAAATTTCGTATATTATTTTATTACATTTATTATTAAATATTTTAAGAAATTTATTTAATATTATTTGACTAATCTACTATCATTGAATCACCATGACACCATGATATTTGGATATATAATATATTCTTATTGTTATAGACACACAAATTTTTCTTAGATACATATACATATTTTTATATCTTGGATTTTAATGATTAATATCGGGTAAAAATTGAGAGTAAATTCTAAAAATCTGAACATTTATAAAACTTTTTTTAGAAATAAGAGAACAAAATTCTTCCAAAGCTTTAAAACTAGATTCTTGTTTCTCAAATCTTAAAACAAGAAAATATTGTTTTAAGATTTTTATCTTCCAAATCAATCTCTATTCGCTCTCTGTTTAATATTTTATCGATGTCTTACCTTAAATTTCTTTTTTTTCTCAACTATTGTAAATCCGTCGAATCATCGCAGTTTTCATTTTTATCTGAGAAGAACACTTCTCGCCTTTCTTTTCCGATCGTTCACCTGCGTACTAATATTACACCGCTTTTATATATCAGTATCACTGCGATAGATGTGTGTGCACAAAAACTTGCAATCGTTATCACTATCGTTAGATATAATTATCCCTTCGATATACCTCGATAATTATCGCACTCCTTGACGAAACGTGTGTGTTTATATACATATACATATATACACACACATATGTATTAAGCACAATGCCATAGAATAGTGTGTTTATGGTTGCTAGTAATGCCACCATGTATCGTCCCCAAACATACATATTTGCCTGCCTAATTACATCCCAATGTGCGATGAACATACGTGTGTGGTTTTTACAAGAAAGAAAAAAGAAATGCTAGGGCTTCTTCCATAATATACAGAATATACCAATAGTTTCCATAGTATAGATATTAATGTTTCTGATATTCTGAATGTTTTTTGGTTTAATTCGCAAACTTTTTCGCTTTTCTTTTTATGAAGATTACATTTGTTATATTTGATACCGCTGGCGCGATAATTTTATTCATTAAAATCAATTTTATTCATTAAATACTGAGAGTAGCGGCAAAGAGAAAAAGAATGATGTATTACGGCATATAACATCGCAAAACTCCTATAATTTGACTTGATTATCGGTGATTTGTTAAATAATTAATGTGTAATAAATCATATCCAGGGTCGGTATTTTAATGTCGAATATACAATGAAAAGGAAAGAATTATAATTATATTCAGGTAATTCTGATTAATTCTAGTAAAAGTCACAATTATTATAATGTTATAATCTTAATTGTAATTGTAATTAGTATACTTATTTGATTTATAAAAACTTTATAATTATAATTCTCTATTTAAAGTTTCGGAACTTTAACATTTTATTCTTTTTCTTGTATGTGTCACAGTTTTTCTTATTTTCTAAAGAAATCTTTTTCTTAATTCGCTTGCTTTGCATTCTAAGAATTTTGAATTTTCTCAAATCTGTGACACATGAAGGAAAATTCGACTCTGAACATGCCATGATGTAAATCCTCTTAGATAGCGTATTTAGATATTTTTTTTAAACAGTGCTGTGTACGAGATAAAGGGTAGGGGCCATAAATGCGACCAAAAATAATAGTTTAGCTTTAATAAATGTATTTCTGTTGTTATCGATACTGTTGTTTTGTTAGATTTTATGCTAGATTTTTTTATTTCTTTGTTGCGTATACTTATATGCTTTATTGCGTTACATATATTCGATATGCACTATATTATTATTGTTTCTCTTTTTTTCCTTTTTCTGTATTATATTATTTAACTGTCAATGAGTTATATTATTTAACTGTCAATGAGTAAATATGTATATTTAATAATAAGTTGTTACTTATTGGCGCTAAAGTATTTCCTGTGCAATGACAAGAAGTAGAAAATCGTTGAATATATAAACGTCTTTTAAATACACTATATGTATATAAAATTATTTAAAGAGCAAAAAAGATAATAATTTTGTGTATCACTCTATTAATTTTTTTTTTAAAACATTTCTGAAAATTTTGTAGATTATTTTGCGAATGATTTTCTCGCGCATATGTTTAATTAAAAAGCAATGACAATGAATACATTCCATCAAGTACAAAGATTTTTATGTAATTTTGATTAAGCAAAAACGTATTTGGATTAGACATTTTGCTCTTTGAATATCATTTTCTAGAGAGAGAGTAAAGGTTGTGTTTGAGTGCAAATCACTAGATAGACTATGTATATAAAGGATATCCGGAAAATCGCCCGCAATACATCGAGACCTAAAAAGAAGGAAAAAAAGCTATATAAACTTAGATTTGGAAATAAGTCGTTTCCGAGTTATAGCTACGTTTATATTTAAAAAATCGTTATTTATAGTCCTCTTGACATCCCTCTTTGAATTTTTTTTAAATTTAAAATTCTTTAATCCAAATTTAAAAATTTAAATTCAAAAATTTGAATTTTAAATAATTTAAAATTTTAAATTTAAAATTTAAATTCAAATTTAAAAATTTAAATTCAAATTTAAAAATTTAAATTTAAATTCAAAAATTTAAATTTAAAAATTCAAATTTTTTAATTTAAATTTTTAAATTTGAATTTTAAATTTAAATTTAAAAATTTAAATTCAAAAATTTGAATTTTATATAATTTAAAAATTTAAATTTAAAATTTAAATTCAAATTTAAAAATTTAAATTTAAATTTAAAAATTTAAATTTAAAATTCAAATTTTTAAATTTAAATTTAAATTTTTAAATTTGAATTTTTAAATTTAAATTTAAATTCAAATTTAAAAATTTAAATTTAAAAATTTGAATTTTAAATTTAAATTTTTAAATTTAAATTTAAATTCAAATTTAAAAATTTAAATTCAAATTTAAAAATTTAAATTTAAATTCAAATTCAAAAATTTAAATTTAAAAATTCAAATTTAAAATTCAAATTTTTTAATTTAAATTTTTAAATTTGAATTTTAAATTTAAATTTAAAAATTTAAATTTTAAATTTAAACTTAAAAATTCGAATTTAAAAATTTAAATTTAAAATTTATAAAAAATGCCAAGTGGACTACAAATGACGATTTTTTTAACATAAAAGTGACTATAACTCGGAAATGACTTATTTCTGGATTTATGTTATAGTTTTCTTTTTCTTTTTGAGACCCGAATCACTTCGAAGTACTGCGGGCGATTTTCCAGACATCCTATATAGTCGGCTCTCTCGATCAAAGAAGAGCATTATTACATTTTAGGCACATATCAGTGAAAAAATATAATGAAATTTATCATAAACGCTCTGCACTTTATATATCGATACAGTTTGCGATTACTAGTATAATGATTGAATGTCGAAAATCATCGTTCCTTTTTTGTTAGAGCGAAATTAAATAATGGATTTCCTTTATTGAATGAATTTCTTTTATTCCTACTCTTAACTGTCAAATGCGATTATCAATTATATCATTTTGTGCTGATACTTCAAGAATTCAAGAATTTACATTACAAGCATTCATATTTCCGTCGCGATGTGCATCCGTACAATGATATTTTGTAGTGATAATTGTATCTATAGTTTTAAAATACTATCACAGGATGGTTGTCACAGTGGTTGTCATGCTATAATAGTCTTATATAAAATATCGATTATAAGGAAACTTCCAGATTTATTTACAAAATTCATTACAGATATTGATACAATAAATGTAATCATCATTGATAATAGTGAGTGATCATTATTCTGTGCATGTTAAACAGAGTTGGCTTTAAAGTTTATTTATACATTTTAAAATTGAAAAATTGTATATAAGGTGTAAATCTTATTTTAATCTTATTACTTTTTTTATATTTCTTATTCTTATATAAAAATAATGATCTCATCGGGTCTAATATATTACTTCACTCTTATAGATAATCACTTTTTACCTCATAATCAAGAGTCTATTCCTATTGAGCTGAAATTATGTTACCAGAAGCAACGTTTTCTCGATTCTAGCACAAAGTTTTTGCATTTCACTAGCCACCGTGTACTCGGCGGCCAAAATAGCATTCGCCGCGGCTATTGTCTCTTGGACCGACCGCGCTTTGATCCATATCCTGCCATTCATTCCAGCAGCGAGTTCATATGCTTGATTCCTACCGAGTATCCTGAACAACGGACACTCGGGATTGAGTAATTTCCTCACGAGGCTCAGCGAACAAGTGAACACCATGCCGTCCGAGCTGAGTACACCGAGTTCGTTTTCCTTGCCCTGAGAATCCACACATACCAATTCAGGCTCCATATCTTTGCTGGCAACCAGCATCTTGGCGTATATCACATCGCCGACCTGCAGATCAGGCCGGTTCTTTTTCGTCGCGCCCTCGAAGGCCAAGTAAGAGAGCGTCGCTTGTTCGCTGGCACCAACGTCTACCTTGTAAATATCGCCACTTTTCTGCGTCACTATACCGACCACATTTTCACCTCGACTGGGAATGTATCTGCGTGTTAAAAGTATTTGATGAAGATAAACTTGCATACTGCGAATTAAAATGTTATCGTTCTCTGATTCATACAAAACAAAAGATAGGAAAATATAATGCATAAAATATAATAATAGGAAAATATAATGCAGAAGTCGTGAAAACATACAAAAGGTAAAACGCGATGATGCTTTCATACCGTTTTTGATAGCTGTCCACATAATACACAGCCGGGTCACGTCTTTTCAGAATACCCGCTTTACAAACGTATACTTTGTCGCCTTCGCGGCGCAGTCCGGGTCCCAGGATCACGTTCTCCCTTTCATTCTTTCCTTCCTTTTTGGTCGATTTGATATCTTTCAAACTGTCACCTGGCATCACTACATCACCCACGCTAACCTCCATTTCGAGAAATTTCAGGAAAAATTTTTTACCTTTTTTTTATTATTATTCAAATGATAAAATATATAGATTCTTTTTCTTCTTCTTCTTCTTCCTTGGACTGGCCAACGCTGACACCCTTATTTTCTTTCAAAATTTTACAAAACGCCATGTGCGTCGAAAGGTGCAATTTCATTGACGCTAAAAATTAGCGTCAACCATTGGTTGAACAAAGAATTAAGTAGTTGCTTCTTTGTTCAACCAATGGTTGACGCTACTTTTTAGCGTCAATGAAATTGCACCTTAAGTTCATATTTTTATGTTTATAGAGGACGCATCATCCTTTCAGGGATAACCTAAAGCCGGATACTTTGTTAATCTAGTGACTTTAATATCGCCTAAAAGCAGACTATGACAAAAAAGAGTGAAAACTATGAATAACTTTGTTGTTTGTTTTATAGATTTTAAAAATGGCTTGTCGTATGCTACATATTTAGAGTTGTAAATAATTTGATAAAAAATGTTCAATCTATAAACAATGGTAACGCAAATGAAATATATCATTGTCTCTAAATCATTATATGTAATTAACATATAATGTGTATTTAAAATTAATTTATCAATTTAACTCCAATAAAATTATGAAATTTTTTTCAGGTATATTATTATTTAATATTGTTTAATTTATTGCTTGTCAGTCATTCACATTTATTAAAAATAGTCACTTTATTAAATAATGTGAGAAACTCTATATTTTTTGCGAATAGTAAGTAGAACTTTTATGGATATAGCATTTTGATAATAGTTTATATTTACAGTAGAAAATAATTTGTATTTCACTGTGCTTTTGTTCTATAGGACCTGAAGATGAATTATGAAAGGGTGTGACAAGTATCAGTAATGCAGGAAGACACAGAGATAGAGCAAGAAGAGTAGTGAAAAGAGAAAGCTCCTAAATAAGGAGCAAATTATTGGCATGGGAAAAATTCCGATACAATTTCCTGGTTTAAACACTCCTGTGTTTAGAGGAAAAGAATTAATTCAACAGCAAAAACTGCTTGTAAATCTTGAAAGAAAGCAAAAACTTATGGAATTACCACAAAGTCAGACCAGACCGATGCAAATAAAATTATCCCCATTGGAATGTGGTTGGACGAGTGTTACAATGGATGGCAGAAGCATTGAATCAGATCTTATTGGAAAAGGTTAATATTTATGCTATTATTGGATTATAATGGTTAAATCACACACATACAAAAATCATGTGATACGATGTCTATTTTCAATTTTTTTTTGATGTTTCAGTTCTAAATATTAGAATCTTATATAATTAATATCTTTGTTTTCTGTAGATACATTGAAAGTTTTGAAACCTGGATTTTGGAAAACAAAATGATAACTTGTATGATCGGTAATTTAGCACGTAAGACTAGAATCAGTTCATTTATAGTAACTGGAAATGGAAATGGATTAGCTAGATTTGCGTTATCAAAAGCCAAAGCATCCCTAAAGACGGTTAAAAATAAGGCTGGTCAAAGACTAATGTATATTCCTACATATAAGGAATACACTGGTAAGAAAATAATTGTCAATACTATATAATATAAAATTTATTTCTTCTCTTTTAATATCACTTTGTATTTTTCAGTGTTACATGATTTCTTTACACAGTTTGAGAATATAAAAATATTTGTAAAGAAAATTCATGAAGGATAATGGGCTTGTTTGTCATCATGCGATAAAAGCGTGTTGCGAGATAATTGGTATAAAGGATATGTATGCCAAAGTACAAGGAGGAATGTAAAAGCATTCTTTATTGGTTTATTACAACAGGTATGTATATAAAGTATTTAAAGGCATATTATACTTTTTATTTAATTTATATTAGAAAGAAATATTTTTTATTTATAAAAATATATATACACACACACACACACACACACACACACACACACACACACATATATATATATATATATATATATATATATATATATATATGTTACACATAAAGCTAAAAAAAAACGTGGATTGTGTCGATTAATTAATTAATTGTTTTATTTAATTATCAATTTATATATGTATATTATTAACAATAATTTTTTGTTTACTTAAACTATAAGGTTGTACATAAGAAACAATCTTTTTTATTTAGTATTTCAAGCATATTTTCATAGAACTTTAATTTAATTATTACATTATTAAAAATATTGAACAAAATAAAGAATTAAAGCTGGCTTTCTCTGCAGTCTCATGACAGATTATATCAGAAATCATACTTTAATTATTGCAATATATCATGAAACAAATCAATCTCAAAATAATGGAAATATTTGCAGAAATATCAAATATGTAATGTAAATATTTTAATTTTTTTGTATGCGATCTATTTTTTATTCTATCGATGTTTTCATAGTGATGCACCTTGAGCACTTTGCTTCATATGTTTGCAATAAAAATATATTAAAGCAAATTATTTTGCAAATTTATTATTCTAATTTTTATTTAGAAAGACTAAGATTAAAAAAGACGTATGCATTTTTTTCAGATATTTTTCTATTGAAAAAAACGCATCAGATAAAACTTTCCTGTACATTTTAAATGCGCCAAAAGATTTGCTCTTTATTCCACTTACTGCAATAATGTACACTAAAAATGACAGATCTATATTAAAAATGATAGATCTATATTTAGTAGTTGGAAAGAAAGAGAAGAGAAATGAAAAGTGCATCTACAGAATTTAAAAGAATAAAAATCTAAAAATAATAATACATAATTAATATTATGTATTTTTTTCATGAGGAATGTGGGGCGCACATTTATGCATTTATTTATTTGGATGAGATTTACTTTAGAGCACATTCAGTATTCAACTTTAATTTTATTTTCTCTTTCTTATGATATATAAGTATAATATAATTACCTGCAAATGCTATCACTTTGTGTGCTTACAGTGATACAGAAGCAACATTACAAGTACTATATTTACAGATAACATCTGTATAATAAAAAAAGCACCAAAAATCTAATGATGAAAAAAGGATAAATATTGTAGACCAGGATAAGTATCAATCAATTATTCCACCGATCTGTTTCATTAGAGTTGCAATTTTCTTTTATATCATAAATATTATAAATAAGATAAAGATTTCCATACGTTTCAAATAAATTTATATATTTTATGTATATAATACTGCGCACACATATTAAAAAGTGATAATATCGCAGTTATAATAAGATACGATCCTGGCATGTAGTGATTTTTGGATCCTACTTAAAATAATTTAATTTGATTTATTTTTGAGAAATGCACACAATACTTGAGAACAAATTATTTTTGTGCCATGTATTACCTGTGTAAAATTCCATACACAGTATCATATTGTCTGTGACATATGAAAAGCTTCATCGATGAAATATGATTGAGATATAAGAAAAGTAATATAGTACTTGTAATGAATAACGTTAATGTGGAATACATAAATATTTTATATTTTAATTTCATATAATCAAGATGAGATAAGACACTCATGATTACTTTAAAAATGTGTCAACAAATATCATGTAACTTCAACAGCTGCACATTCGTCAAATTAATCCTATTACGTTAAATGAATCACAGCAGCTTGTTTTAATTTAATCTAACCTAACCAATTATATTATATGCTTCTCATTAAAATGTGTAAAACTGCATATTTCATACGATTAATATACTACGTAATAAAATGTAATACATTAATGAAATAATTAAATATTATTTTTGAAAGCATGATAAAATCCAGGCAGCATACGCTTGCGTTTACATTCGACATCCAAAGCACTGAGAGGTTAGGTTAGGTTAGATCGAAAAAATTTATCGTTTAACAGTTGGCAGCCCTACGAGATAGGCTGTGCAGCACTGCGCGTATATAAAATAAATTTGAAATCGCTTCTAGCCTAACTATCTTCACGCGATCGACTTTATTTGAATTGCACGGCATCGCATCGAATTATGATGCGGCGCCGATTTGTTCGAATGTAATTCGGGACATCGCGATGCTGTATAAGCATCGAATGAGCACGAATTGTCACGCAAATATGATAAATCACATCTACTCACCGTTCACCGGCTGTTCCACAGGCCGCTCCACTCGTTCGCCTCGGGACGTCTCATTCCGATCTTGATGCACACGATATCATCAACGCGAACGCGCGACACTTTATTCGGCACTCCCGATATTCGCTCGCATCCGATAATCATCATCAAGGGCGCAAATAATGCGACGCAACTTCGCTCCATCTTCGCGATGACGCCATCATTGAATGTCGTCAAAAATCGCTGTCGCGCGTTTCCATCGACACACTATAAAAATCGCGCGATCATTCTTCGACACTTTCGACGCTCGTTCACTCGTGATATTCGTTTAAAAACGGTTAAAAGACACGAAAAATGCGGACGTACGACGATCCGTGTAACTGCGTATGACTCCGAGTCACGTATGACACGTATGACGTCGCAGTGACGTCACGCGCCAACATGGCGGCCGAACCAGTGCGCACTGGTTCGGCCGCCATGTTGGCGCGTGACTGCTACGTCATACGCGTCATAGCTACGTCATACGCGTCATACGTGACTTGGAGTCATACGCAGTTACACGGATCGTCGTACGTCCGCATTTTTCGTGTCTTTTAACCGTTTTTAAACGAATATCACGAGTGAACGAGCGTCGAAAGTGTCGAAGAATGATCGCGCGATTTTTATAGTGTGTCGATGGAAACGCGCGACAGCGATTTTTGACGACATTCAATGATGGCGTCATCGCGAAGATGGAGCGAAGTTGCGTCGCATTATTTGCGCCCTTGATGATGATTATCGGATGCGAGCGAATATCGGGAGTGCCGAATAAAGTGTCGCGCGTTCGCGTTGATGATATCGTGTGCATCAAGATCGGAATGAGACGTCCCGAGGCGAACGAGTGGAGCGGCCTGTGGAACAGCCGGTGAACGGTGAGTAGATGTGATTTATCATATTTGCGTGACAATTCGTGCTCATTCGACGCTTATACAGCATCGCGATGTCCCGAATTACGTTCGAACAAATCGGCGCCGCATCATAATTTGATGCGATGCCGTGCAATTCAAATAAAGTCGATCGCGTGAAGATGGTTAGGCTAGAAGCGATTTCAAATTTATTTTATATACGCGCAGTGCTGCACAGCCTATCTCGTAGGGCTGCCAACTGTTAAGGTGCAATTTCATTGACGCTAAAAAGTAGCGTCATTGAAAAGGCCGCTTTACACATTGAAAAAGTTGAAACTGTTTGAACTTTATTTTATTGACGCCAAATCTAAAGGCCGGTATTCATAGTCCGATCTTATATTTGAGATCGTCTTAAGTTCGAGCTTGAAATGCTACGCAGCTATTTGATTGGTTGAAGGAAGTCTTAAGTCAACCTCGGACCAGACTTAAGACGATCTTAAATATAAGATCGGACTATGAATACCGGCCAAGAAAGTCTAGTGATTTTAATTTGCCGCTGGTTTCTAGCGTCAATGAAATTGCACCTTAAGGTCTATTTTCAATGAGATGAAAATTACTAGACATTCATAGGTGCAGGAATATTTCTATTGGCGTTTAAAAATGGTCGGTTTTGATTGGAATATATAGTTACATTCTTCAGAAAATGGCTGTGATTGGTCAATGACATCTAGTAAACTATCCCGAAACGATTGAACCCGACCACTCAAAAACACTATATGATAATACATGAAAATCCTAACTTAACCCTGTGTGTTTTTCTTCTGTTGCACCTGTACTTTCTGCACTTGTAATTTTTTTTTCTTTCTCGCTCTTTCTTAAAGTGTCAAGTGTGAAAAATTGAAATGAAGTGTGTGTGAAAAATTAAATATATATACATATGTATATAATTATTTTCTCATTGAATAAATGAGTAAACAAAATGAGTATACAGAAAGACTCGGACAACGTTCCAGAACAAGTAAATCCTGTGAAAAAACATCCATTGCATCGTAACCAAGAATTATACAATCCTTGTTACAAGGTATTTAAATGATTTATAATTGTTAGACATTATGCGAAAGTAAATCATTTTTGTTCAGGAATCTTTGGAGATATAAAAAAAGAGTATAGGAGATACACTTAAAAGAAGTTATATTAATGTAATTTGTCTATATTTTTTTTAGGAGCATCTTTTATCCTTAAAATGTCTTGATTCAAATCAGAAAGAACGTCAAGCATGTGAAGTATATTTTAAGAATTATAAAAACTGCAAACAATTTTGGGTAAGTTTTCTTCCAATGTAATATGTATCTTTTTCCTAAATATATATTTTCTGTCCAGGCTAAAGTACAATCTGAACGCAAATCAAAAGGTATTAAGCCATATATGCCACCTTTAGAAGAACGCAAAAAGATAAAAGCAGAGTTTCTAAACTCTAGATAGCGATAAATGTATACTATTTTATTTTGTAAAAATATCTTTTATTTCATATTAAGTTTTTCCAATGTTTTGCAATATTACATTGTAATATAGCATGTATATAGTCTCTAATAAAATGTAATATATGTAAGCTCTGTAAACTCATAATAAAAATGTAATAAATGTAAACATGTAAACTCATAAAAAAAATTAATATATGTCAAATAAGAATCTTACTACTTTAAATTTTTTCCATTATTTTAATGATTTTATTTTACATATTTTTTTTTAAACATGTTACTTTAATGTATCTACATATGTAATAAAAAAATTTTCGTTTTAAAATAAAAACAAATTTTTTATAGACATTACATTTGAATATCAATTTTGAGTTGTAGTTTCACATAGAAATCATATGATGTAATAATTATAAATTGTACAAATTTTAACATAAATTTACATTCAAATATGTAGACAATAATACACTCTGATCCTTTATCATACATATTGACTTGTACTATATAAATATGACTTGTGTATTATTACATATACATTAGGCGATTTTTGGTGTGACTGTGATATATCAATCAAAGTATATTAGATTCTACTAGAACATTTTCGTGCGTTTGGTAGTTTGTGGTAGAGGCGCGACTAGTTTTGGTATCTGGTTGATACCATCAAAAATAAAGCAAGGTACAAGATGTTATGTACCAGAATAAGCTCCGCCTCTACTAAAAACAACCTTGGTACATGTACCAAACTATCGCCAAAAATCGCCTATTATTCTACTATTAAAACATATATGAATGAATTGATGACATTTTATACAATTTTTAAATATTAAAAAGAAAGCGAGAAAGAAAGAAAAATTAGAAGAGGAAAAGAGGAAAAACATTATTAAAAAAGAAGAGGAAAAGAGGAAAAACATTATTAAAAAAGAAGAGGAAAAGAGGAAAAACATTATTAGTAAATTGAAGAATAATATCCGAGGGACGATACGTGTTAAAAACGAAAAGGTATACATTTTTAATTCAACGCTTGATAAAGTTAATAGCATTCAAAGAAAAATTATTTGTACACACATATAAATATATATAAGCCTGATCATTTAATATATGATGTTTATAGATAAACCATTGTTCTTTCACAGAATCAAAGAAATAATATGTGGATAATTAAATATATCACAGTAAAATAATATAGAACTGATTTAGAGAATTTCAGCATAGAAATAAGCAAAGAACTCGATAGGTACGATTATGTTAGATGTGTAAAACAAAATAAAATTATCACAATTTTTGCATCTCTGAGTAGCGCTTTGTATAATTGTATTTCGCGTGAAGGACATGATTCTAAGAATTCTTTGTTTTTTCAATAAGTGTTTTGTCATGATAATTAACTTCTAGTGATTAATTCTAATAACAAGTTTGTATATTGTGTGTATGTCAGATCTCTTCTCCTTGTTTGCTTTTTTTTGCGCTGGTTTTAATGACTTTTTTTTTTTACCTCATAATGCCTTCGTTTTTAACATGTATCGTCGACAAGTAGTCATTCGGAATGATTTTTTATAGAGAACGTCTGAATCCGAAAGTGACGGCACATTTGACGAACCTGAAAAATTGACAATATGATGTAAATAAATTGCTTTGTGTGAACATATAAAAAAATACATAAATTATATTATTAGATATATATAGATTATATTATTAGATATATATACAAGTATTTTATAAATTATAATTATAAAAGAATAGTTATATCATTAAACTTACCACGCAAGCACCATAATGAATGTGTGCCAACAAAGCTACTATGGAAACTAGATACATAGATCCTAAATCTATGCTAGGTAACATAAATGAGAAAATAGCGGCTACTGCGACTGGCAAAAGTATCCATGGTAATACTTCACATCTAGTATTACTCATCTGTGATACGATTAATCGACACTACAACATTAAACCATTGAAATTAATAACGTTGATCAAAATCATTTTTTTAAATTACATGTGTTAATCGAATCTTACACATATATTGGAAAAAATAGTGCCAATGGCAAAATATATTATCCTTGGATCTTTTTCTAGAACATTACTTGGAGAATGTATTATCCAGATTGTAGAAATTGCAAAAAGCAAAATCAAAGGCACTAATGGCCTTATGGCCTCTGGAAATGTCCGCATTTTGCCAGTCTTATCTCTATATGACCTATAAAAGAAAGATGTATATGTCAAAGTAGCATGTATATTGCATCAATAATATATACATATAGCGTGTAATTGCGAAAGATAAGATTAATTGCAGCTATATATTCTAGAATATATATAGCTGCAATTAATCTTATGTTTTGCAATTGCACGCTATATATATTATTGATGCAACATATATATATTGAAAACATAATATTATTATATTGATTTATGTGCAAATTTCATGTTTGTATGCTGATAAATAAAATTATTATAAATTTTTTTAAATATTTTCTATATAATAAACAAAGTTATTGTAAATATTTTTTTAGGAAAGACATTGGAAAGAATTTTCCTCTAAATGGATAAAAATATAAAGTCGATGATAGATTATATATAATTATGGCTGCGTTCCAAAATTCACTGCCAGTACTGAAAATCTATAATTTACATGACGTACACTATAGATTTTCAGTACTGGCAGTGAATTTTGGAACACAGCCTATATACTTACAATTACACAAGAATAAAAAAATTTACAATTATTAATATTTATCATTATTTATATATTTAACTGATAAATATTTTGATAAATCTTATCGAGAAAGAAACTATTTGATAATATAATTCTATTATGAATTTTAATAAATTTTTTAAATATGGATTTAATAATTTTACAATAAAATTTACTAGAATAAGTAGATGCATACTTACTTGTATATATTCCAAAGAACAACTGGCAAGTTGGACACAAGTGCACTAACATAAAACAGCATTTCAAACATCATTCCTGCTGATACACCACCTGGCAATTCAAATTTCCAAGCTTCATGTCCACCTATGCTGGTAAGCATAAATACTATGATAGTTGCCTATAAAATTGACAAAGATAGATATAAATCTTCATTTAATGAAATTGTTAATCAACAAGATCATAATTGCTATATATATATTTATATATTTATACATATATTAATTTTATGAAATTGTTTACGTATTCATTATTATAATCTTAAAAATCCAAGATAAACATGCACATAAACATACACGCACTACGACTTAAATAAACTTACTAGCATGGAAGCATCATATCCCCAAGGAAGAAATAGTACGCCTGTGTTATATTTCTCCCAGTGACTCAGATAAAAATTAATAAATATATTCCACAATATAAAGTACATTCGTAACGGCGAGACACTGTGATCCGTTCTGCCGAAAACTGAATACATACACACAGTAATCAATATAGCAGACCAACTGTCTAAACCATGATCGAATAATTCTCCTAAAGGACCAGAAGTTTGTGTACGTCTTGCCTGCTTTCCATCTATTCCATCTAAAATATAATAATAATCAATGAGCATTTTAAATTATTGTTAAATATCTATATAAAATATCTACGTAATGTTTTGTATGTGTTGTAAAATATCTATGAAATTTTCTAATTTTATTTAAATTTATGTGCATTTTATTCAAGTTTACATTTGTTCATATTTATTTCAAACATGAAAAATAAATATATATAAATTTACTAATCTCTTATATTAATTTAAATTCTTCATATTGCTAACAATTATAATCAATATAATTATATGTTAATGTATAAATTGTATAACAATTCTAAATACACGTACCAAGCGTATATGCCATAAAAATGTTAAAAGCAGCTATGGCAAAGATCCATCGTGATATTGGAGGGTATTCTGGCTTGTCATCGCTGGATGCATAAAAGTAGTAGTCATAATACGCAAATAACATAAAATTCAACACAGTAAAGAGGAATCCAGAGAAGGTTAGTACATTTGGAGCAATCCACTTTGGGCAATACTATAAAAGAAGACACACAATTAGTATTTGTAATAAATATTATACTATACAACATACTAAACAACAAAATATATATTTTCCTATATATAGATTAAATTATAATTGTTATTACTGTATTAATAATTATTTTACTACTAAAGCATAGAAATCATACCTCTACTACTTTGTTCCAAAAAGGATGCATAACGTATACACTTAGGGGGCTTGTATCCAAGGAGCTATACTGTAATCAGAATATTTGAAATAAGTAACACAAAAATAATCAAGCATTGTATATATTAAGTCAATCAAATAAAAATTTTCTTATATTATTTATATATTTTTTAATATTTTTTATATATTACCATATAAAATTTATATATACATATATATATATATATATATATATAATAGATTATATAAAAAAAAAATATATATATATATATGTATGTAATTATATGTATCATATGGTATATAATTTGATATTGATAATTATTAAATATTTAAATCAAACACTTACTTTATAGGTCTCAAACCCCGTAAGATGTTCCTCGGTGAGATATTCCACCTCGCACTTGAATTTACGATACATTTTCTAGAATCTCAAGAATCGAACCACCCAATAAAATCTCCAACGTTCACCCTACGATCGTTAATCACCGCACATTTACGCAAAATATTGTTCTACAAGCAGACGCGCGAGGAATTCCGATTTTCTCGTATGAATATTCCCTTTGTTTATTTGTTTCCTTTATTTGTACCGTCCGTAAAATCGTCTATCGTTACGTGAATTCATCGTGGAAAAGTTGAGAGAATTTTATCTCACGCACACTTTTTCCTAAACACCGGATTCCGATCTAATTTTCACTCACTCAATCACAAAGATTACAACTCACTGCGCCTTCGCGTCGTGAATCGGGACCTCGCGCGACACGAGAGGCGTGATGTATGCAATAAAATTATAAATTACGCGTGCATTACGTATACGCAGGCATATCGGATGATATCCCGGCTCCGGCTCGTCGACCACAGGCCACAGGCCACAACCGCATACACCGCAATGCATGCGCGACGCGTCTCACGTATAGAGAAAGAGGCACCGGCTGATCATCGGATCATCCCCCGGCCCCGGATCGCCCACGCGCTCGCCTTTCTGTTTCAACGATCGAGACGCGCGGACGCATCCTGCTGAATCGTACCCACGGACAGGCGGCAGCACAATTGTTTTATCGCCGTGTGTGAAACACGCACGCACGCACACGCAGACACACGAGAGTTATTATAGCGGAATAAAAAATTATGCCGCATGCATTTTTACCTTGAATGACACAGGTGAGTACGTAACACCTGATTATATTTGTACACTCGTAATTTTTCTATAATATACGAGTGAAAATACGCGAGTATTATTTAACAAGCATTGATATATATATATGAATAATTGTATGAATTAAAATAAGGATATAGATAAATATTGCGTAAAAATGAAAAAAAAAGTTACAATTAATTTCACGTTTGAATTTCGAGCCCGTGTGTTTATTTCTGAACGAAAGGGTCAATTAGTTGCTGCCAACATTGTGCACAATAGAACACCATTTATCCTTTTTTTTTTTACGAAATCTTCGTCGCGAAGTCAGTGAATCGAGCCGAAGGTGATGTGAGCATCATAGACATAAAATACATAGACGGGAAATCTATTCTGAGATGATTAGAGGATTTGCTCTATGAGTTTAATTATATTTTTAATTATATAAATTATATATATGTGTCAGACACATGGATATGTCAAATTATAAACGCATTTTTCTCGATACCTTGAAATAGTGTTGACATTTTTCGAATATAACGTAATTATAAATTAGATGTATAATTATCCTCGAAAGAGGAACAAAACTGCAAACTTTTATTTCTATTTCTAAACTTCTACCTGCGGTAGTTTGTGTCGTCTATGTATTTTCCACGTCTATGGCAAGCACAGATTTCGATAGTTGACAATTTTTTGATCCTTCGGCATAACAGTATATAAAATGACAGAATTGTGTAAATTGACAGTGAATTTCGTATTCTGAATGTATTACACGTATTTATAATTGACCAATTAACCATTCGAGAAGATAAGATAACACTATGCTAATTATGACGATTAATACTAAAGAGCAGAACGACGTAATAACATAAACCGGTATTCGCAGGCATGGGTAGCGCTGTCATTTCCTGAAGATTATCAGCAGGTGTTTGTACGTTTATATACATATGTGTGTTTAGTATTTGTGTAAAAGTTTATTCCCGTTGATGATTTATTCTCAAATTATCGCATTCACAGTTTCATTAATCTCTCCGTCAACAATTTCACCATGGCCTCTGCAACAGAGCAGCAGCAACAGACCACGCTGGAATTTTACCAGGCGATGGCTGACTTTAAAAATATGTTCCCGCAAATGGACGACGATGTGATAGAGGTAAAATATCGAATTCATAAATATAATAGTATCATTAATGCAGACCATATTGAATTTGAATATTGTATCGTTGTATCATTTGCCAGGCTGTGCTAAGATCCAATCAAGGAGCTGTGGATACTACGATCGATCAATTGCTCACCATGAGTACTGACAATGAGAATGAAAAGATCAGGAGTGAATTAGAACAAAAGGAAGAACTGCCAAGCACCATAAAATCACCTAGGAAAGACTCTAGCAAATCGTTAAAAACTATACATAAGTGGCAGCCACCATTGTTGGGACCATTGCCGGATACGTTTCTAAGACTACCCCAGCAAATGTCAGATGATGGTGTTGACTCAACATACTCGCAAGAGAATTCTATGCTGGAAGATGAGAGAATTGCTATGTTTCTGCAGAATGAAGAATTCATGGCAGAACTTCGTTGGAACGAAGATTTTCTATCCACATTGGAACATGGTAAAGAATTAAAGATTTACAAGATGATAATATAATCAGGAGAATTATGTATCCAAAATGTCTACCAATGACAATACTTGTAAGAAAATATCTTCTTTTTCTTTTGTAGATTCGAAGCTTGAAAAATACGGTGGTCAAACTGGTCATGATGATGAGGATCTATTTAAGGAAAGACTGAAAAATATGGGCAAATGTAAGCAACCATTTAAGAAATAATTAAAATTAAGAACTGTGTCATACAATTTATCTGTTATTTCCCTCTTTTTAATAATGAACATTCTTACAGTATCTCGACGTAAATTCGCACAACTTACAAAAGTATTCACTCGCAGTAAGAAACGCGGTGGCAGGCAATTATTGCCACCGACAGCTTCCTGTGACGATCTCTTGGATCCAGAAGAGTCATCCAAACCTCAATCTTAAAGAAACATCTGTACCTATAAGTCTACAGGGAATACTCTTGTCGTACTTTATTGTGAAGACAGAGTAAACTTAATGGCATTCACAGCTTAAGTGTAATTTAAATGTCACAAAAACAAGCATATCCAGCATGTCGTAATTTGCAAGATGAAAGAAAATTATGTTAGAGTACTACTGTAAGATATAATTTAATTAGTGATGTTTTTAGTTCACATGATGGCTGATGAGATAATTAGTTGAATAGAGATAATGGAATTGCTAGGCTGAGGATCCAAAAGCGAATTAGTGAGGACTTATTTAAAAAAATGAATATCAAGAAAGTTTCAAACAATACAAAATTATCAAAACATCCATATTTCTCGTTAAATATGCAGTTATACAATTGAATGTGTATATATATACGTAGAGGAATAGCATACATTAATTTTAATGTATTTCCTAATATATAAGGATATAGATCTGTTTTAATTCTGATAAATTCAATGTGATATTTTATTGCGATATTGTGACGCAAATTTTACTTTAATAGATTTTATATTTTGTTGTGATTTTATACATGTTGCTTGCGGTTACCTGTATTATTGTGTCTTAATCGTGCGTAATTGTCTAAAAATCGACATGAGAAAGTTTCGAAAATGTATCGAATGATAATCTTTAAAAAATTATTGCTAATATTGGGCAAATATTTAACTTTATTTAAAAGTGATAGCTACCGTTTTGAATGGCGTTTTAAATGATAATTAAGAAATCAGATTCTTATTGTATACAAAGTACGCAATGCGATTGCTTTTTAACATGTGCAGCTACGAAAAATAGTTGATTATTTTGTGTATATATATGTCTATATTTATCGCCAATAGTGCGTTAATGTTATTATAGACAGAATAGTTCGTTAAAAATTTAGAAAATGCAATGTCGAAATTCAGATAAAGATGATTTCTTTGAAAAATCCAGTTGTCAGGAATGAAGAAATCTGAATGAAATCTGATGCGGTATTGATACATTAAAAAGTAGTGAATGAAGGCTTCTTATATTTTCAAAAATTTATATTATACATCACATTTTCAGAAATTTCTATTACTATATATAATTTATTAAATAGTAGAGTTACTCTACTATTATACTATACAATTTACTATACAATTTAACGATAGTGTTTTTGCAGAAATTATACACGCATGTGCGCATACATACACACATACCACATACATGTACACATACTATTGTGGTGAGTAATTATTCATGAATTTGATTGAATTTAAATTAAAGAATACTTACAAATGCCTTTATTCACTTACTCTTTCGATTCTATTTGCCATTGCAAATAGCAATTGTACTTTTTTTTTAGCATAATAAATCCTAGTCGCTCAGTCTAGCCATTATTTATTCAACGAGAATCTGATATCGTAACAATATTGTGAATGTAGAAAATATTTATAAAAGTAGTTGTAAAGAATCTAAGTCATTTACAATAACATGTGCTCTATGATTTTATATATATGTATATAAAATCGAAAGAGATGATTAGACTGCATTATATTTACTTCAAATTTTGTTCAAACTCAAAATTAGGAATAAAATTAGGAATAAAAAATAGTTCTAAGTGTATATCTCCTTATAATTGAATATAATTTATATCAATTATTTCTCCCTTAACATCAAGAAATCGATTCAGATTCAAGAATAAAATGTAAGATTGAAGTATCAAAATAATATCAACTGTCTCGCGTTATGTGTCAGGTTGTTTGAAAAAAACCCTAGCACCAGAAAGACTATAATACAATAATTGGAATTCGGCATTTCTCTCAGCTAGACGTTGAAGAGTAAGCGCTCTGGTTTGCTGGAGTTTTTCATCGCCGTGATCGTCTTTACTTTCGGCGGCAAACTTTTGCCGGGCAATGTGTTGTTCCACTGTCTTGAACCAATGCAAATTGTCCAATTCTGTGTTCTGGTCGAGTAGTGCGTTGATGTAGGCGATACCCATGGCAAAGCCATCGTCGGTAAAGGCCGCGCCAGTTTGGTTCTTCTTGAACATCTTTTCTTTATTCGACACAGAATTATCTACGAAACTGAGCGTTAATGGCGGCACGATAGCGTAGAACTGCTGCAGATGGTAAGATTTGGCATCGCGAAATGCTGACGTGAACACGTCCACCAGTAGTTTAAAATATTGGATACCCTCAGTGAAGTTGCGTACGAGATCGGCAATATCGTCCTCCAGTCTTCTGGCCGCTGCTTGCGTTTCGATGCTGTAATTCAGACCGCGACAAAGCGCTTCGAATGGCAATGTCTTCTCAATGTCGGGTAGAAATGATACTGCATTGGAGCTGGCATGGAGACCGCCGGAGCGGATCAGCCGCACGTAGCCGAGCGCATTGCCGATCTGCGTGATCAACTGACGAAACTGATCTAGATAACTTAATCCATCCGCAGTCATCCCCAATTTTCGGATGCCCTTCTGAAATTTTTCCGCTCGCTCATATGTATATGGAACAGCGCCTGCTTCTCGTTGTGCCCGGATAAACCTGATGTCGCGCATTAGTCGCGACTTAATGTGCTCGTCAAAGAGGAACTGTGAGAATGTATGCAGCTTAACGCGCAGGAATTGATAGACAAAGTTCACCGTAGTGCTCATGATACCGGTGCCATGAGTGCGAATCGAATTGGCGATGTGTCGGATGCCGATGGTATTGAGATGCTTGTTACCACTGCTGTGCTCTACGAACGTCTGTGTGTTCAGGTTGTACAGATACCTATACAGAACGACAATTAATATATGAGCATATACTTCTAGATAATAATTAATAATTAATAATTATGTCTACCTGGAAACAAACACGTGTATGTTACGCATAATTTCCAAAGCGTCCAGGCCTTGCTCGAGGGTCTGCGTCGGCAAATGATCTTGCACAGTGTCCAGGCCCATCTTATAACTAGCCAACGTGTGCATCATTCGGTAGGTTCTCCAATCATGCAGAGCCACTGTTGTCAGATTGTAAAACATATCATCTAGATAATGCTCGACGAATCTCTTGGTGCAGACCATGTTTTCGGCTAAAGGCAGCGGCGGAACGCGCACTACTCTACCACCGTCCTTGGCGCCAATGTTGAAGGGATTCGCGGAATCTAGTTTGAGATGAGCGTGCACATGTAATCGTAAACTGGTTTCAATTTCATGGCAGGCCGGCTTCAGCACACTTTTTACCAAGCTTTCTCTGAGCTCCGCGATATGCTTTTCCCTCAGCTCAACCGATTCCTGCTCGCCCACAGCGCTATTGAAGGCAGCAAATAGGTGAGCAATGTGACAAACCCCAGTATTGCCGTCGACGACTGAAGAGAGATAGGCGGGCAGCATATTCTGATGATGCAACAGCAACGAATAATCACCGAGCTCATCGACTAGTTCATGCAGCTCAGCTACGGCATCGTAACTGTCCAGCAGAAACCGCAGCTTTACCACATCTTCCTCACGGAAAGTGTCAGTCAGCTGGCTAGCACATGCCAGCGTGCAACGCACTATCAATCGCCTATCTGCGCTCGCCGGACCGCTTATCAGCCGCATACCAAGTCCTACCAATGATAGCGCGTCCAATCGTTCTCTGCTATAGCCTTTGTCTTTCTGAACGAGACCCTTGCGCGCCGTTTCTAGCATAGCTAATATGTAATAAGCTAAGTACTGCAACACTTGCGCCTGTGATTGTACCACGATTGGCCCGAGTGCGTAAAATGTTGTCTGCAGAGACTTTTGCAATTCTATGATTCTGCAGATAAATTGCACTGTATTGCGACTCATTGGTTTCGACAACGAAGCGTGAAGATTCGTTACGAATGCGACTGTCTCCCGCATCTGGGATAAGAGAGCTAATAAATCCATCAGCAGCGTACGTTTCTGCCCGATATCCGATACTTGAAGATTTGTCCTTGTCAGGATACTCTGCATCTCCACACACCAAGTCGTTGCTCGATGTATCAAATTGTTCACTATAGTTGGCAATCTTTGTGTTCTTGCTTGTAAAATCTTTTCGCCTATTTGTGGACTCGCGGCAGTGCCAGTCTCTTTCGGCACAATGTTACTGAGGAATCTGCTGGGCACCCAAATCACGTTTCCCACCAATGTAACCGCGTAGAACCTCTTATTTGTCTCTAGTACTCTCTTGATCAATCTCCTATCGCAAGCGCCAAACAGCTTTATCACTACTACGATGCCAACATTGGCTCTTATCCAATTTTTATTCAATGCTGCATAATCATTGGATTTAGTTTCCACATCTGTGATTGTGTTCTTCAAATAGCTGACAATTTGCTCGCTCATAACTAAACCTTTATTCACATCCATCACATGCTCAATTGCCTTCAGAAACATATTTCTTCGTAACAGCTTCTCTTGCAAATCCTTAAGCAGGTGATCAAATGTTTCTAGCTTTGCCTCGGCGATGCCAAACTGTGAAGGATTATGCATCACGGAACGTACATGCATTCTATATTTCTTCCACTGATCAACTATTGTTGGTTGAGCATCAATAATTTCATCGAGAATCATAAATATCACAAATAAATCTATAAAGCCTTCTATCAAGGTGGGTAAATAGATCTCGTGAACAGCGCCAGAAAGACTTGCCAACTGTTGTGTAGTCAAATGTACAACAGTTGACATCCGATTAGCAAAAATAGACAAATCCTGTAGATCGGATAATAATTTAGTCACATTAGTGATAGGGAAATCATCATCTGCGCATCTCTCCCCATGAGTAAAAAGTTTTGTATAGAAACCAGCAGCTTCGACTTTCAGTAGCCTGATTTCTCTGCATGTTCCTGCCACAGCCGCAAGCAGCTTAGACAATGCCTTGTTTTCCATCTCCACCAAGGAGAGGATGCTAATGCTTTCCTTTGCTTTGTAGACCAGACGCAGAGGACCTTCTATAATATATTCCAACATGGAATCGCCTCTCCAGGATTTTTCCATCAGATTTTCAAAAAACTCTCCATATTTTCGCAGATGCATAGCACCTGCAGCCTTGTAGATGCTCTCATCTTTCTTGGAATTCCATACCGGTGCCTCTATCATTTTTAATGAATGATGCGATTTGGATAATCTGCAACAACTGGAAACAAACTATAAAACTTCTATGATTTTTTTATTACATATTATTAACCTTTTTTTGAATAATGTATGAAAATTTACTTAACATATACCATTTACTCACATCACGTACACATTATATGCATCTATATTTTTTCATACATATTTATTTTAGTATGCATTCGAATTTAAACAATAATCTTGCAGATTGTTTTGTTATCACACGGTACAAAATTCATTGTCATTTTTAAGAATGACTACACCTTCTATTTTTTTTATATTGCCATTGTATACTCGTTTGGGGTAAACGTCAAAACATTTACGAGTAGTTGATTTCGACTATTCACGGTAGATGGCAATATTTTCGCGAGTACAGTCGATATATTTTACGTACATACTTGACCTTAAGGTAACTTTACAAATCCGAAAGATTTTTTAAAAATTAGTGCTTTGAATTATTATTCAGGTAAATATTTTTTTTTATCTTCATTCTGTTGCTTAAAAGAATAATCGAACAAGGACTGCAAAACAATGTGAATAAATCAATGTCCATACTGATATTTTTTTTCTATTATTAGTACAGATTTTATTTTATTTCTTAACAAAAGAGATAGAAATTATATGATGCCGATCTTGTTGGCGACGTCTAGCGCATCGTAGTCACGTGTCAAACGCACATATGCCTTCTTCTTGCCATCCGGCCTCATCAAAGTGTTCACCTTTGCTACATCGACATCATAAAGTTTCTTGATCGACGCCTTGATGTGATATTTGTTGGCGCTTGTATGCACGATGAAGACTAGAGTGTTGTTGTCTTCGATCTTCTTCATCGCCGCTTCCGTCGTGAGTGGGAATTTTATTATATTGAAAGCATCCATGCTGAAAGTTTCAAGAATATAACAATAGATTTTTAAAAAAAACTGTACAAATCTAGGTATTTTAAAAAGAATTTGAATATTCAAGCTCTCTTCTCACCGATTTCTGTTTGGCACAGATTTACGTGGGTATTTCGGATTTCTTGGTGGTCTGAAAGTCTTGGGTCTGTGGAAATGCACTGACGTTCTAATCTTCCGTACCCTAGATCCATGTACTCCCTTCAAGATCTATATGAAAATATAAATGCAATTGTCAGTGTCAATAATATGTAATACATATGCAATTACACATATATCTTATGTACTTGAATTCTTCAGTATTGTGTTAAAAGATATTTTCACAGAAATTCAAAGAGATTCCCACACTTACAATTCATCATATATAAAAGTAATAGCTTGTTTGAGACAGAGAAATTTAAAAAATTGATGATTTTTAGCAAAATTTATTTCAAGAATAACCTTTTTCTGCGCCTTAAGAGCTTTTTGTAGAGGAGCTGCTGATTTTCCACCCTTTGAAATCTTTTTAGTAGCCTGAACATTCTTCTTCGGTTTACTGATCAACGGTTTACTGGCAAGCTTGAGGACAGGTTTACTTGCAGGCTTGCTTGCAGCAGGTTTGGCAGCGCTTGCTGGCTTGGCAGCCGCTGGTTTCTTCGCTGTTGCAGGCTTAGCTGCAGGTTTTGTCACTTTAGAAGTAGAAGCCGCAGCAGCTGGCTTCTTTTCCGCCTTTTTCTCTGTCTTCTTCTCTGCAGGCTTACCTATTATTTATAATAATGAAATAATTGCAATCATAAAATTGAAAAAGCATACTAAAAAGGTAATTATTATACTCTAGGAAATATTCCTAATATCCACTTTTAAAAATATAAAGAAATGAAGCATCTTTTCTTGCCCTATTTTAGGTTATGATACATAGCATATAAATATTATAAATGATATTGCGAAAAATCGCATTGTAAATAATTCAAAAGACATGTAAAATTTCGAGAAATAGCTCTCTGCAAATATTCCTATCGTAAACACATGGATAAAGATATATATATATATATATATATTCAAAGAACGATCAACCACATGGGTGTCATGAGACGCGTTCTCGACATAATCAATTTCGAATAACAACGTAACATTGTTTTATAACGGATTTACATTAATTACAGTTTATTTATTCTAAAATGTACTCAGTTTAAAGAGCGAAATAATGAATGTCGTAAATTTTATTTTCACCTGCTTTTTCCGTTGGCTTAGGTTTGGGAGCCATTTTGCTAAGAGAAACGTGAAATCAGAGAACGTCAGCGCGAAGCGGAAGCGCTTGCAGCGCCAATCCGATTACTACGCTAATTGTTGACGGACGGAATTGTTAACGGATGAAAGAGAATTTTCAAGATGGAGATTGCCAAAGTTCGACTATCGATTATCGATCAGAATTTTTCCTCGGTGAAGTTTGTGAATGCTTTATTTCTCTACCAAAGAATTGAATTTTTCACTTATGCGCAATTACTAACTGTTAATAAATTGAACGGCTTATAAAGAAGAGAATTTTATGTGAGTAAAATCGTAAAAGCATTTGCGAGAGCGGAAGAGAAAATGAAAATGAGAAAGATAAGTATTATTTATAAAATAATGTTTATTGTCTAATACAAAATGAATGTATATATATATATATATATATATATATATATATACTATGATATTATATAATAACTTTATGATATAATAATTTTATAATTAATATTATTACATGATAATGTAATAATTAATACAATAATATAATAATTAGTACAAATTAATTAATTTAATTTTTAATATTTAATTTTTACTTAATATATTTTAATCTATTTAATTTTTAAAATTTGTATTATATAATTTCATCATATAATTTTTAAATTATTATTATATAATTCATGATAAATTTCTCGCACACCATATTATCATATGTCTCATGTTCAATAATCGTACCCGTATAGGTCACCCATTGTGTTACAATCGAACATCTGCCCCAGCAACCAATGTTTCGCCACTTTGACTCACTCTGAATTATTCATGTTGCGTTCATATAATACACAATAGAATTGCCAGTCTCGGAAAAAGTTTTAGACAATTTGGTGTAGTTCATAAAAGATCTAAACATAGAATCTAAACATCATTCTAAACATAGAATTGCGGAATCTGTATATATTGTAGAATGATAATTATGCATAATACATAAGAAGTTGTTTTTCAAGATGTTTTAATTCGATTCGGTAGGGGTGCAATGTTGGAAACACGCTCCGCGGTTTACAAAATGATGAAAGAAAAAGCCCACGATGAGAGACAGGTAAGTAAAATGTTTGCTGAAATTGATCGCTTGTGTTTAAAAAAAATTATAATGCACTTTTCTAATTTCTTTCGAATAGATAACTGTTTGGCCGCCACCCTTTTCGTCGGAGATGACTCCGTACACCGAGAATGATTTCGGCAGTTTAATCAGACGAACCTGCGAAAACAAGAACTTAACTCTCAGAATCTCCAAAGTGATCGTCATCGGCGATGTTGCTGTCGGCAAGACATCGTTGGTGAATCGGTAAAATTTAATTCGATAAAAAAAAACTCTTGACATTAAGAAGGCTTATATTGTATTTCTACCAAATTATGCTTATCAATTTGCATTCTTTATTATAATGATTCAGATAAAGAAAATTACTATTGCTTTATATAGTTTCTGCCACAAACTCTTCAATAATAATTACAAGGCTACAATCGGCGTGGATTTTGAAGTGGAGAGATTCGATATCCTCGGCCTGCCTTTCCATTTGCAAATGTAATAAGACAAATACAATCATTTATATGAATGTATGCGATAATAATTGAAAATAATGTTTACAGATGGGATACCGCCGGACAGGAAAGATTCAAGTGTATAGCAGCATCTTATTATCGTGGCGCTAATGGTTAATAAATATCCTTACAATTTTTTTATTCGTCTACGTTTTACATTACTTACATATATATTTTATTTTACAGTAATCGTGGTTGTTTTCGATGTGAGTAACTTGATGTCACTGGCGCATTGCCAGCAATGGTTAAACGAAGCGAGTCGTAGCAACGTTGGCCCTTATCACATCTTTCTAGTCGGCGCCAAGAAGGATTTATTGGTAAGAATCGATAATAATATTTATTTTCTCTCGATCACCATCATTATCATTTTGGTAAATGTCAGTCTCATCAAGTATACGACATAATTGAATTGTCAGTCTCATCAAGTATACGACATAATTGAAAAACGAGCGGCGGAAACGGCGAGAAGAATGCGGGCGGAATATTGGGCGGTCTCATCGAGAACGGGCAACGGGGTGTCCGAATTATTCACGCGTATCGCTGCGCTCACCTTTCAGGCAATGGCATTGCGCGAGATGCAAAGTTTAAAACTCGAACCGATCAATATCGGCTCGACGATAAGTAAGTAGGAATATTTAATTTCAATGTCGCAGATGTAAACAAGAATTTATCGATAACGTATCGCAAAGAGATAAGTGACATTGCTTGTGTTATTTTAGCATTGAAAAGACAATCGAAAGAAGCCGAGACGAAGAAACTGCCAAAGTGTTTCAAATGCCCGTTGTAATGTGATTGAATCATTTAATATAGATATTTAAATGAGAAAGAGAGAGAGAGAGAGAGAGAGAGATTAAAATTAAATATTATATAAAAATTAAATATTAAATATTATATATATATATATATATATATATAATTGTGAATCGTTGAAAAATTGTCATACGTTTTTGTTATTTAATATTTATAATTAATATAAATTTATAAAAATTCATAATAAATTAAATGACAAAAATGTGACAATTTTTTGGCGATTCACAAGCGAATTTTCGACATAATTAATAAATAATAACGCATGAATTTTTAATGATTTAAAGAAATTTAACAATTTTATTCTTTCTACATAAGCGAAAATTAAGTAGCAATTTCGAACAGCTGTTCTCACATTCGCGATGCATTTGAATTTATACGTCACTCGGGTACTTCTGATCGTTGCCGTTCATGGCGCCATTGTCTGTATCACTTTTCGTATCGCTTCTGTGCTCATTACATATCATCTGTCCTGAGGATTTTCGTCGATCGTCGCGTTCTCTGAGCAACGCATTATATATCTCGTCGTCAGTGTTTGAGAAGAAATTCCATTCTTTTCAAATTACAGTGTATTTTTAATCGGCGAATCATTCAATACGTGATCGGCGCTACGAGAAGTCGCACGAGAAACCGGCTAACAAGAAGTTCTTCCTGTCATCTCACTGACAGGTAAATTTCGAACTGCATTCCGACAGGTGATAACGTACTAAGGAAGAGGAAATCTCAGTCACGTGACTCATCTGAATTCCACACGCAAGCGTATAAACTTTATCAAGTTTTTTTTGGGAGGGAAATAAAAAATGTGGCACTGCTACGTGTCATATAACATATACAGTACATCTATCATTGCTTTAATATTTTTCGAGTGTCGAGTGATATTGGCTGCTCTTCGATACATATTAATTTATAGATATCGTAACAGCTTAATATACAGCTTTCGATTTTCTCCTATACAGACATATCTTGTTGTTTGCGTAATCAATTGTATGCTTCAAGCAAAAGAGATTCGTATGCGTGTCTCGCTTGTGATACGTAAATCTCGTCAAGAGTTCTTGTAAATATTGATGTACTGGATATCATTAATTTGTCTGTACACGTATTCATTTGATGATGAATGACTTTTATAACATTCAATTCAATTCAAATAGCACGTCTCGCGCTATATAATCATTTTTCAAATCGTCTAAAAAATACAATTTCAGACAGACGAACTTGACACTGTAAAAAAATAAATAGTTAAACGATAATTTGGAGAATATTCAGCTGCTAATGTAGTTTAATATATGTTAGCTATCATAACTGTCAACTACTAACAGATTTTTTTCTTGGCATCGACCAATAATTAGATATATTCATTAATTGTTAGTTATTATAATACTCGCAGAAAATAAAATCTATATATATTTGCATAATTCTATATAATATTAATGCACATGTCATATAAAATATTGAATTGAATTAAATTAATTAAGTTAAAAGTATTACTGTTATTAAAAAAATTAAGAAAAATGTATATATTTTTGTTTATATAATTTTTACATTTAATACAAATTTTTTTATCTTTATAATATATTTCGTCTATTATTAATATATTATCAAGTAATTATTTACAACATATGAAACATTAATATGAATAAATAAATGTATTTTTCACAAAATTTAAAATTTATTTCTTGAGTGAAAATTTGACCATTATCAGTATTTTTTGTTTTTTAATACTTTATCAAATTTCTATTAAATATCTATCTTAATATGTTTCTTTCTTTCTATTTTTTTCTTTTTTCTTATTTTTAGCATTACATATACTTATAGAATATATCCCAAAATCTCTCATCAAATGTCTTTTTAATAGCAGATTTTCTCTAATTTAAAATCGATTTTTTCTTAGTAAAATATAGAGAAAAAGTATCATTTTTTATCATATATCTTTATAAGTAATTAATATCGAATTAAAATTTTATTAAAAAATAAATTCCATGTAAAATTGTAGAATATTTTGTTAATCTTTTAACTTTTTATAATTCTACAAATTTGGTTTGCGAGAAATCTTTTTTTTTTATAATCGTCAATAATTTATAAATTGTTGACATTTCGACTTTTTTTGTTAAAGAAAAATCGTCTTTAAATTTAGTAGAGAATTTACTATTGAAAAAATAAGTGATGTGATTTTGAGACATCTTATATGTAATATACGTATAATATACGTACGTGTGTACCAAATTTATTGATAAAATGTATTAAAATGTTGATAAACTTTTATGTGATAGTCTAAATAGTAGATAACATTCGTTTGTCAGCCAATATATTAATTTTAAAAGCTTATACTTATCAGATAATGCACTTGTTGATTATAAATTGTGATAATTGGCGATGTTTAATCGCGCAAAGGAGGGTAATACGAATAAGTTCTTGCATCAGTTCTTATAAGATTGCAAGATACTAATATATAATGATGAAAATTCACTGCAATCAAACATAATTATCTTGTAAGAAAAATTATTGCATTATATTGTTAAAAAATTGTATATTTTTAATATTACATTTCTTTATTTAATTTACATTTCTTAAATGAATATATTTTTATATAATTTTGTTTGTATATGTTAATATATTTTTGTTTGTAACAGATATATCATTATACGGCAAAAAATTCACGTTACATTGGAATGATAAACCAAATGTGCTTGAAAATAATTACGTGTGATTAATAACAATATTTAATACCAATTAGTAAATATATTCGCGAAAGAATCTATAAAGTTTATCTTTTAAGCTAATATTCTTTTTTTATAATCTTTTTTTTTTTCAATACTCTTAAATTAAAAACTTCTTTTATTGTTTCTCTTCTTATTACTGTGTACTCTTCTTGTTACAGTACGATCAATAAAATAAATTTCTCCTAACAGTACTAAATATTTGAAATTGTTTTAGGATGCTATTTCTTAGTTTTAGGATGTTATTTCTTCAATCAATCAATCTGGCATTAGATATCAGAAATACGTTCCTTAGTGATCTTTGATCCCCGAATGCATTATTCAGATTCGCGATCGTTGTCACGACGAAGTCGCCACAATCAAGTGATGTACACGGCGAAAAATTCACGTTACATTGGATAACGATAAACCAAATGTACTTGAGAATTCTTGATCTTGGTTCTTTACTATAAATATATCCCATGATGATGTCAGAAACGGGAGAAATACGATTCTTTTTCTCTGTGCTTTTCGAAATATACAAGTATGTGCCACTACGTTCTCACTATTTGATAATATAAATTAGTAAAATATATTGAAGAAAACATTAATAAGAAAAAATTTTCTTTTTTCTGAAAGAATAAATAGCTGTGAATCTGTCGATCGATTATTTATTTTCGATGGAAGTAAGACACGTGGCAGATTGAATTATGAAGCAGAATAATAAAAAAAAGAAAGAATTCTCGATATATTGTAATCTTATGTAGCTGATAATCGAATGCACTTGTGCATACACACGTGGAAAAGATAAAGTAGAGGCATAAAAACGTTAATTTATAATAACATATGGAGGAAAAAATTCATAATTTCTCACTTTCGGTATCATAATTCGATATAGCAGTAATGCAAGCAAATGTCTCGAGAGATTTTTCATGCAAATATTTGTAGATTTTTTTCCATGAAGTACAATATGTGTTAGATTACGTTTGTTACATATCTAATCTGTATTACTAAAAAATTACTGTTAAAAAATTATAGTTGAATCACTGTGTAACAATATTTATATCAAATATAAGATATTTCTATTGATATTGATACAATAACAATATTGATATCTCAACAAAAAAGCACTAGGAAATAGTTTCTAATTGAGCATTTATATCTTATTAATCTGGAGATATCTTGTTAATCTGGAGATTCAATAAAGCATATTATATAAGCGAATTATGAATGCAATTTAAAATGTATTAATTTTGCTTTTTTTACAATAATAATGCTTTTTTTAGATATAAGGTAAATGGCTATAACTTCGTCAGCGGATATAATTTCGTCAAGCCTTCTTAAAATTAAATAATTTAAGCAATCTCGCGTATATCGACTATTTCCATCAACATCGTTTCAAATCGGGAAATATAGTCGTTATACGCGAGATTGCTTAATTTATTTAATTTTAAGAAAGCTTGACGAAATTATATCCGCTGACGAAGTTATAGCCATTTACCTTATTTTACAAAAATTTTGTTAATATTCTTCAAGATGATCCAGACATTACTTTTTCTTTTCCGAGCTCTTCTGACTTTCCGATTTCATTAGACTTTTAAACAGCTTTACGATATAGGGATCTTCCTCGCAGGCTGTCGGTTGTTTATTTTTCTGCTCCGGATTCGTTGATGTCATCTCGACTTCAATGTTTTCCTTATTTCTTCTTTCATTGCTTAAATCCTATTTTTAAAATATCTTGTTTTTTATATCAAAGTTATTTGATATAAAAAAAATTTTCAGAAGACGATATTTGCATTGAATTCAAGCGATAATACATGTATTCACTGATATGCACATTCATTAATTTCCATGTCATATCCATATCGAGTTATGCCAAATATTTTTATTTAACATTTTTATCTTTACCAAATATTCTTATTCGATCGGTACAAGTGTCTTTACACACTGATTGCACTTGCGTATTTAATTATGCAATAAATTTGTTGTCATTATAAGATATCTAATAATTTTACTTCATCTGAAGACATTTTTGTCTCAAATTATAACAATTAAAAAATTCGTAATAATACACAAAATATAAAATTGACAAAAATTGACGGATTTTTACTTTGCGATAAATTGTTTATTAAACTATCAAAAAAATTGAAATTCATTGATGTCGATTACATAATTCATTGCCATTCATTTGATTATGATTTCATTATAATTTTCATGTACAATTTATATATCTTTTTTCATGAATGCTTACCTTAAGATTCACTATTTCATTTTCAGGTTTACTCGTCTTTTCAGGTTCGCTTGCCATGATTGTTAAAAAAGTTGGTAAAATTCTTTGAAGAGATAAATTTATTTCCGCTATTATATTAACATTCCCGTTTTTTTTCGACTTGTTTTTTAATTTCTTGTTCGGGTACAACTAATATGAAAAATATAAATACGAATTTTTCATTTTAGATAATATCAAATGTTTGATATCTATTTTTATTACGGCACACAATTTCCATGTAAAGCTCCACATAAATTTCGATTTAAAGTTTAAGTCTGATTGATATAAATTACAACTTACCTTTGGATTCCTGTCGCGAAAGTATAAAAAAAGCCGATAGCGCATGCAAAGACATCATAACGAGCATACATTTCTGATTAAAATGATCCCAATCTATTAACGCCATTAGCTTGAATAATTAATGAGAGATTTTTATTTGAAATTGATTTTAAACTGCGTTAATTAAAGTTATTATTTACTTGAGAATTTTAATTCGAGAATTTTAATCTCACATGGCTGAAGAAAAAAGGTTTTCTCTCCATGAAAACATTAAAAAATTCTCGTAGACATAACAAAAGAATAAAGAATTCGAGGTATCGCGCGTTTAATGTGATATTGCTATCGAGTTTATTAATCTCGTATTAATTATCGATAATTTGAAATTATTAATATATTTAAAATGTAAAATATAGTGATAAAAATTTAGC